TGGGCCGCAGTTCACCCCCCTGGTGCTCACTCACTCACACACTCACCCCGGGCGTCGGCCATCTCGCTCTGGCGCACTCACACCGACGGCAGCACCAACCATTTTCTGCCTTCCGTCTCGGGTGCTTTGTTTTTGGTTCGAGGCGGTTTGAGAACCGGAGAGTTCTCAGTTGTTTTCGAGATTCCGTCGCGTGCGGTTCGCTGCCCGATCTCCCCACGTCGCTCGCTCAATAATAATCCAGGCCGGATCCGGCGGCCTTTCGACGTTCCGCGCACAAAGTTATATTTAATTTCCGATTCCCGATGAATGAACCATGAAACCAACGCACACAAAGCGAGAAAAACGCAAGGATAATTAAGCTAATAAATCCACTGGCGGCCATTTTTTTGTTGGCACTATTTCATAGTTGTCGTCGCAGGTTTTCCCCCTCCCAATTTGTAAGTGCAATTTGTTCGAGTCACGGCAGAACAGCGAAAAAGTGTTCTCGAAAAAAATAATTTGCAACACGTGTTGACCACAGTGCGTATGATAAATATATGTATTTGCATGTGCCCAGTGCCTGTGTTTCCGAGTGTGTGTGCGTGAGTGAGCGGCACATGGCTTCGATTTGAAAAGTTTGGCAAAAATGCAAATTGAGGAAAAGCCGCACGGCAAAAATCATCGTTTATTTTGCCACTTCTAACATTTGTGGATATCGCGCAATCACCAGAAGAAAATCTTAGCAACAAAAGCACAAACCCAAACAAAAAAAAAAAAAACATAAACTAAAAACAAACACGGATACGTATCAACAATAAATAATCAAAATACAGGTGAGCAACGGGATTAAGTTTCGACGGGCTTCCAGCTTGCCGACGGCAAAAAGTTTACTCTTTATTATGAAAGATATGCCCGTGTTATACAAAAACTAGAATTTAAATAAATTAAGTATTAAGTCTCTTAAAAATTTGGATAGCAACAATGTATGATTGAACACCGTCAAATACTTAGACCATCAGAAAATTGAAATTGTGCTTTTAATATACAATTAAAGTATATTACAATGCAATTACAAATCCAAGGGGCTCAAAATAAAGAAGTTAATGTTTAATATTAATTTTAAAATTCTGTGGGGAAGCAATATTCAGAAATTGCCTCTTTGGGCAATAAAAATGCGCAATGTGCAATGTTTCGCATTATAAGACAAGATTTCTCCTTCCAGTATCGTTCTAATTGCTAATAAAATGTAAAATGTTTAATTACATTTTTTTCTTCTTTTTAATTTTACATATTTTTTATGTACCCGTATTTTAAATAATCACTAAAATAACGAAGCAGTTCTTAAAAGAGGAGTTGGCCATGCAATTCATAAACTGAATTAAAATATCTCTTAAGTGTTTTTAAGAGCTTTTTGAATGTGCTTAACAAAACCATTAAGACCCTCCATAAATGTCAGGTCGTATCTTTTTTCGCTTTCTAATGGATTAATCTTTCATAGAAGCCAATAGATTCACAACTTTTTGGCAATCTCAATGGGGGAAGGAGAAAGCCAAAGTGCAATTCGCTTTTTGGCGATTGTGGCATTGGCACATTCCAAATAGCCATCAGCCATTGGAAAAGCAACTCGAGGCACTTGAGAATTAATTTGGGGAGAACGAATCGTTGGAAAAGCACGAGAATTGCATGTTTACATATATTTGGAGAGGAATGCTTGTTTACACAGCAAATGCAAAATTCTTTTCTTTTATTCACCTCCCGATTGCCAGGCAGTTGCCCTTCCGCCAAATTGGATATTCTTACGCCCACCCACACCAGATATTTTTATTAATTAGAGGCAAAGTATGAGATGGCCGAATCGAAAGAAAATCCGTTTCCAGTTGTCATTCATTCATCACCAAGATGTTTCATGCCCGCATCTCGAGTTTGGTACTCGAAACCATCGGATGCGGTGTTTATTTATAAGACCATTTGGCTTTATCATTTCGATTTTTTGCTAGAAATTACCAAAAAATTATTAAGTTATGGCTGAGAACTGTCCTGAGATGAGTGGGCGTGGACCGACATTTGGTCCGGTTAAATATGAGATTCGTTTCGGGGACTGGAAACGTTTAAATGACTCTGGCCAGCGCGTGTTTGTCGTCAGAAGTCTAGTGATTAATTGAGTGCGGAGATGAGAGCAGATGTTGCGTACGATTTTGTGCAACTATTTCGGAATATCTTGATCGGCCGGCTAGATTCCCACTCGGAAGTGGCCAAATTGACAAATTTACGCATTCCATTCGCCTAGAGTCGGGCCAACAGGGCAAACAGATGCAGATACGCAAGCTTGGCCACCGCCACTTTGATCATTTTACGCACCGGCGTGCAGAATTCGCCGTAATTTGGGGGCCTACCGTCCCTATCGTCAAAACTTTCAACGAATTCCCTTCGGTTTCATTCAAACTTTGGCCAAATGTAGCGCAGCGAGCAGAAGAGGCAGCCGAGATACATGTGTGCAACCCATTAAATTGACAAATTTCATTCATTACGCCGCGTTCTATTCGATTTCTTTGTGCGTTGCTCCCTTCACGCGGCAATTAAACGGAAAATGTTAAAAATACACTCTTCTGGCCAGTGCCGAGTGTATCTGCATCTGCATCTGTATCTGGCAGATAGCGATTGTCTTCGGGGGGACTGCTTACTAATCCCGCCAAGCGGCCAGCCCGCTGTTCGAATTACCCGGAACGGGGGTTGGCCCACAACAGGTTGCTTGGCACAAGGCTCCCCATTCCCATTGCCATTCGATTACATTGTATAAACACAGACGCCGGCGCAGATGATTTCGATGTTAGAAGCGGAAAACAGATTTCGATGGCCAATGGCTCCAAATTTGAGCTGGGCTTTCGTGGAAAACCGGGGGGCATTTCACTGGCATAGCTCTTGGAATCCAGTTCGTAAAAGTGACAAGATACATCGAATTTAGAGTTTTATTGTAAGTTGACTTTGATTACAAACTAATTAGGAAAAACGCTTTCAGCCACGACAGCTTAAACAATTCACTTTGATTAACAACCCAATAGAATCTCCGAGTTGGCTGCACATCTCATAGATACTGCGATGGAAGCTTAGGTGTCCGCTTTCAGATTTCTCGAGATTCCCCCGCGCGCAGACAATAACACTCAAATTAAAATCTTATAAAAGTCAAAGAACAAACAACGGGGGTGGGGAAAATTGGAAAGGGCATGGGAATGGAGGGCAAACACGAAACAGAAACAGATAGATAACGCGTCACTGGAAATAAATTACAAAATTTGTAAAATAAATTAAATTAATTTTATTCGAATGCCAGAAAAGTCGTCAGGCAGCAGGCGGCGATAAGAAATCTTTGAGAAGCAAGGTGAAATTGAGAGGCAGCCAAAAGATGCAGCCCGATATCAGATAGAATATCTTTCGTGGCTGCCGGTGTTCTTCGTTTTTCGTTCGTTTAGTGCAACGGTACAAGGCCATAAACATTGGTATGCCATCTTTTAGCTACTATTCAGGGCTTTTAGCAGGTTTATTATGGACTAAAAAGATTCGAATTCGACGTAATACATCTTGGGCTTAATATTATTCCCCACTGCATTGTATCCATATCTATAGAATACGAACACTATCCACTTGTGCGCGCTGCTTTGGGCAAAACAGATTGAAAATTTATCGCGTATTTCGTTTCACGTTCGCATTTTGCTTGTTTACTTGCGTCAAACATGAAACAGGCCAACAAAAATACAAGCAACAAAGAAAAAAGAATACCCAGCGAAATGAAGAAATGGAAAGAAATCAACGAAACCAACGAAATCTTCGTATGCGAAGAGGCGGCTGCGGGGGATCTATAGAGCGATCCTAGGCCGATGACTCAAGAGCAGCCAACTTGGCGTTGGTATTTTCGTTACAGCAGCAGCCAAAACGAAATCTCTATTTTCTTGTTTTGTATATATAATCTGCCCGGCACGGCACACACGAGAATTGAGAACTGAGAACTGGGAACTGAAACTGAAAACAGATCCAAGAATATCTCGACTCGACGATATACGAGAGTCTGTGTGAGTTTCGCCCCAATCGAATCGCCCAGGGGGCTGTGTACTTCTATATCTATATCTATATCTATATCTATATCAGTTTATCTGGACAGTCTGGCCAAGAGCAGAGATCGATTGCAAAAATATCAAAACATCCATAAAATGCACCCGGGATATTCTATCTGGGGGATACATTCGGGGGACCTCTCGCTCACTCCCTCACGATGGCAACAACAACAACGTCATGTCGTCGCCGTCGTTTGGTAATTTTAGAAATATTCTTAGAACCGAATACAGAAATCTGAAATCAGAGGAATACCGAAACACCATGCGCCCCATATACACGTATATTGTGTAAAGAGTTTATTTTTGTAAGAGATCTCTTTTGGGGATCTCGGGTGCGGACAGGTTAGAGAGCTCTGCTACGGCCAAACCATATTTCCGATAATCGAACATCTCGCATTAACAATTATTAATTGCGCCGGGGCTTAGTTAATCATGTTTGACAACATGGGGTCGACTCCGAGGTTTTGTTTTGATTTCCATTTCTGATTTCTGATTTCCAAACTACTTATGAATATGGGAAATCAAAGCAGACACGCTTGTTTTGTTTAACATTTGTGCAAGTGTGGGGGGCGAAAATCACTTGCCATTCAATGGTAATTTCCACAGTTTTATGTGTCTCAATTAGTGTTGTTTCAATATTAATCGAAACGGGCAATAAAAAGATGAAAACTCGGTGGGTTAATGGGATCGATAAGTATTGCGTAAATTGGCTTAAAAATTGTGTGTAGCAATCGAAGATTTTGGGGGGTGAGAAAATTACAATCTTTTAGATTGCAGATAAGCAGGAGAATCATGAGAAAACATGATATATTAAATCAATCCTTATTAGAATTATTTACTCTCCACAATCAACTTATTCCGTTTTATTTAATTTTTCATTGCAGCGCTCAAAAAACCAAAGAATTAAGCAGATTTTAGATTAGGTTACTCAATTTACTTAGAGCGGAGTCCTTGAAATTGATCCCGCCACCCATCCAAATCTCCGATTCCCGCAGAAAATGTTACAGCATCCCGCCACAGATTTCTACGATTTGGCGGCGGCCAATGCGGCTGCCGTTCTCACCGCCCGCCACACGCCTCCTTACAGTCCCACGGGTCTCACGGGATCGGTGGCCCTGCACAACAACAACAACAGCGCCACCAGCAATAACAACAACAGCAGCACCCTGGACATCATGACGCACAACGGTGGAGCAGGAGGTGGCCTCCACCTGAACAGCGGCAGCAACGGAAGCGGCGGGGTGGTGGGTGGAGGAGGAGGCTCCGGCGGCAGGGAGAATCTGCCCAGCTTCGGCTTCACCCAGGAGCAGGTGGCCTGCGTCTGCGAGGTAATTATATCAAATACCATATTATCTGAAATCCCCGAATAGCCAAGGATATTTATTTGGTGCCTATTAACTGTATACAATTCTTTTTTATCAATCAACAATTTAAATAAACCCTTGTTAAAACAGAATTCATTTTACAAATCATCTAAAACATTCCTTTCCAGTGTTTTTAAAAATTCACATTTTTTAAGTTGTTCATATAATACAAGCTGTGTTATAGATTTAAAGATTAGATTTAAAGATAACGACGGGTTTTTAAATAGGATAAAGTATTTGTCATTCATAAAAGTCGATTTAACCAAAAAATCGTCGTCTGAACATTAATTCAAATGTTTGGTTTCTTAAATCATTAGGATTGACTATTATTTTATGGTAAAAATGTTATTAGCTGATTGATCGGAGGTCTAATCATTATATATGTAACCGATATTTCGCACCCTTATAAGACAAAATATTCAGATATTTTTAAAATGATGTATTAAAGTGAAAAACCGGCAATCTTCACATTAATATTCCATTTTTCGATCTATTTCCAATCAATCCCGACCAAATCTCTCGCACAGGTTCTGCAGCAGGCGGGGAATATCGAAAGACTGGGCCGCTTCCTCTGGTCGCTGCCACAATGTGATAAGCTGCAGCTGAACGAGTCCGTGCTGAAGGCCAAGGCGGTCGTTGCATTCCATCGCGGCCAGTACAAGGAGCTGTACCGCCTGCTCGAGCATCACCACTTCTCGGCCCAAAATCACGCCAAGCTCCAGGCCCTGTGGTTGAAAGGTGAGACTCGAACTGGTACTCCAAGGAGCGAACTCCTTGCTTAACCCCAAAAAATGTTTGGAAGGTAGAAACAAAAACGAATTCTTTCTCTCTCTCACTGGGCCCATGTAGCGCATTATGTGGAAGCCGAAAAACTGCGCGGAAGACCCTTGGGTGCTGTTGGCAAATATCGTGTTCGCCGTAAATTTCCATTGCCCCGCACCATCTGGGATGGCGAGGAGACGAGCTACTGTTTTAAGGTGAGTACTCGGCCAGTCGTCCTGGGCCGCTTTTCATTTTAATTGTGGCAAGCGGGGAAATCGTACAAATGCCCGCTCGCCTGTCTGATTCCATGGGCTGCCACTGCCTGATTTCGCTGGGGTAACGTCTTTCGGGCTTATCGTAGGCATATCCTGGACAGGAAACGTTTTGTTTGCTCTCCGGCAGGCTTTCGGTGGATTCAAGTAGATTATAGATGGGTCAGCTCAGTTCTAGGAACTCCTCAAGTCCTCTTAAAGTTTATATTTATTTTTTAAATATTAAACAAGATAGAAAGTTTTGTTGAGAAAACTTTATCTCATCTTACTCTTCCGTCAAATCAAAAACAACCAAATAAAATAAAAACTTTTACCCTTTTCTACCATCAGTTTTGCACAGTTTCAGGATTTTTGTTGAATTAGTATCAACCAAGTTAATGGGCTAGATATTGTAAATCAAATATTACTATCACTGATCATGAATTGGTTTACACCAAAACAAGATATCTTTTTATTCTGTAAATGTAGAATATTTATATAATTTGAATATTTTGGATAATTTAGAAATATTTTTCATGAGGGATTTTTTTTCGCACTTTAAATTTTTTAAATTCGTTACCTGTCAGGGAATTTTGATCTTCCAAAGTGCTCGATTTAATTGACTTTAGGGTTGGACACCATCGATGTTTTTGGCTATCGATGGTGGTCACTATCGATACTATCGATAGTAAAGAAAATAAAAACAAATTCTTAAAATAAAGGAAAATTATGAAAAACAAATTATTGAAAATGTGTGGTCGACTCATTAAAATTAGGGGGAAGGAAACGGTCTAACTTTTACAGCGATTAAAGTGAAACAAAATTCGATGTTGAGCCTTAACAATTAAAATACCGTCGTGTTCTTAGTATATACTTTAAAACCCTTTTTTTTCCTTAAAATATACCAAAAGTTTCATGTAAAATTCAATTATTTTTTTGGAGCGATAGTATCGATTGTGGGTTCAAACCATCGATGTTGCCTAAATATTAAAACCATCGATTCGATACTATCCATTTTTTTAACAACCCTAATTGACTTTATCTGTTCTTTTCGCAGGAGAAATCCCGCTCGGTATTGAGAGACTGGTACTCGCACAATCCATATCCGTCGCCCCGGGAGAAACGCGATCTGGCCGAGGCCACAGGACTGACCACCACGCAGGTGAGTCGATTGGCGATGCCAGAAAATAGCAACTCAAACGGCCGAAATGAAACACAAATGTCAGACGCATCTTTTGACAAATTTCAATTGAAATTCCTCACAGATGCCATCTTCCACATGTTAATTGCATCTCATTAATCATGGGGACTGAGCTGCGAATGTTTACAAATGTGTCTAAGCTATTTTTATGCTTTTACAGGTTTCCAATTGGTTCAAGAATCGACGGCAAAGAGATCGAGCTGCCGAACATAAAGAGTGAGTTTTGATTAACTTAGATACTTAGTACTGATTTCTGTCGTGATTCATTCGGGGTATATTTCATTTTTCAAATTCAATCTATATCTGGATGGGTTATATTAGTGGCGTACATATAAATAGGTCTATATATTTATCTGACAAGTGTCAACGCGTGCAAGGCACCGCAAAAAATAATATATTAATTTGCATTTAAATTTTCAATTACAAAAGCTGACGGCATTTACTTTCAAGGTCGTCGAGTGGGCGGTGGGGGGTGATGAGGTGGCTGGCTAATTAGTGCCAAGGACAACATGCAACTGGCACACGCTGTGGTAAATGGGAGGAGGTTGGGGGGTTTTTGAGTGAGAGAAAAGAAAGAGTCGCTGACAAAGTCATTAACATGTTGTTCCAAATTCCAAAATGATCCTACATATTTATTTTATTTTTATTTGATTTGTTGATGTTTGCTTTTCGGTACGTACATATATGCATATCTCCGGCATATGTCTCGCAGGCCTCGTCACTAATTAAAATCCCCAGTCCTTTCCCATTCCCCCTTTCCGATTTCCCCTGAACATCTGCATTTCCGCTTAAGCAAATAGTTTCAAGCAGTTGTGGCACTCCTTTCGGATGTTTTCCCCTTCCTCGGAAGATCTTTGGCCGCTGATAGGAGATATTTCTTCTCAAATATTAAACATCCTTTGGCCGACTGCCATCCTTTTGTTTGTCCTTTCCCAACGGCTTGGGTCCTTCTGCAGCCGCTGGAAGTCATGTGAAGTGCAAACAGTCAAAAATGGGTCTTCTGAAGTGGCGGCATTTCCTTTGCTAACCATTCGGCCAACTATCATTAGCTGGTAAATTGCGAAAAGGCCCAAAAACTTTCGCCAGGATACATAGTTCCATTATGCTAAATGGTATATCACTTACGGCTTCGCCCTCACGAACGGCAGGCGAAAAAAGCGAGAAATTGTCGTAATAAAAATGGTAAAAACAGAAATAATGCAAAAAATATTATAAATTGGATGCCGTGGCAACCGCAAGGCGCACTCATACAAAAGTATCTCACAGATACACGTTCGTTCGTTCGTTCTCGGGGCGATAGTTTACTTTACTATACACCATACACTGCGTAGCCCCCCCCCCCCTCTCTTCTTCTTCTTCTTCTCCTCCTGGCCGGTAACTTGATATATGTTTATGGCTGTTGCCTCGATGAGCAACTCAGTGTGCTGCTACTTTAACTTTTTCATATTGTTTTTTGCTCCTCTCTTTATTTTCCATTTTTTTCTTTATTTTGCATGAGGGTGTGTATCTATGTTCCATGCAGCTTTGTGGCAGCCAGCAAACCACAACGGCGCCAAATCTGAATCTAAAGCGGCACTTTGAACAGCCCAACAACTGCCAAAGTGGTTATTGTTTGAATAGGCACTACCTTTGTAAGGGCCACAAGAGAGCGGCGATCAGATTCGGAATATCTAGGTAGTTGGAATGGAATGAGCTACGCCTGGGTGATCTAGGATATAGACATATGCCTTAATCGAATCAATTTGGAGGATGAAAAGGGTTATGGGCAATTTGGTGGAGATTAAGTTTAGGTCTTGTCAATTGATTGATATTTTTTAAAAATTTTCTGTTTTGTAGGTTTGTCATAAAAATTGCTTAAAACTGTCTAACTAAATTTAACATTTTGTTCTTTTTAAAGTACCTTTTTATTTTGTCATTAATTATTAAAACTTGTCAATATAAATTAACATGAAAACACTTAAATTTCCGATTTGTAATGAAACACACTGAAAGTTTATTGCCAGGAAAGTTATACCAAAGAACCATTAAAGAAAATATTACTTTCCAATTACCAGTCCTAATTAAAACTCCCCGTCGACTGGGATGGGCAAATAAGGATCGGTTACTCCGCAATTTTGACTTAGCTGAAGACGAAGCACAGAGCCATGCGCATATAGTCGACTGTCGAAGATATGGCGGTTATAATGACGCGGTATCTATCGATGTACATGGTCACGAACAGCAGATACTTCTTGTTGGTCACCTCGAAGTGCCAGAGGTGATTGGCGGCCCCCAGAAGGTTCCAGTTATCTGGCGGTACCAGTCCGAAGTGCTGCTCACCGGCGTACTGGAAGATACCGTAGTAGATCAGCAGGACGAGCAGTGGGTACAGGATGGGCAGCATTATGAAGAAGATCACAGCGCAGCTGTAGATGAATTTCAAAATTGTCGGAAAGGGCAGTGGTTGCATCCAGATATCGAAGAAGTGCTCCACTAGTGGCTGCATATAGTACACGAGTTTTCCAGGCTTCGAAACGGTCTTCCACTGGATAAAATGGGGATATACCAATCTTAACTCCTTGCTATTATTCGGTTCTAAGCACTGAACTCACCATTTTGCGCTTGTGGAACGGTTTATTCCATGTCTTGTGCATATTTCCTCGTTTTGGAATTTTTTAGTTTGAATAAATTTTGAATTGATTTTAAAGACTCTGCCTACTGAGATATAGTTGATTAACTCTTCGCCCTATAACAATATCGGGTTTCCATTGCATTGTTTGTTGGAAAGTTGGGTGAAAAGTTTAAAATAACTTACCCAAACAATCTAACCGTAATTCGATATTTTCTTTTAAAAAAGCTTGTACAATGACATTATGGGATTTCCAATTACACTTGTTTCCGCTTAGATCAGCTGTAACTTGAATTCAATACTGTTTTATTTAAAACATTCGATAAAGATATGAGCATAAAGCGACTTCTTGCTTACGAAAGTGTCTTATACTTATTAAAATATTTGGGTACTAATGTAAAATTTCTGAAGTCTTAAAAGTTACTTAAAAATTATATTAAAATCTAACGCGAGATTTTTCGTTGATTTGAAGAAACCTTCTTTTTAGGAATTCAGGGCCCATTTCAAAAGGATTTGATTGATCTGCCTGGCATTATGAGCCCTATCTACGGTAATTTCGATGAATTTTGTACTCACTCACACAGTCCCATTTGCAGACTGGAGTATTCCCGCCCCTCCCTCTCTCTATATACTCTATACACTCGTACTACCGAGGCGACCCAGTCCGAGTTCCACTTCCAGTTTCAGTTCCAGTTCCAGTCCCAAGACCATCCCACTCCCCGTTCCCCCTTCCCCTTGGCCATCCCCGAACCCAGCGACACACCAGCCCACCGAATCCGCATCTCCCTCCAGACATCGTCATCATTTTGCGTTCGTCGAATGCCACGGTTGGCTGGAGGGTAGCTGGCCAGGGTATCGGGTTACCACAAAATGTGCGTGTGTTCTTTATTCGTTCGCCCTGACAGCCCCTCGCCCCAGACCCCGCCAGCACGTTATTCATTTTTATTCGTTTTATTGTACATTCTGTTTTTATTATTATGTATTTTGCGCTTTTGCCCGTCTGCGACGGAGACTGAGGGCCTCGTCGCCTCGTTTCTCCTCTCTGCAGCCTTTGTGTTTGTTTTTTTAGTTCCCGTTCCCGTTCCCTTCAGTTCTGTTCTGTTCTGGCTCCCTTTCCCGATCCGATGGCGTTGATAATGATGTTGTTGGTGATGATGGACCGGTTGGTGGTACGGAATCGCTCGGAGGCGCTTACCATCAGCATATTGACATCCGCGGCAGCCCATCTCCATAGCTCCATCTCCGCATCTCACTTTTCCGGGGAGTGGGTGTCAAGTGTACGCTCTCTTGACAATAATTAGATCTCATCTGGGGGCAGACATCAAGTGTGGAAAGCTCACAAAAATGAGGAACTTGAAAAGAAGTAATAATATTTCCATTACAGTAATGGAATAATCGCACGCTCATAAAAAAAATCGCCATTGATTCAAGAAAATCGCCTATGATTTTCAGCCAACGGCGATTCGCCATTAATTATGGGAAATAATTTTCTTGAATTTACGGTTTCGCCTTTTTAAAAATCATTACCAATTTTTCTGATTTTTACGGCAAAAAACCCTAAAATTAAGAAAAATGTCCTTAAAAATAGAAAAATAAAAGTATATTTGTTTATAACCTTTTTTTTTTTAAATTTTGTCCGACTGATTTTTTTTTAAAATATATTTTAAAAAAAAAAATTTTTAATCATGTTTAATTTAACTATCATAACATAAAAGTTATTTTTTTATAAAATCTCCTTTCTATTGATTATAAAAGATATGGGTCCTTGAACTTTTCTTACCTTTAAAGGTCTTTTAAAAAAATTTACATTTTTAAAATGTATTTTACACATTAAAGTAAACATTTCTTTGCTTTAATTACTGCTGATGAAAATGTAAATTAGAAATGTTCTCATTCTGCGGTTCAGCTACTCCGCCAACTTGACCTCAGCAAGGGTTTTCTATGGCCTCTTCTAGGCACTCCCACCACCAACACTCCAAGCCTTAAAGTGCTGAAAAGACTTGGGGATTACATAAAACTTTGGTTAGTCAGCGGGGGGCTAGAGACTTGATTTTTCTCCTCAGTTACCATCTGATTCGCCTCGGGCAGGGCAATTAAAAGGCCACAAAATTATAAAAAACTGTCAAAACAATCCCCGGCCAGGCCAGCATAAAATGCTCCACACGCCACACATGTACCATCCACCTTCGACTTTGGGACTGATAATAAAATATCTTATAACGATGACAGCGCTGAGCTTGGACTTTGGGTTAATCTTTGGGATCTTACATAGTTGTAGACAATGGCACAATGCCCGTTCAGACGATGGCTAGACGAAAATGAAAATGAAAACGAAAACCCCAAGCCCCAGGCTCTTGGTCTTCCCCAGCTCAGTCCCCCCATTTGGGCCAGCGTTTTTGAGTGTCAGAGGGTCGCCACGAACATTAACAACAGCCACACACATGCGTAAATTAAATGATAATTTATGATCAACACCTTTTCAGATTCCACTTATGGATCGCCGTTGCCCGTTTAGTTGGGTGTCCTGCTGAGCACACGTCCCGAGATTTGTGTACCGATCGCGCAATGCGATAACTCAACCTGTTCGTTGGCTCTCTCGGCCGATCGCCCCGATCTTCCCGATCTCTGGATCTCCCGATCTCCCGATCTTTGTGATCCCATCCCCGAGCCACGTTTTTTAGGGCCCGGGCCTGGACCTTCCCGTTTTGTTTGTTTTTTTAGGATTTATTGGCTTATAATTTTTATTAGCAATGGAATTCCTTGGAAGACCCAGGCCCAGTAGAGCCTCTCCTCTCTTTCGTGTGAAAATCGTGGAGTTATGTCATGGGAAATATTGACACTATCAGTTGGTTTATTAATTTCAAGTTTAATTTGGAAGATGTTTCCAAACTTAAGCTCTAATATCTTGACAAAATTTTGAACCTTTCAAGCTCCAACTTTTCCAAACAACTCACTCACGTGGCAAACTTGTTTCTGGCCCAAAAGCCCCCCTTTCTTCGACTTACCCCTCACCGTTTCCAGTTAAACATAATCCGATCATGCATTATTACCAAGCTAATGAATCTGCTTAAGACAGACTCTGTCTCTGGCAACAAAAAATCAATTGAGCAAACAAGTAAAAAATTAATTCCCCCTCACTGGGTACAGACCCCAAAAAAAAAAAAAGAACTGGAAAGAAAAGCCCGAAGAACCTTTATTCAGGGGGACCACACACAGAGCTGGAGACCCAAAACCTGCTTCTTCTTCTTCCCTGCGGTTCTTGTTCAATTTTGTTATAAACTTTATGTGACATTCACTTCTGGCCCAGGGAATTGTCCTTGAGACTCTCTGCTCCCGTTCGATGATGTGAGCCCTCTCGACCATTGGAAAACCGAACTGAGAACTGAGGCATTTGTGTTTATAATGCAATATAATGTGTATGTGTGTATGGGGGGGACATGCCCACAAAAGTGGGCGCTGTCTGTCTGTATGTGTTAATAAGTGTTGCAGAGCAGAGAGAAGGGAAACTACGAAACTCTGGTAATTCGATATCATTGTTTATATGCTTCTGCTGCTGCTGCCTTTTGTTTGCTCCCCACTTTTCGCTCTGCGATGGGATGGGCCTTTTCTCATGTTTGGTGTGCTTAGGCCATCGATTTTTGCCCACGGCGAGCGTTACTTTAATGTTTGAAATGGTGAAAATTGGGGGGAGTAGTGTCCATCGTGTCCATCAAATGTCACATGGTCCTACGCCCACCCCGCAATTTCCATTCGATCAGTGGTCCAAGTTCAAGTTCATGCAAACGCTGCAAGAAATAATGGCATGACATCGCCGTTGGTGGCTGCCACTCGCGGGATACGATCTACAATTACATGATTGCCGATATCGTACAGCTGCGCCATATGTGGGCCCCCAGAACCCCAGAGTTCCAGAGTCAGCAAATAACTGGGAGGTGTATCTTCTGCAGGGCAAAAGATGGGAATCGAAATCGGGATCTCGGGACTTGGGACTCTGTCCTGTCCTCTGTCTCTGTCCCATTGCGCCCGATCGCAAATTTGTCGAGTGTGCGCTTAAATGTTTTGCATTGGCATTGCCGGTTTCGATACTCATACCCTCGGTTATCCGGTTTCCTTCGCTGACTAAATGAATCTGTTGGCTTCGACTTAATCCTTTTAATTCAACACATGTAGCACTTAAAGTCATGTTTGCTGCTTAAATATATTTGTTAGGCTTTAAGTCGCTAAGGAAGTATGTTTAAATACATAGGGAAGCTTTTCTTATATATTTTTTTTTATTTTAAATTAGGAGTTTTAGTTCCAGCATTGGATGAGTATAAAACCATAGATATTTTTTAGTGTTCATTTAAAATGGGAGTACTTCTTCGTGATCTTGTAATCTGTATACCAATATCAATTAAAGATATAAAGCTTTAAAGATAAAACGCAGAATAATGTATCTTTATAAAAAAACTTATTTCTGACAAGAGGATTAAATATAAAAACTTTTTTTCGAAGATTTCCAATTCTTCAAGAGGGTATTCAGACTTTGAGCAAAAGATTCCTGCTGGTGCCCCATGTTGTTTGTTGATGTTGCTCGTTGCTGTCATCAATTTTTTTTGCAAACTGGTTCTGCGATGCGGCTGCTGATAACCAATTACTGATTGTGCTCGGCCATGCAATTGGCGACAAGATTAACACTTTGCCGATGATTGCTCGAGTTTCAGGCTATGGTTATGGTGTGGTATTAGCCAATTAGCCATTAACGGGTGATTCCATCCCCCAGGGGCCCGTCTTACACTTACCCCAAAGTGGCATTCTAATGCAATTTGCGGAATCAGCCGCAAATAATAAAAGTCAAGCTACTTAAGATGTCAATGGGAATGGAAAGGGGATTGGGTATGGGCAGCACCCCCGAAACACTACTCGCACCCACTTGAACCCTTGGAAAGTGAAGTGAAATCAGATGCTTCATATCCGAATGCTCTGGGGAGTCCCCCTGCCTTCAAAAAGAGTCTATGGGGCGACTGCGACCAACACCTCAAAAGCGAACACGATACCATTTATAGAAACGCGAGAGGCAGACGATTTCCTTCCGGAATTCATTTCAATTGCAATTGCTGTGCCCCCTGTCATTTGTAATTTGTCATTTGTTTATAAATAAATTATGCGCTCTGTGCACGAGTGTGTGGGTGTGTTGACAGCTGTAAATTAGAGGCTGCAATTGACACATTTTAACGTAAGCGATGCTGACATCGAAAAGCATATGCTTGGGGTCACAGTTCTAACAAGCGAAGGCACAGGGTTAAAATGGGTCTTTATTTATATTTTTAGCCATTTCTGCTTTACTGCAACGGTAACGATTACCATCTCTTTGTGGTAGATTTAAAACCCTATTTTTTTACCAATTAAAATAATAGGTTCAAATGTCAATGGGTTGTAAATTTAATTGCGAACTCAACGGGGTATGACATTACATATTTCGATAATTTTGCTAAATTAACTTATTGGTAAACGAAATGATATTCTCCTGTAAAACTGATCTTGTTTGCTTGCAGTTTTTATTTTGTTGGACATTTTAACATCAATTAAAATAATTTGAATGTGTCCACAAAATTGTAGCTTCAGTTATTACATTGCTTTGGGTATTTTAAAAAGGTTGCTAATTATTTTAGGTTACGGCAATTATGTATCGATCATATTTATACACATTTCAGAGGATAAGGTTTCATTCAAAGTCTGAAAATTAGTATTAGGGCTTACAATTTTCTCTAGTAAATTTCCCCTAAAATACCCAACCCTCTCTAACGACCTAATTTCTTAATTTGAATTGCAGCGGCTCCACGGACAAGCAGCACCTGGACTCCTCCAGCGATTCGGAGATGGAGGGCAGCATGTTGCCCAGTCAAAGTGCACAGCAGCAGCAGCAACAACATCAACAGCAGCACTCGCCCGGCAACAGCAGCGGCAACAACAACAACAACAACGGGCTGCACCAGCAGCAACTGCAGCATGTTGCCGCCGATCAGAGCCTGCAACACCACCCACACCAGCAACATCCCGCCAGCAACATCAGCAGTGTCGCCAGCAAAAGCAGCAGTGGAGGTGGAGGAGGAGGAGGGGTGAGTGCAGCAAGCGGTGCACAAATGCAAATGCCCCCCCTCACCGCCGCCGTGGCCTATTCGCACCTGCACAGCGTGATGGGGGCCATGCCCATGACCGCCATGTACGACATGGGCGAGTACCAGCACTTATGATTCTAGTTGGAGGCGGCCGCTGCCGCCGGGGGCAGTGGCGGGGTCAGCAACATGGGCGCCGGCCACAGCAGCAGCAGCAACATCGCCTGGCAGCAGCGACAGCGCCAACAGCAACATCAGCAGTCTGAGAGCTTCTACTTTAGGATGAGGATGAGGATAGTAACTTAGCAATATCGCCGGAATCCATCAGCATAGCAACACACAAATTTTACATATCGCTCAATTACTAAAGGGCTGTCATGACTGAAACTTTACCAAGAGAAGCCTTAAAAATGTTAATGTTTGCTTTACCAAGTTAGGATTGCATTTTAAAAATTTTGTAGAGAAAGTTCATTTTTAACATGGCTTAGAGAAATGGAAAATCATAGTTTCAGTTTCAGATATGACAGCACTTTAGCAAATTCCCGATATGCAATCATAAACTATCACACCCTCTGGATAACTTGGCATTTTCCGCAACGAGAGATAGAGAGAAATAGAAATGGAGAGACAGCTTTTGGTTAGACTCCAGAAGAAAACACTTAAAACTATGATTACTGCATCGATCTGTGTAAATAGCTAGGCTTTAGTTTTAGAAGCGGTTGGGCGGCCAACCGAAATGCAAATCAAATCGAAACGTGCAAAAATTATATATATCTAAACATACGTACATGCATAAATTATACACTTTTAATTGTAGCCTCTAGTAATTCTATTTTTGTTAAAAATAAATTCTATTAAATTATTTTCAAATGCATTTGGCTTCTGTAGCATATTTATTTAGATACTGCAGAATTTCGGTAAGTAATTATTCGGATTGGGTTTTATTATTGAAAATCAATGGAGAAAACTACTGGGAATCCATTATTTATTTCGACTTTTAACCATAATATATGTAAATAGTTGATATGTGTCCTATTTCTTAATTCAATAACCAAAAGTTCAGTAAGTTAAAGCGACATTATAGTCCGAAATTCATAAAATGCATTAAGGTAAATGAACAGACGAATAAAATAAATGACAGATTGATCAAACTCAGCATAAATATGTAAAAAATTTTAAGCAACTTCAATGGAAACCCAATTTTGTGTCTTTATGGTAAACTGACATTTAAAAGTGTGAAAATGACTTTGATTTTTTAGATTATTAATCCATATCTAACCAAAATAAGATTATACTGAAGAGCTGATAAAACAATGTCAATACACTCTTGCGTTTCAATTTTCCCACGCCCTATTCGGGGGATGTACTTACCTGTAATACTTCCAAAAGGGATAGCGCCTGCCTGACCCATTAGCATGGGCTGACCACAACAATGCAAGTGGGTCGGCAGATACAATACTAATCCGCGGCGACAGGTAAGCCCGCCAATGCTAATGGCCATGTCTAATGGACGGCGTCGGCGCGTGCGTTCCGTTTGGATGAAACACGCGTCCTTTTCCCTCTCAGGATTCAGGATTCGGGAATGTGAATTCAGGACTCGCAACGTGTCGCCTCCCGTGTAATGAGTGCTTCGGTGGCCAGGTTCGAGCAGCACTTGGCAACGGGGCGGTGCTTGGCAACCCCAAACCGGGAGAATACCGGGGGTGGATGCTGTCTGACTGGCTGGCTGACTCGCCGAGGGCGGCTGCTCCTTGATTTGTTTATTGATACTGTATTTACACCCTGCAGACGTTACCACCCCCATTATGTTGGTGATTCCGCCGTTGCCAGGCGGAGGAGCAGAAGGGCATCGCACACGTGTCTGGGTGAGATTGATGGCACATCTCTGGTTACAAAATATTTTGACTTCTTTTATCCGCCGGCGGCTTTTTGCCGATAATTAAATCAACGACTGTAAAGTGTTGCTCTTTGTATACGTATACCAACTGAATTTAATGAGGGGATTGCCATTTCCACCTTTCATGAACGTGTGGGAACAAAGTGTGTTATTTATTCTAAGAAAAAGGAAATTCATAAAGGGATTCATCTTAAATGATTTTCAAATACAATTCTAATGTCCTTTTGCTTAAAGGAAATCTGCGAAACGCCCTACAAAGGATTAAAGGAACACATGGCCAACAGCAATTGTGCGTTTTTTGTTCTCCCATTATTATTTCTTAATCCTTGTGCTGTCAATGCCCTTTTGACAGTTTTTACACCAATGACAGATTGGTAAACCTTACTGTTCAGGAGCATACGTATTGTGTTTTCTTTTAATGAACTTATAATTGTGAATGAATCAAAATTGTAATAATTTTGTTTAATATTGTTAGTAGTAACAAATAATTTCTGTCTTATTTCTTAATGCGTGGCCTACGAAATGTTTGATTCTTTGTCTCTACACACAAATGGTGTGCAAAAAATGCATAAATTGTGCGTAAATGGAGTGTCATACGACGTCCAGCTCGATCAATAAATTCAAATTGGACCGCCAATCGTGTCAACTATCGATTCATCGCCAAAATAAATCGATAAGCTTGGGTACAGTGTGACCGCTTATAGCAAGGACAGTGTATTTCGCATGGCCAGCTGGTATATTTTTTACAGCGTGTTCTGGCGCACGTTGGAAGTAAATTCTAATTTCAATTTAAAATATAAACAGAATGGAGTCAGATGGCAATGCGAAACGCAAGCGACCCAAAAAGAAGGGCAATCGCTTCATGCGGAACGCCAAGGGATTCGCCAAGCAGGGGATATTCGGCCGGGGCACACACATCGACGATGAGCAGTTCAGCTACTTCATTAACATTCTGGACGCCATGAAGGTGGGATTCGAGGACGTGGAGGAGCGAGGTGAGTGGTGGTGATGGCCTCTCCTGACCAGTACCTTCATCAACTATCCTCTCCCGCAGTCAACATGGCCAACAATGTGTTCGAGCAGACCCACGACCAGGAGATCCACCTGGCCTCCAATCAGATCGTTTCCAAGGCTCTGGAATCGCTGGTGGGTTTCGTAGACGACGTCCAGTTGGAGCGATTCTTCAGCAAGTTTGGCGAAAGCTTACGCCCCCTTTGTTCCGATCGTTTCGCCTCGCACGTCCTGCAGAAAATGCTGGAGATTGCCTTCCTGCGGGGAGTGGGCAAGTCAGCTGTCCAGGAAACCAGCGATGCAGCTAGTGCCAACAAGCGGGCCAAGCCGGATGCCGCCCAGGTGGAGGAGGAGTACAACCTGGAGGCGGAATTCAGCGAAGATCACCGCGAGAAGTGCCGGCAGTTCGTGCTGCGCATCTCCAAGTTCATGCTGAACAACCTGGAGGACTTTGTGTGGGACACCTGCGCCAGCCACATCATGCGCACGGCCATTCTGTGCCTGGTGGGCATGCATGTGCCCAAGATCGCCTTCGAGAAGGGCGGCACTGAGATCGCCAAGCACCGGAAGCTCTACTCGGTGCCGGATGAGTGGCAGGAGGTGATGAAGGAGTTCCCCCAGCGCCTGGAGATGTGGCCCCAGTTCACGGACTTTCCCTACCAGGAGCACTCTTCCAGCCTGCTGGGCATCATCTGTTTGGCTTTGAGTGTGGCGGACAAAAGTCTGCTCAAGCATTTTGCCAAGAAAATCTTAACAGTCGGGCTGTTGAAGCCAAATGAAGGTGACGAGGAGAAAAAGGACTTGGACGTCAAGATAGAGATCAAGGACGAAGAGGATGAGGAGAACGCTGAGAAGAAGCCAACAGATCCCAACTTACCGAAGGTCTTCCATCATCAGACCTCTGTTATTCTGTTAGAAACTATTTTGAGTGTGGCGGGAGCCAAACTGCTGACCCAGCTGTATGCCATGCTCTTCTGCAACCGCATCGGCTATTTAGCTCGGCAGCAGGGAACGAACTTTTCTGTCCAGCGTCTCCTGCAGCACATCAAGGAGGTCTCGGACTTCGAGGCCGTCTTCACCGAACTCCAGCCGCACGTGGAGGAGCTGCTCAAGATGGGTTACACCGGCGTGGTGTCCGGACTGAGTGCAGCCTGTCTGCGACTGGGCACCAAGCAAGCTCAGATGATAGCCGCCCTGCAGAGTGCTCTGCATGTCAGCGGCGACAAGGAGAAAATCCAAGCTCTTCTTCAACTGCCTGGTGAAACTGAAGCCTTTTGAAGTGCTTGGCAGCGATGAGTCGGGATTCGTTCATCTCCACGGGTCGCTCATCGCCCAACACGTGCTGCAGTTCAACAAGCCCATCTTCCTGGTCAACTGCATCCTCGATCTGCCCGCCACCCAGCTGGCTCAGGTCTTCAACACGCCCAATGGCTCGCACATCGTGGACGCCTTCATGCAGAGCAAGTTCATAGGGGAGAAATCCAGGGAGCGTCTGATCCGCCAGCTGGATGGCTTCTACGTGGACTTGGCCATCACTCGACATGGCTCCCGCGTCTTCGAACAATGCTTCAATGCCTCCCAGGAGGCGCAGAAGCTGCGCATGGCCAAGGAGCTTTTCGCCAAGGCAAACATGCTGAAGGGATCGCCGCATGGAAGGATAATCTACACAAAATACCGCCTGGATACATATAAGCTTTCGCCCAGCCAGTGGCAGGAGAGCTTTGTCCAAGCACCTGGACGCAGAGCAGCCAAAGGAGGCGAAGCGGAAAACGGCCAAGACAGCCGCCGAAGCTTTCAAGGATATACTTAGCTAGTATCTAGACTGTGTATACTAATAAATATTGTTAAATCTGAATTTGATCGATATATATTAGATCATTCTGATTCCGTAATTAAGTTGTGTAATTTTCCAGCAAGTCAATTAATGCTATCACACCCTTATCAGCTTAAGTATAAGAGGCTAAAGCGGACTCAAACTCAGTTGTATTGCGACTGCCTGAGCTTAGACATGTGGCTGCTGCGCGGAGCGTTTGTCTGTGGACTTCTGGCCATGGCCTCGGCCTTTGGAGATGAGGCAATTTTCGAGGACGAGGACATCTATAACCAGGCGCTGCCACCAGTTCCCCACACGGGCATCACGGTGCCCGGAACCAAGTGGTGCGGACCGGGCAACACGGCAGCAAACCACGAAGATCTTGGAAGAGAGCGTGAGACGGACAAGTGCTGTCGGGATCACGACCATTGCGACGATATTATCGAGTCGCATGCTGCACTCCACGGACTGCCGGTCAACACAGACTGGTTTCCCATGTAAGTGGAGGCTCCTTCGAAATCCCTTATCGATTTTGTACACTTTTTGACCTTCATCATCCGATTTAGTCTGAAGTGCACCTGCGAGCAGCAGTTTATCAATTGCCTGCAAGCCGTGAATAGCCTCACCTCCAACACACTGGGACGAATTTACTATGGCAGCAGGAGCAGGTGCTTCGCCAACGGATATCCCACCACCGGATGCAAGCAGTACCAGGAGGGAACCTTCCGCAAGCGCTGCATCCGCTATCAGGTGGACAAGAGCAAGGCCAAGGTCTGGCAGTTCTACGACATGCCCTTCTTCACGCTCCCAGCGAAGACGGGCTGACCCCACAACGAAGATTTGTAGACGATACTGTTATCAATATCATACTATCAATATTTTACATGTCATTTAAAATTAATTACTACCTGATTATCAAGACAAATATTAGGTAAATTTGTAAGGATTTTAAATAAAGACCGACCATTAATCGTTAATTTATGTCAATTAATTTTTACTATAATATAATTTAATTATTACAGACAAAAGTATAGAATTTTCTTAAGCTAACTAGTTGGAACCGTTTTAAAACGTTTTCTAAACTTTTCAAAAATATATTCATAAAAATCTTTATAATTTTAATTGGGCAAACTTCTTTATTTTACAAATTGATTACACAAAACTCTCACCTTCATAAATCTAATCCTGTTCAGTTTCAATTTCAGTCAATTCTGTTTGTAAACAAAAAAAAATTTAAGAACTTAAAATAAAAACCCGACCGTTAAGCCCTAATTTATAAATCAACTAATTTAAAGTTGGAATCGTTTTAAAAAAAAGTTTTCCAAACTTTTCAAAAATAGATTCATAAAAATATTTTTAATTTTACTAAGTTTAGGTTTATTTTACAAATTGATTACACAAAACTCGCACCTTCATAAACCTAATCTTGTTCAGTTTCAATTTCAGTCGCTTCTGTTTGTAAACAATCATAGCCTTATCGCCCGAGGTCGGAGTTCAATCTCAGGAGTCCTCCTCACTGCCGCTGACATGTGTGTAGAGTGCCAAATCGTAGAACTGCCAGCGCTGCGACTGACCTTCGTCCACTCGGTAGCTGAGACAGCGGGTCTCGAAGAAGTCGGTCTGCTTCTCCCGGCAGGAAACGATGGGGTGTCCGTAGCCAAAGCACACGTCCTTGGTGCTGAAGTAGATCCTGCCGAGCGCCAGGGAGTGACCGTTGCGCAGGGCGGTGAGGCAGCTTCGGAAGGCGGCCTCGCAGGTGCAGGAGAATCTGCGGAATCCCACATTTATTAAGCCAAAGCTTCGGCTAAGTGATTCACTCTTACATGGGAAAAATGCCCTCGTTCTTCAGGCCAAAGGCTTCCTCTTGCGCCGGAATCTTCTCCTCGCAGTTGTCGTGCGCCCGACAGCACATGTCCACCTCCCGCTCGGTGCCGAGGTCGTCATAGCTGGTGGCTATGTTTCCGGGCCCACACCACTTGGTTCCCGGCACGGTTATGCTCAATCCCACGGCCACATGGCTGACACAGATCAGCGCCAGAAGAGCCGAAAGAAAGGCGGTATAGGAAGTCATTGCTCACGAGAAAAAGGCTGACAGACGACTGATTCAAGGGGATTTCCGCAGAGAAGAAATTCGGTATGGTTATTTAATCACTACGCCGTCGTTTGAGCTGCGATTGAACATTGAATACTGATTACGCTTAATGCTCTCGCAATGAGATTAGACATTTAGGTGTAATAAATACTAGATACAATTGGACACTTACAAACAGATAGACAGATAAGTACAAGTGGCTCGGGCTGTGGCCCTAGTTAAAGCTCAGCGGTTAATACAAGGCAAGTAGACACTAAATACGAGTACGATTGGGTGTCCGAGGAACCTCTAAACATTTCTCAAGAACACCCACAATTAAATAAAACTTAAATGATATAGAAACCCCTCCCTGATCATCTATGCCTCGCTCTTCTGCCGGTTCTGCATGACCTGCCGCAGCTGGGGGAACGTGCTCTTCGTCTGCGCCGGATGCAGGCGGGCGCACAGCGAGGTGAAGGGCTCGTAGAGGGAGGGCCGCTCCATGGCGTTCACCGTGTAGTGCTTGATGCGCTCCCGCTGGCACCAGATGTTGGCCCGGTCCATCACCTTCTCCACGGGATTGGGAGCTGCCCTGGCACGCACATTGGCCAGCACGATGACAGGGATCTCCTTCTTCTCCTTGTGCTTCTCGATGTCCGTCTTGATGTCGGCCAGCATGTCCAGGCTGCGCGGATCCATGGGATCGTAGACCAGGACAAAGGCGTCCGGAAACTGGAGGTAGTGTCGCGGCAGCTGCTGCTGCTCGCCCTGCAGACCAGCGGTGTCGTAGATGCGCAGGGTCTCGCGGGCTCCTCCCCTGCTTGTGTCCACACTGGCCACGTAGATGTCCTCGATGGTGGGATGCAGTTCCTTTAATACAAATTTGTATAGTGATGATGATGATGAGCAACCAGTTTTCGTTGGAGCCGCCCACTCACCGTTTCCGGATTGACGTGGCCGTAGACCAGCTGCTCAATCAGCGCCGTCTTGCCCACGCCCTTCATGCCGCACACCAGCACTTTGCCGACCTTGCCGATCTTGGCATTAAGCATTGTTCCTGCAGGAGAAATGGGGGGCCACAAAAAATAAACAAAACTTTCTTTTTGGCTGTTCGTTAGTGTGACCAAGTGCCACCAACGAAATATGAATGCTGCGTACGGCTTATCGATTGAAATAAAATCGCGCTTAATTTGAATTTGTTCAGAAAATTTCAAATTATAGGGGGATTCCCTAAACTGTTGAATTGCTGAATTGTTGAAAATTCAACAAAAAATTTCAGCGATTAAGGGAACGACCCAAAATGGTTCCTGTTGAATTTTCAAACAGCTGTTATTTGTTGAAAAGTTTCACGGAACTTAAAACATGTCAGATTTGATGTATTATTGCTAATTTCTGCCTAAAATTGTTACCAGGTTAAAAATAACCACAAACATGCTTCCTAAGTTGATTTTAAAATAAATAATGCGTACTGGTGATACTAAAATGTTACAGAGTGGCCACGACTTTTAACAAAAGGTGACAACTCTGGCTTTTCAGCAATTCAACACAATTTTCAACAGCCCCGAGGCTGATGAATTGCTGAAATTTTTGAAAGTTGACTTTGTATGGAACAGCTGATTAACAGCTGACCAAAATTCAACAATTCAGCAATTCAACAGTATAGGGAATCCCCCTTATATTTCATCCTCTTTTGAATAACTGAAAATAGTCCTGAATCTTGAATATTTATTTAAGAGTATCACTCTATATCAGACAACCAATATAATCTAGCTAATTCTTGAAAAATGAGTTTATAAACATTGTTATTGGGAATATTTTATAAGGCGACATAACTTCGTAACTTTAAAACACATTTTTATAAGGTTTTAGTACTACTATCTACCATAAATAATTCTAGAACTTTAAGACCCCACCACAACAATAAGAAAAAATCTATTTTTAAGGATAGTCATTTTGTTCTTTGGTATTATTGGACATTTATTCCTGTTAAATAGAAATCTTACAATTTATTCTTAATCCTAATTCTCAGTATTTAGCCTACACCGAATTCTCCAAATTCAAATTTTGTTCCGGCTGCAACTCTGTTGCACTTTTAACTGAGTGTAATTTGTTCTATAATAGCACTGTGTGATAGCAATAGATTGCGGTTAGGACCAGCGCAATTGGTATCTCAGTTTGCGAAGGTGTATCCTCGTCTTGAAGACAACATCCCACAAGGGACTGCTGATCCCGTAACCGAGGGTTTGGTGCGAGAAATGGTGGTGCTGGTGATATCGCTTCATGTGCACAAAGGCACGCGTGGTTGGATTTCCGTAGTGTAGATAGTAGTGGATCATGTCGTAGCACAGATACCCGGTCAAAGCTCCGGAAAGGACAACTCGCGGATTCAAGAGGATGAAGCTGAGTGGCATGTATATAATCGTGGCGAGCAGTGCTCCCGGAAGAGGCGGAAACACCAAGCGCATTGGATCAAAGGGCACCTTGTGGTGAAGTCCATGGATCATGAAGTGGAAGGTACATATCCAACTTCCGCTGTTGCTGCTCAGTTTGACGTGGAACACCCAGCGGTGGAGTGTGTACTCCAGGAAGGTCCACAGGAGCACTCCAAACAAAAAGTAGCCGACGAACGACGTGAGCTGGAAGATAATGGTTTACTTAGAAGAGCTTATAAAAGATTAAAGATTCAAGTAGCTGCTCACCTGGTTCTTATCCTGCCAACTGCTGGCGAGCTCTTCCCACGCACACCGGATGATGACTGGAATCCAGAACAGGGGCACCAACCACCACGGCGTCTTCGTGCACATCTCCAAGTACCAAGGACCAAAGAGTCGCAGTGGCCTGTCCACCGGCTTGTGCACCCACTCATCGTAGCAATCCGTCATGTTGGCGATCTGAGGAAGCATTGCCTTGGACCAGTCCACCAAGTGCTGGAAATAATAAAATTAAATTTTAAATAATTTAATAATAAATCGGGTTTTTTATCTTAATCCTTAGAATGCCCAATAAATGATATAAAATAAAATATTGATGGCCTAGAAAATTGTATAATTAGGAAAAACTATTTTATTGGACCAGTTTCAGATTTCAATACATTTTAAAAAGTACTCCCAAATACCGTTAATACTTTTAGGTATGACCAGTTGCAACCACCAACCCCAATAACGATACCCATTCGATGTGATCGGGTATCGATAAGCAGGTACAATCACAAGCAGCTGGTTCAAAATTGTCATTCAAACCTGTCCTGTACTTCACACACAACAACGCAGTTTCCACTCGCCCCGTAGTCGAGAGCAGATTTGTAGAATTCCAGACGCCTAGCTGTTAGTCCGGAGCTGGTGGACCATGTCGAATACCTCAGTTCGCCCGATTCCCACTCTGAAGGGCATCTTTTCGGTGCCGCGTAAGATATATTTTCCAAACAGCCAACCACCGGCCATGGCAACCAGTGGCTAATTTGTTTTGGCCTCCGTTCCCACAGGCGTCACGCAGTCCCGAAACTTTCTCAAGGAAAACAAGGTGAGCCTGCGCTCGCTGGAGAAGACCACCAGCCAGAAGTTGGCCGCCAAGGAGCCGGTGCGTCCGAAATGGATGCCTCCGCTGCGACGCACTGCCTCTGAAGTGAGGGAGTCGAAGGCGGAGAAACCACAGGCCAAGGGAAAGCCTGGACCACAGAACTCGTTGCAGAACACGCGCAGCAACTCGCGTTCCCAGCATCAATTGGCGGTGGCCATTCCCGCGGATGGAGAACGCTTCGATGGCCTGGAGGAGCGTGATCCCCTTCTGTATGACCCCTCAGAGGAGTTTGAGCCAGACAACTTCTTGGAGCCCTTATCCGACCCGTCTTCGGATCGCTGCCAATCCTGCGGCACCAATCGCAGCTCCACCAGCATCGGCATTCAGACCGAAGACATAACTGACGAACTGTATCTCACAAATGCTCTTAAGAGGTAGGATTCCTGTAACAACACTTAAAAAGGTATCTAACGAGCTTGTCTATTCCTCAGATGCAACTTCGATAGTCGTTCTATAATGGAGGATACACGCACAAAGTACGAAGATAACTATAACCCAATGCGCTATGAAGACGAGAAGGATTTGGAACAGTTGCCGCTTTCAGCGCGCTCGAACGGCTCGAAACAAAGCCGCTTCCACATGTCCGAAATGGAGGCAATGCCCATGGCCGAGACTGAGCCAATAAACTACGGAGGATCCGACGATGAGGCGCCACTCAGTGCTCGCAGTCGCTTCACAACGGCCTCCAATGTCACCACCATCACTTCAAAGTCAAAGCGTCGTGAGCACAAACTGGGATGTAAGTGTATTTCCTGATCCTAAAGAAGTCATACTTAAAAAGTTATGAACCAACTCGATTTTTAAAAAGAGTTTTTTGATCAAACCTACGAAGTTTTTCTCCTATCGCAATAATCACTATAGACTACCATCCTATTTAAACACTACCATCCTATTAAAACCACAAAACATTTTTGTTTTAAACATTCTATCAAATCATTTACAAAAAATAATTTCAAATATTTTTTCTGTTTTAAACACATTATAAAAATTAAAAGATCTACCTGATTTGCTAATAAAAATGTAACTTTAAAGTTTAGTTCCATTATATGAAATCAACAATAAAAATAGGAATACCAACTATTTTTATGTTATGAAAATATTATACCTTATTATTTCGACAGCTCGGGATGAGGTTCGCCTGCCGCGTTACTTGGAGAAACAGAAGCGCGAAAAGGCCGTGGCCAAGCAACTGGCTGATTCGCAGGATCCCGACTGCCCACGTGGACATGTGTTGCTAAGCGATCAGGATCGATTGACTCATTTGACCAATGCCAAGAAACGTGAGTTAAAGTAATTATTACAATTAAGAAACTTGTTAAAACCATTCATTTTTTACAGGCTTCGATCAGCTTGTCAATGAGCTAAATCACATGCCCATGACCGCGCAGACTTTGCGGGTGCAAAACCGCAAGGCGGAGATCGACAAGGAGTTGACCATCGTTGAGGAGGACATTCGCATTTATTCCAAGGCAAAGGTCTTTGTGCCGGCCAACAAGTCGCGCCAATTGTAGCTCCCCAATTCTTGAAGCATTCCATCCACCGACTGACTGACAAGGAACTAGGATTTTCAAAACACAAGTGTTCCTTTCCAAAGCATGCCTTATGTTAATTATATATTTTCTAGCTGAGCTGTAGATCGCAAAAAGGCCCCAAAAAAGGGCTGCCCAGCTCAATGAGCGATCCTATCAGCCAGCAACTAGAGTTACAGATTAAAAGCCGCTCATATAACTTACCTCCATGCTCTCGTCCACCTGGTTGTTGTTCTTGTCCTCGGTTTCCCTCGTCCGCTGTCGTAGGTCTGCATCTCCGTTCTGAAGCTCAGCTTCTTTGTGGCTTGTCTTGGTTTTTCGAGAGTCCTCCGGTTCGATCTTGTACTCCCTCATCAGGTACATGGCTGCATCCGAATGTGGCGGAGCCTTCAGGAAGCGAGCAGTCATGTCCCCGCTATTGAGACCCTTCAAAGTGTTTATGCCGCCCGGATGCTTGTGCATAAACCTGGACAGATCGTAATAATGCTGGCGATACTTCACTATGAACTTCTCGTTCGCCTCCGCTTCCTTGTGGGTATCCATCTCGATGGGCTTCGATTTGGCAACTGCAATGCAATAATCAATCGGATAAGACTTCGTTGTTCTTTTGCGAGCATATTATAGTAACAGATTATCTTCTAAATTAATTACTTTGCGTGTCTAGCGGCAACACGATTTTATATTGGTTAACGTCCTATTGTCTGTATCAGACACGGTCAATTAAATAGACAATGCACATGGATTATTTTTATCAATGCACTCAAAGTTCAGAAGGTCTCTTCTGGGGGTAGTGGATAATTTGTAACTTAGGGCAAATAAAAATTCTCTGCAGAATGAATCACGCCCAGAACAACCTTTAAGTATGAAAGTTTTTTCTGAACTGAATCTGAAATAAGGTCGCTAGACGTCAAGGACCATTATAATGTTCCAGATAAGCCTTTCTCTTAAAACATTGTGGAACTGATTAAAAACCCATTACTTATCCGAATGTGATGACGTTATCGGATTGCAATTTAATAATCAAAATATTGTAAAATATAAAAATAAAGAAATAGAGATCTGAAACCAGGAGCACTTATAAGTTAATAAATACTCGTGAATATTTGACCGAACTTTTCTGATAACAGATCTACAAAGTTTTTTTGGTTTTAAATTCGACTGAATTAATAGGAAGAAATAATAAAGTAAATCAAGCGATTTTAATTTGCAATAGCAGCCCCTTGGGAACTTATTTTTTTTCCCCTTTGTCGCCTAATTTCCTTGATGTCTTATTACTAACAGTCTTGTAGTCATAAATATTTCAATTTCTTCTGGCTGATTTTTTGTTTCGTCATATTAACGAAATAGCTTAACATTATGATGATCATAAAATGTCTAAAAAAAAAAATGCCATAAAAAATATCAATTGCTGAATCTATAATAACGTAATCTATCGACATCGGAATCACCTAGTGTTGAAAAAATTTGCACCTAAGCGACATTCTTAAAATTCACTTTAGTCCAAACCTTTTTTAAACTTAGTTCAGAAAATAAAAATTAAAGAAATTTTTATTGAACTTTATTAAAAAAATTGTAATTTTTAAATTTCTAGATTGGTCTGGGAAAGGCTTTATCACTGCCATGCTTGCAGCACATTTGTTTAATTGTTCGGTAATCGATGTAATTACAGGGATTAGGTCAAACCAATTGCATGTCGGAACTGCAACCTGCAGTGCAATGTAGAAATTGCATTTCACCCATATATTTCAAGTGAACTTGGCATTCCCCGAGTGCACCAGATGTTATTTTCCGCAGATGGATGCCAATATGGGATCCGCACAAACATTTCCATTCTTTGCGGGCCAGGGACTTTGCCTTCTGTCTACGCGCCAAGTTGAGCGTCGCCATTCCAGCGACGATGTTGCTCCGTCTATATAGTAATATAGTTTCTACTTATCGTTGCTGATAGGAGAGCCTGTAAGCGCGGGGATTTGGTATGGACGAGTGGGAGTAGACGGGTCGTTTGTCAAAGTCGCAAGTGGTAAGTCCCAAATCGGGGTGCACCGATACTGGGTGGAGCGGCAGGTGCTGTGACTCAACCCCGGGTTTTGGGGGCTGCGTCACATTGATTAATAGTGCTGTCTATCTGACACCTATGCGGATAGGGATAGGCCGGGCATATTCATATATTATCTGCCCGTCCTCTTGTCTGCTCGCAGACCTATTCTAACACCCATGGACAAACCATTGACGGATAGATCAAACGAAGCCTTCCACTCGTGTTTACACGCGGTTAATGGGTTTTGGTTCGTGGAGTGATAATGGGAACCATCCGGCATTATCTATCCGGGTTAGCTGTGCCCTGGAAACCTGTCGGTACCCAGCGGTCAGGGTGGGTCGAGGGTGGTATCTTATCACTGGCGATGACAAAATATTGAAGAATGCCTGCATAATAATAGTTTACTATCTTAACTTAAGTTCGGTAACATTTTGCACTTTTTCGGGGCCATCTAGTACGTACATATAAGCTACCCTGGCAATTTGCATAATTTTAGAGTCTCTTAGCACGGGATTATTTATTTACCGAAGACGCACTGCTGCTCAGAATAAAGTACTAGCTTCTAGACCGGATTCCAAATTGGCAGCGGAGCCTCGGACCGCACGCAATGCAACGCAACTAACGACTGAACTATGGCCCACCCACCCAACACACATCCGTAGAGCCGTAGCGCCGACGCCGACTGCGCAGCTCAGTGCTATCTTCTGGCCTCTAGCCGCTAGTCTACCTAGCTCTACCTCCTAGCCTCTAACCACTAGCCGTTGGCGCTCCTGACACTGCCACAAAATAAGCCGACCACGCAGTCCGCAGACGATAAGCTAAACCAAGAAGCCTAGGCTGTAACAGTTCTAGTTCCATGGAAGAGCTCTCTCCGGAGAGAGAGACTGCCGGTTCATGCTTACCGGCTTTCTGCGGCCGAAATGTACCGAACTCTTATCTACCGATATGCTAGACAATATAGCTCGCTATCGCGGCGTGTTCTAATTTTGCTAAACAATCCTGACGTAGATCTCGATAACGATAATCGAGCGGGCGGATAACTATTTGGGTAGTCATTATCAGGATTCTAATAGCCACACAAGTAAATGAGTCACCACGGGTTAGAGCTGTGATTTTGGAAATTCGAAATGACTCACCTACGAAAACCCTCCTCTGATCGTTAGGAAGATTAAGTGATAAGTTACTTATCATTGGATTGAAGTTCTTTTTGAGGTTCAGGTTAAGGTGTACTTTGTGCAAAGAATAACCTAAAAGGAATCAAGTGACCAATAATAGATTTTTAGACACCACAATATGACTTATATTTCACAAAATCATTAGTCATTTACTAAAACGGAAAAACTTTTTTTTTATTACCTATTCATTATATTTCTTATAAAAATTAAAACGTGAGCTCCTCAAAGTGACTTCTTTCCGGAATTGTAATATCTGCTATATTAATCAATAATCAGTTAAAACAGTTTAACACAACATTTGCAAATTGTACCATCTAAAAATGTATCTTATAGCTCCCACTTAGTTGATCGACATTTTAGCAAGTATCATATGGCTTTATGTAAACAGTTTCCCCTTGTTTGGAAGGTCTCAATCTCACATTTAAAGAAGTCGATTAGTGGTTAACAGTAGGAGTTTGGTAAGCCGCAAGACCGTCATATGTTTCTTTGAGCTCCAAAGGGGAATTTGTAGGGCATCTCTTTGGGTTGGAAAACCGCGTAGCAACCCAGTTATTGTATTTATCTACTTATCTACCGGCTAGATGCACTAAGATAAAATTGAAGTATACATCAATACTTGAGTATATAATAATCGTATTCACGCCACACAAGTTCTTAGAAAGTGTTTAGCCTAGAGAAAATTTCTGTTGCACAGTCCCGCCTTTGAGTGGGAAAAGTCAGAAATGTCAGTCTGTGCCAACAACTTGGCGTTAAGGGGCCAAGCCAAGCCCTGCGGCAACCAATCATTACCTATCGCAAGGGACTCTAACGGAGAATAAACTTAATTATATGTGCATCAATATCGGCTTAATCGAAGGGGAATCGAATTGATTGAGTTGACTGCGCTAGGTCGCTACGAAAAGGCTCAAACGCGTTGAGCAGGAACTAATTACTCTCCAATGTGCCAAAGATATCAATATCAATCATGTGGGGCAACATACAATACTGGTAAGTCTAATTAAGCAATAGAGGATAAACCACCCAACCCAGTTTTGAAGGATGATTTGTTTGGGTTCAGTGAAACATAAATTTATATTATCAGAACATACTCGGAGGTGATACGATGTATCTTCGAAGGGTAAAAGCAGGTTAAGGATATAAAGAGGTATATATAGTTGATTCCTTCCCAAATTGAAAAGTAAGTAAATGAAAAACAAAACTAATCAATTTGTAAACCTTTTTTTAAAGGCACTTCCTCCACTGAAATATTTGTTGCAATTATGTAAAAGATCTATATTTGGTGGGGCTATTGTGGTGATATTGTAATAATCTAAGAAACGACACAGATTATATATCTACGATAGGGATCTAATAAACTTCGATATCGCAGCAGATGGAGGAATAAAATGTTTATAGAGACCCCATTTCATATTCTCAAAGTGGTTATCATACTTATATGGACTATATATGGTGATGTGCTCGTGACAAAGTTTCCCACTGTCGTCATCACAAAGAACACACTTTTGTAGCATACTGTATGGCTGCTTTAAGTTTTTGCAGTGCTTCTCAAACTGTTCTGATAACTTATAGAAGTAAGAGCCGTTTTCTCGTCCGTTTGTTAAATTTGTTAACTAATACCTTGAAACCAGTTAACTTATTGACTGTTTTAAACAGTAAAAAACAGTGTAGTAATAAATCAGTGCATGATTTAGATGGCTTTCTTTTCTTGTAATAACTCTTTAGAAAGTTATGCCAATATAAAATCGAACTGATCTAATTAATTCTGAAAAAATGTATAATAAACTCTGTACTCTAGGCACTTCTAATCACTTTTTTGGAAAGTAATATATTGTAATATACTGGGATATGGGACCGTTCTGGGATCTTCTTTTTCAAGTGGTTTACTAATTCTTGATATAAAAATAAGTAAGTAGAACTACAAGTCTCCGAAACAAAAGAACCCCCATTTTAATTTGTTTTAAAGTAGCTCCGTTAAAATTATTGTCGATCCTGCGCCAAAGCTAAGAAACAATAAGAAATAAATACTTTGTTTGTGAGACACAGACAACAGTCCGTTAGGCCTTTTTGTATTTTAACGTTTGAATTAGTAATAATAGCTTAACTCTAGTTTGTAATTTATATCCAATTAAAACCATATATATTCAAATTATATAATTCCGATGGGAAATCCATTGCCAGGATCACGATTCAGTGGCCATTGCCATTGGTGGCCAGCTTGGCGGATCCGTTGGTGTGTCCATTGGCATGGAGCTTCTTGCCATTGGTGGCTGATTCCACGGCACAAGGTTGGCCCACGGTCTTCACCCGCTTTACAGGCGGCTCATTCGTGATGGTGGCGAAGTCGAACTGTGGATGTAGAGGGGTTTAAGGATCTCTAATGACTGGTATTTGGACATTTTCGACTTACCCGCTGCTCCAGGGTCATGTGGGAGATGGGCGGCAGTCCGATGCAGCCGCGCAGGATGTTCTCGATGGCGGCGCGCTGGCGGAAGAGCGAGTTGACCACCTGGGAGCCCTGCGGCACTAGAGGCGCCTTGCACAGGTAGCTTAGCAGTGAGAGGACTGGCTTGAAGGGCACCCACGGTGCGGATTCGTTCTCAGCACTGCGCAGCTGGATGCGAGTGCTCAGCTCGCCCAGGATCACCAGGTCCAGGATCAGGGGAGTGGCAAGCAGTGAGTCCTCGCAGGTGTTGTGGATCACCAGGGTATTGTGGCCGCCCATCATGATCTCCGATGTATACTCGTCCATGGCCCGCTTGCTATCGCCCACATAGGGCACGTACTTGATCACCACCACATGGTCGGGGTGCTCATCGGGTTTGTACAGCAGCTTGTTGGAGGCCACCATGTCGTCGACCACGTTGCTCTTGGAGATCTGATGGGGGAAGGGTATTTAATGATTTGACGGAAGTCAAAGGAATTTGATGGACACTTACCTCCTTGGAGCGGAACTGCTGGGGAGCGGACAAGTTCTTTCCATCGTTGTTACCCAGGTGATTGTAGCTGGCAATCGAAACCGGCTTGATACCAGCTCCCACCAGGAAGTCCACCAGCACGCTCTTGATCTTCGTCTGTCCCGACTTGAAGTCATCGCCGGCAATGAAGACCTTATTCTCCTCGGCCAGCTGGATAAGTCCGGGGACAAAAGTGTTCTGGGGAGAGCCATTGATATAGGTGCACTGAGGGATGGAAGGGAAATAAGATAGGGATTAAACTCTTTGAATTATAAGTTATTATACCCGTTACTCGTAGAGTAAAAGGGTATATTGTATTCGTGCAAAAGTATGTAACAGCTAGAAGGAAGCTTTTCCGATCCCATAAAGTATATATACTCTTGATCAGGGTCACTATCCGTATATATATGTATATGTATATGATTTGAACGCTAAGATCTCGGAAACTACAAAAGCTAGAAGGTTGAGATTTCCCACACATATTCTTTGGCTTCCTACGCAGCGCAAGATTGTTTCAACCGAGCGTCACGCTCTCTCTAACACCCACAATCGCCCACAAACTATTTTAACTGCAATTTTATAGTGTTTATAAATACCTATCGAAATGTAGAAGACATTTTTCAAATCGGACCATTCATTAAAAAGTTATGCGCAATCAAAGTTTTTTATATATCCAACTCCCTCGCACTCCCTTTAGCTGAGTGACGGGTATTAGATAGTCGGGACACCAACCCGACTATAGCGTTCTCTCTTGTTATAATTAAACTCACCCCCTCGGCAATGCTGGCCATGGCGAAGATCGTGGAGGGCGACACCTCCGAGTTGTTGGCCTTCAGAGACGCCAGGAGCTCCTGGCTGGTGGTGTTCAGTCCCGCCTGGACATCGGAGAACCGCTCAGTGTTGGCGGTCCACAGGACGATGACCGAATCGACGCCACTGCTCTGGCGGAAGTCACGAATGTCCTGGCGGATCTGCTCGTACTGCTCCAGTCGAGTTCCACGGATTACGTTGTCGGCCCGATCCGACTGGTTGGCCGCAATGAAGTCCGGATCGTAGATGGACGGACGAGGCTGTATCTGGGCGAGCTTATCGTAGATCTGATCCTGCAGAGCAACGTCCAGGACCTCGGCCCTGCGCATAGCATCGCCCAAATGGAGCCCACTGATGTCCCAGCCATCGACGACAATGTTGTCGGGCTCCACCATGGGCAGCAGGTCCTTCATGGGCACATAGACGTCGCCGCCAGCCTCATCGGATCCGATGAAGACGGTGGAGGCCTGGGTGATGGAGCCGAACCAGTTGGCCTCCTGGATGCCCGTCCGCTTGCGCCACTTCAGCTGGCGGCGATTGGCCTCCAGGGCGGCGGTCAGGGTGGAGCCGTTGTTGCCGCCCCATCCCACCAGCATCACGCCCAGCTTGGGCACCTGGCGACCTGTCCGTATCTTCAGCGCCGTCGTCTGGGGGTGCACCTGCAAAGATCGATCGATCGGAGATTAGGGACTCGATTAGCCTGGCACAACCACAACCCGTTTGGTCTTATTATAGGTCCGGCCACCTTATCGCCATACCATATCGTGCCACCCCAGTCAGGTAGCCAAGTAGCCGCATAAATTATGATCGCGTGATTTCTGCGAAGCGAACCTGATATCAATACCTCTCTATTGGAGGGGGAATATCTGTGATTAGGAGCTCTTGGCAACAGGTGGCTACGATCAGATAGATTATAAATCAATAATAATCATTAATTAGTTTTAATTGTAATTCCCAAGTCTTTAATAAAAAATAGTAAAATCTACACACAAAAAAATGTTCTTGGTAAAATTGACCAACAAAGATAGTTACGTAACTATTAAAATAGTTACGTGTATTTTGTTTTTGCTTTGGGTGTGTGTCTTTGCTAATTGTGTGTATTTTGTTGTTGTGGAATAATTATTTACTTAGTAGAATTGACAATTTTGCTTGTTGGGGCCTGTTTGACAATTATTACAGTTGATTTTACCAAGTTTTTTTTGTGTGTATGTGTAAAACAGAAATCATATCGTAGAAAAGAAGCTAGTAAAAGGGAAACAGACATTCACTATGCCTATTTCGAATTAAATTGATTTTCACAATGAATGCGAATAAAATGTAGATTATAAAAATTAGTTATTAAAATTAACAGGTATTGTAATAGGTATCATAAGGTCTTATAAGGCATAACACGTTTTTTGGCTCTTGTTTATTTTAGCAGTTCTTGCTCGATTTCTGCCGAGTCAACGTGCTCTTTGATTTGAACCACAAATAAAAGCTGATGAATAAGTAATGATAATGATGATGATGATTGCATTAATAATTTGGGAACGTGTTGGTCCAAAGTCCGCGAATAAGTTGTCCAAAAGCCGGCCGGCGAAATTATCACTGGCAAAAGAGGAAAGAAAAGGACAGGAGGCTCGCTCTTTAGCCGGCTAAGAGAGTGGACTTCTCTTTGGGCGGCCCTCTCTCTCTTCTTTGTGGACATCGCCTGACAGTGACCTTGAGGCGCAGCAAGTGTCTGTGCGTGGGTGGGGTGTGGGTGGTAGTAGGGAAGGTAGAGGGATGTAAACAGAGCACGTACCGCGACCGCAATCACTTGGAAATGGGCTATCGTGTTTCGATTTGGGTTTACTTGCCATCCCTATTTGTTTAGGTGCCATTTGATGGACGGCAAAGGCGCCTGCGCACAGAATCACGCCACCCGCTGTCCGAAATATGGAAATGATGACGAGATATCAGCCGCATTTATCGACAGCTGTTTTCCCGAATAATCAATAAGCTGTAACTGTAACGCTTCGTGTAAGTGAGTAAGGCGCCGCCCCCGCTTATCGCTATTTTTATCTGCTGCGAATCGGGGAGTGGTCCCTTGGGAGTTCGGGAATTCCGCACTGTTCGGTCCTTGGCTAGGTAATGGAAAATTCCGCTGTCCCTACACCCAGAAAAGTGATTTATTGAACTTTGTTTGTCTTAAATATCGTTGTTTGGCATAAATATTACTAAGTATAATAACAAGTTGGACCAAAATACATAAGTCGCACTTAACTTGTTTTTAGAGTAAACTATACACTGATATTATTCCAGAGGTAAAATAATTAATTGATAACAAGCGTTCTTCATCCGTCCGTATTATTACTATTAACGAAATAGATTTTTAAATGTTTTTAATTAAGATCAAACGGTTTGAAGATTATTTGCCCTTGGTGAGAAGTATAATCCCATTATTAATCGAACAAATTAAAGAAATGTAAAAAAAATTTAACAAAGAAGATATTACAAAATCAGAAATCTCATAAATCTATTTGTTAAGAACGAGAAAAAATTAAATAACACTTAAAAATTTTAATTTTGGCATTTTACTTTGTTAGGGAAGACGTATAAGTGTTTAAAATTTTCAGACTCTAATAATTAAAATATTTAAGCAAGAAAATTTGGATACATTATTAATTACATTATACATTATAAATTAATTAATTAATTAATTTGGCCATTATTAATTATTTTCAGCACCCCAGGTCAGGCATATTATTCTCTGAGTGCTGGCAAGTGCGCATTTGCGCGGGAGAGCAAATCCCGCCTGTTGGAAAAGTTCAATGTGAAGGTCAGCGCGGCAGCCGGAAAATGGGCTTTTCGCACCCAGTTCTAGATATATTTTAACCCTATTGGTTGATGATCTCTAACAGCTGCTGGAGTAACCACTTGGTAACGAGACTCACCTGGAGCTGTCCATCGGCGGAACGCTTCACGTGCGACGTCTGGTAATCGTAGTCGGTTGTGATAAATTCATCATCCAACTGCACTTTCGGGGAGATGACTTCCAGCGTTGAGTTGTTGGTGGGCTTCATTCTCGATTTCTTGCTAACACTCTCTTTTTGTCAATTAGCGCGTTTTAATGTATTTCGCGGGGGAACTTGATTCTGGAGACTGCGTTGTGGTCGAGGCAAAAGTTCGCGGCGAATGACTCGGTTGAGTGGAAAGCGGGCCGCTTTTATAGACTCCCCCGGCTGGCGAAAACACACTCTCTTCTTTCGACTCATACAATACACTCTCCCTAACGCTCTGCGGCGCACTTAAGGGAACCAGACGATATCGGAAATTTTCCGGCATGCGTGGGATTTTTCAATCAGCTCCGCTGAGTCCTTCTGTCCATCTCTCTTGCTCGTCGTAGATCGTAGTTCACCTATTTCCATAATTTGTTGAGTTCCCAATTGAGTTTAAATTCAAGGGAATGGTTAAGTCACGGAAAATTTCCGCCTGCTCTTAATTTGCTAAAAACTAATTTTATTATGAACATGGCCTTTGCAATTTACCATTAAATTTTAAATTAATCCTGGCTTAAAACATTTTCTTTCATTTTTCCGGAATCTAAATAGGTGAATCCTATAATTTTTATTAGGGCTGATAAGATTCAAACACTCAGGACCGAAAGCTCTATCCCTTTTAATTTTACCAATTACATAAGCTTGTTTTGTGATCTCGATATGATTATAACGACTTTGTCTTGTAAAGAATTATACCCATATTAGTAAAACACAAAAATATGTACATTTTCAAAATTTTTAGTAATTGTGGGCGTTAGAGGGGGCGCGGCTCTCGGCTGAAACAAACTTACGCTGCGTAGGAAGCCCAAGAATATATGTGGGTAATCCTAACTTTCTTGCTTTTTTAGTTTCCGAGATCTCAGCGTTTATACGGACGGACAGACGGACATGAATAGATCGACTCGGCAAGTGACCATGATCAAGAATATATATACTTTATATGGTCGGAAATGCTTCCATCTAGCTTTTACTATACGTGTAACGGGTATAATTTGTATCTGATTGAAATATAGTAGCATATTTGTCCATTCTTCGGCATTCTCCAGCAGTCTCTTTCTGCACTCTCAGAGATTCATCTACAGTGTTTCCAACTTGGTTTGCTTTGGAGGACAGGCAAATTGGCTTCCTCGAATCTTCTGGAAGCCAGATGCATACGAAACTTCTTAGAACTTTCCATTGTTATAGTCAATTGGTTGGAAGTGAGCTCGAATTACTATTTGTTGATCAATCAATGCAGCGGGCCGGTCGGTTTGCACGTCGAGCTGAACAGGGTTGCATAATTGCTGGAGATCAAGAACTTTCTACACCCAAAGTTTTCCGTTGGAGCCTTGCGGCAGCCACAGCAATCAGCCGATCCGGCACATGCTGCAGTGGGCGTCTCGTTTCCCTCACATGCAACATTATCACCAGCTCAAGTCTGACACGTAGTTCCAGAGCAAACAACGACCGAATACTCGGTATCAGTTCATATTCAATATCCACTTCCTGCTGAGGGGGACAACCCTTTGAACGAAATGTTTGCACTTGTATAAAATAAATGTATTTTGTGTATGTAAAGCGACCTTGAACTTAAGTAGAAAATACTTTAAGCATTTGCATATCTTAAACAACTTAGAGTACATTGGATATTTAATAAATGGTATGAGGGTGCTATCTACGCTTAAATTTTTGGATTTGTTAAGGAATGTTTGGGGTGCTTTTGAACTTTGAATTCAGATTCTTTTTGGGTCAGGAATTCCGTTTCGCATACGTCTAACATTATGTACAATTATGTAAATTTCACTAAAAGTAGTAAATAAATCACGGTGATCACAATCTGATAAGCACAACACCTTTTAAAACAGAAGAAAGACAACCAAAAAAAAAGTGCACGAAACCAAAAGGGAAGCAAATGAGTATGCACTTATTCTAATACTGAACTAGTTGTCCAAGAACTCCCACTCGCTGGACGTGGTTGAGTCACTGGTGGGCGGCGTTTCCTTGCGCAGTGGATCGCCAGCTCGCCGAAAGTCGGGAAGGAAGCTGGTGTACTCCTCCTCATCGCGCTCCCTTTCGAGCGACAGTTTTGGCTTCGGCTGGCTCATGACGAACTTAAGCGGAGCCATTTTGGGTTTTGAGGGAGCCAAGGCCCTGATTCCATCCACTGGTTGACCTGCATGATATTCATTTGATGTGTTGAGTGGATTTTTGGGCCTCTTCCAGGTGCGTGGGATAGCTCTTGATCAGCGATTCGCTTAGTTGTGCAGCCTGCACCTGGGCAGCATGGAGCTCCTCCTGGGACAACGGGGCCAGATGCACCTCGGGCAGATCCAACTCGGCAGCCAGGGTTTTGGCTTTTTCCGCCACGGTCTTCTGCAAGGTGGTGGGACTAAGGGCATCGGGCAGGTGCGCCAGGAAGGCAGCCTTCATGTCCAACGGGGAAGCAAGGCCATTGCTACAAGAGAAAAATCATTAATATTATTTAATTAAGTTCTAAACCTGCTTACTTTTCCATCTGACAGTAGCTGGCCTCCATTAGAGTGGCGGCATTGGTAAGCGGTAGCCTAAGTTCATGGGTCTCATGGCCGATCTCTACAATACCCGAACCATTGTCTTCCGGCGATTTGCCCACCGATGTCTTTCGGCAGGTGTGAACGATGGACTGCTCAAAGTCCATTTGGCCGATGCGACGAAAGATTTCAAGGCGGCGGCTCTGCTGAACCAGAGGCGACTCCACCGCCATTTCGATGGGAACATTTAGATCGACTTGCTCCGTCGGCGACAGCTCGAAACATTCCTCTGCGCACTGCAGTACGGGTTCCGCCTGAAGCTCCACCGGTGACTCCAGCTGGGAGTAGGATGATCCCAAGACCGGAACTGGAGGCGGCATCAGGGGATTAAAGATGACCTTGACCGTCTTATTGGGTGGCTCGGGCAGAGGAGCCAGTCGCAGCAAAGTACGATCGCCCTCCAGCACAAAGATCTCTTTGCCACAAACACAGAAATCCAGGATCTTGCGGAATCCTCGAGCAACGGCTTCGACTTTGAGTCTTTCCAAGTTGAGAATGTACAGGGTGGCATCGTCGTGGGTTACCACCAGTGAATCGTGGCCATCGTACAGGTAAAGCTGTCGAAAGTTGCTACTAGCTACGTAGCCCGCATCCTCATTGCCAAATAGCTTGGTTGAAGTAGAAGCTGCAGATGGCTCACTGCGCTGTTTGGGATTCAGAATGGGTATCTCCCAGGTGGGGCTGCGCAGCACAGCGTCTCGGAAGAGCACGGTCTTGGACACATTGCCCGCGGCATCGGCCACCCAGAAGCGCAAACCAGGTCGACCGCAGATGAGTTGTGCCTGATTTGCGGCCTGCTTCTTGAGAAAGACTGCGCCGCAATCGATGAGCTGCTTGCGATCCTTCTTGCCCACCTGGGTGATGATCCACTGTGATGTGACGGCGTCCAGCTGGCAAACGATGCAGCGGTAGAGGGTGGCCACCAGTAGATGGCTCTGCTGCACGCTAAGCTGCACTATCTCGTAGGCCTCGCTCAGGATCTCCACGGATTTGCTGAGGTGCTATGGATTCAGGGGTTACAATTAGCAAATTCTACGGTTAAATGGGTATGCTAAAGGCTCACCGCTTGGTAATCAAACTCCGTGAGCACCACCACGCCCTGGCGATCGCCGGAGTAGAGCTTCATCCCGTTCTTGGACCACTCGCAGCAGCTAACGACGCACTTGTGCAGATCCCTGATGGTGTAGCGCTCGATGGGCCGGTTGCGGGTGCAGGGAGCCACCAGGTCCAGGTCTCGCGGCAGCTCCTTTTGTATCTGGAAGATGCTCACCTGCCCATTGGCGCACCCAGCCGCCACCATGTACTCCACGGAGTTGACAATCCGCACGCAAGTAATGCGAGTGGCTATCTGGAAGGGGAAAGGGCAAAATTGACTTAATGGGGGAACCACACGCATGTCCCAGGGAATGGGAATGAGTCATCGGGTATAGACAACATACCTCCGCCTTCAGCTTCTGCATTTCGCCTGTATGGCGGTTGTACCAAAACACAATCCCTGCATCGCTGCCCATGGCCAGGAACTCCTCGGTGGCGTCCACACAGGTCAGGTTGAGATTCGCCGGAAAGAAACCGCGCTGCAGTCGAGCGGGAATTTGCTCGATCACCTCCGTCAGCGGCGCCCACTCCCGGATGGAGCACAACTCCTTGCTGCTGGCCATGTCCTTGCTGCGGGAAATTGCGCCTCAGGTCAGGACGGGGATTTCGGGATTCTACAATTCTCTCTCTCGCTTTTTCCTTCTCCGGCTCAGCACAACAAATCAACAAACCCCAAACTGCTGACATCTGGCAACGCCCGCTCGATTAAATGAAAGTGGACAGCCCTGTTGGGCGGGTCTTTTTGAATATTTGAGCGTGCCTAATTTAATTGCATTACTTTTAAAATTGGCCACTATTTAGACTCAGAATACAAGGAACTAAATGAGGAAAATAAAAATATTAAACACAAATAGGTTTTTGCATCTGTGCCAGTACCACTACCATCCTCCTTGATCTTCAGTTTCTTTGCACTGCGCTCTGTATACAAATCCTATGGCGCACTTCCGGCAGGGGCAACTCCGGAAATTTCACCTGCAGTAACCGGCGTACCTTCCCGTTTCTGTGGCAATTGATGTTTAGGTCTGGATGAGACAGAAAGAGCTGGACAAACTCCTTCTTGTTCTCTACTTTGCTTATCAGAACGTAGTACAATGGCTTAAACCCGAGAAGTTCGCTCATGTTGGGCGATGAAAATGTATGACAAATAAACAGCGCTGTTTCTAGAACACGTATTTTTTCTATTTCATAGAGCATACTTTTGTACAAATTGGAGTCATTTTCCTTTGCTTATGCCTATGTCGCAATTAAATTATTTCTCCCTTAGAAAAAACCCTAAAATGATTCTGAGTATGGGGTTCAAAAGATAAAAAGTGTCACTTTTAAAAAATTTTAACAGCAAAACAAACCATAATTCCGTTTGCCTCTGATATCCCCGGAAAGTTGAGCAATTTCAGCATTTTTCGAACTTTGAGGTCCTTGTGCTAAAAATCCTTGCGTGGAGAAACCTTTTGAAAAACGCAGTTTAAAGCAATAGCATCCATCGAGGATGGCAATTTAAAAAATATTAATTTTGTAACACAGTGTTATAACTATTGTGCGTTCGTAGGATCCATATGTCTGATCTGATCAAATATAATTTTTATTTTCCACCAAATTTCACATATTTTAATCTCAGCATTTAACAAATCATATCAATGTAATTTCGAGTCATAAACTTTATTCATTTCCTTGTTTGTGAATATCCAGCAAACAACTAATCCGCTTCGTAAAAGTTATTTCCAAAAATGTGTTTAATAAGTAGAAAATGTTAGCTTACGAATTTGAATGCTAACAGTATATAGATGGGGCGGTTCTTAAGTACAATGAAGTAATTATTTCATTATAATTAGCATGGCGTAAGATGATCTCCGAGCTTCCATCAATTCCGGTCCTTGAGCAACATTATCACCTCCTCCAGTCTGTTCTCAATGAGCCTAAGCCGACTGTCATTGACCTCCTCCTTCTCGCGCTGTTGCTCCTCCTTGATCTCCTCCAGCTTGTGCATTTTCTTTGCACTGTTATTTTGGTCAAGCACCTCTAGAGCCATCATGACCGTGCGGTCGTCCATCTGGATGCGCCTTCCGAAGACCTTGGAGCAGCAGCGGTACGCAATCTTCTGCGGTGAGTTAAACCACTTTTGGAAGCCGAAGTTCCTCATCTCGCAGGGATGGCACACGGTCATGAGCACCTTGTTTCCATCGTTTGGCAGAATAGAAATCTTTCGCTGGCTCAGAAAGTTGGGGTTGATGTGCAGAAACCGATGGTAAATATGCGACAATAAACGATTGTTCTTGAAAAGACCAGCCTGCCGGCGACCAGTCAGAACCCGTTCATATCGACACAGCAGGTTGGTCCTGCAGATGTCGCCATTGAGTTCGGCCTGTTTTTTGATTTCCTAATGGACATGGAAAAGACTATAAGCCGTGAAAGGTTAAAATACCGCTTACTTACCTGGGTATCGCTTAGGGCCAATCCATTTAGTAGATTGATCAGCACAATTGTCATGAACAACACGAAGAGCACGAAGATCAAATAGGTGTAGACCGTAGTGAACTTGAGTTCCCCGGAATTAAGCTCGCCCGTCATCATCACAATGGTTTTAGCCAGGGCTACAAAAGGGGTGGTGAAGTCGAAATTCGGATACTCTTCTTTCGCAGAATCCGAAGCCGGCTGACCGAAAAGGATGTAGAAGCACAGACTAAAGGTGAGCACAAAGATAGAGTACAGGGAAAAGCTCTTGACAAAACTAGTCGAGACTTCTCGCAACATGAGCATGTGCGTCGAAATTGAAAGCACTGGGACAGATCCCACCAGGCGGCAGAACTCCACAGAGGCCAGCAGGATGGTAAAGGCGGCCAGGACGCGCTCAGTCTCCTTTTCGGCGGATTCAAGGCAACTAAAGATCGATAGTATTATAAGAGCCCATACCATGTTGTTTGTCATGGACCTTAGGTACTTAATTGGATCGATCATGCATTGGATTGCCTCCCGAAGGATGAGATAGCCGATTCCCATCCAGGAAAACAGTATGAAAATACTCGGTTCGGCGTCGTGGACTTTAAGGATCGTGTGGGTGATGAGGGAGACGGCAAAAAAGGAATAGAGCAGCAAGTTCAGGTAGAATATTATCGAAAGTCTGTTCCACTTGAGGAGCAGAAGGCTCGAGATTAGGGGATGCTGCAGAAAGTAGCGCATTTCCTTTGACCTGGCCATGAAGGCGATGGGCCTCATCTCGTCGTGCTTGCTGATCTCCGCGAAATCAATCAGGTTTCTGTAGTCGAAGGTAATCGCATAGCCTTGGGCACCGGGATCATCTCGGCTCGCGGTGATGCAGGAGTCAAAGTGCTCCTTGAGCACCTTGTGCGGAATGTACTTGATGGGCAGGGCCTTCGAATCGCACTTGGAGCCGATGTAGGCGCCTCGCTCCAGGAGCTTCCGCATCGCCAGCGTGGAACCCAATTTCGCGGCATACGAAAGCGGAAGCCAGTGACCTGGATCAGCCTCGTTGATGTCCACCCGATCGCAGTCCAGGAGCACCTCAAAGCAGCGCTGGTGCCTGTCGGCATCCAAGGTCGAGTTCTCCAGGTGAAAAATCGCCATGTTCACAAGCCTGGAGAGGGGAGTCAGTCGCAGATTGGGCTCCTTCAGCAGTCGCTCCAGCGCCTGCCAGTTGCCCAATAATATGGCCAGCTCGAGGAGATTGAAGACAGTGCTGCCGCCATGGCAGAAGTTGATGACGACATTACTGTCCAGGATAATTTCGAAGGCTCTCTGCCTGCCGCTTCTGATGCTCTGGCTGAGCAGACCAAAGAAGTCCTCCTGGACAGCCCCGCCCTTCTGGCTGTGCAGAAACTTGGCAAACTGTTTCTCGAACAAATCCTCGTCTCCGTCCATTAGAGTCTTTTCGAGTCTATTTCGATCGATCTTCCCCTGGCGCTCCACCGGCAGCGGTAGCTCCGGAAACTTCAGCTGCAGTAGTCGCCGAACCTCCCCGTAGCGATAGCAATCGATGTTCAGTTTGGGATTGGCCAAAAAGAGCTGGACAAACGGCTTCTGATCCTCTACCTTGCTCATCAGCACATGATGCAGGGGCGTAATCCCGCCATGGTCGGTCATGTTTGGCGAGGCTCCATATTCCAGGAGTAGTCTCATGCATGATAGCACCTCTGGGGCATTCTCCTCCGTGAGATTCTTGGCCAGCGAATTCAATGCCGTGAGCTGTATGTAAATTCTGTTCATCCAGACCTTATCTTTACCAGGACGGCTTTTCAGGAGCGCGGCAATATTTCCAGGATCCTTTGAATCAGCCGCATAGTGAAGGGGAGCCTTCATTAGGTAATTGCGATCGATCTGAGGGGAAGGAAGATGCCTAGCTGCAGATTGATCTCTACTCTTAAGCCTCCTACTCACGTGGTTTACTGGGCTTCCGTGGTCGATGCAGGCCTCTATGAAGGCACTGCAGCCTGGTGTGGAGAGAGCTTGCTCATAGATGCTCATGTAGCTCCTCTCATCCCGCAGATCGGCTTGGGCACCGCCGTCCAAGGCGGCCACGAACGCCCGGATATCCTGATTGGCCAAAGCTGTAGCCAGCTGATCCTGCCCTTCGACGAAGGCAGCATTGTAAGGATCCATATGTGTGGTCTACAAGGAAAATTAATCCGTAACTAAGGATAAGTTTTAATGACAACGCGATTCATCATCTTCATTCCACTGATTAGCATAACGAACAAGATGATTAATCTATATCTAAAATTTTTTTTGGACTTTCCAATAATCTGTTTTAAAATTAGACACTTTTGAACTATACCAAGTTTGTTTGTGCATTACCAGACAACGACTAATCCGTATCGTCAAAGTGGAGAGCATTTCTCCAAAATTTTAACATGTAATAATGTTAACAGCTAAACCCAAAACAATCGATATGAAAAGTAGATCGATTTTACATTGTGTAATATCAATTTTAGCTTTATATGGGGCCAGGTAAATTTGATATGGTTGTCATGAGTATTTCATGTAATAACAATATGGGTTTTGCATAACCAGAATTTCAGGATTTGAAATTCAGACAATGTATAGCGTTTTTCAGGTAACAAGAGGAAAAGCTATACAACGACTAATCCGTATCGTCAAAGTGGAGAGCATTTCTCCAAAATTTTAACATGTAAGAATGTTAACAGCTAAGCAAAAAACAATCGATATGAAAAGTAGATCGATTTTACATTGTGTAATATCAATTTTAGCTTTATATGGGGCCAGGTAAATTTGATATGGTTGAAATGAGTACTTCATGTAAAAACGACATGCACATATCGAATGCACACATGGAATTACAAAGTCAAGATTTGAAATTCAGACAATGTATAGCTCTTTTAAGGTTTTCATTAAGGTTCGAAAACTTAACAAAAGCTATAGCCTAGTACTTCGACTAAAGATAGCCGTTACTTAACTTAAGGAAGTGCGAGGGAGATGGAGATATGCAATCATCAAAGCTCATCCAAGCGTCTTCTAGCGGCAGTTTTAATTTTGCTCTTAACTTTGTAATGGATTTTTCAATTTTAAATTTCTTATAGATTTTGATAAAGCTGTAAGCGGCATGTGTTTTTTTTAATTCCTTCATGGCGAATGTAGGCGTTGGAATGGGCGTGGCGCTCTGCTGACAAAAAGCTACAAAATATTTTTGAATTAAAGCGCCATCCATTCTTCCGTTTTGTTCCTTTGGTCTGGCAGCTCTAATCCCTCCTATATTTCTTTGATCTGGTAGCACCAACCAACTTGGCAGCCCTGGTCGTCAGCTGTTGCGGGCGGCTTCCAATTGGGAAGTGTATTCTCGATTCGTATTAGCCATCAACGGAATTTAAATAAGCCAAGATGCGGAAATACCAGCAGCTGGTGCTGCTCGTCATCTCCTGCCTCAGCGTGGGCATACTGCTGATGTACAGGACCGAGAACAGCCGCCTTAAGTCCGTTCTCAAGTACGTGAACTTCTTCGGGCGCAACGATGCCGCAGTTCTCCGGCGCCTGGAGAACGGAACCAAGGAGGATGGACCCGAGGCGGTCCTGTGGCGCCCGCTTCCCGTTTGGCAGATGATCGGCGACTCCTTCCACGCCTACTCCGCCTACTGGATGCGCAACGAACTGGTGGCCGGCGGCGAGGCCCACGTCCTGGTCGTCGGCAAGAAGGGAGCTGTGGTGGATTTCCGCTGCACCCTGGACCTCTTGGGCGGACGCAGTGTGCAGGGAAAGTTTCGCTTCCAGCGGGACTCCATCGAGAGTTTGGTGGACGACAAGTCCTCCAACTTCACCAGCTATCACTTCTTCTGCCAGGTGAGCCGGGATTTCGGTCAGCCCGGCAGCGTCTCCTTCACGGACATCACAACCACCAAGAGTCCGGTGAGGCTGCGCCTGCGCAACTTGAAGCCAGTCGGCAAGACGGTTTCCTCTCGCCTGCCAGCCACCATCTGCGTGGATCTGGTGGGCTTTAATGCGACCTCCAAGTTCGCTCGCAACGAGAACGCCCTGCTGCAGTTCTTCCTGTTCCATCAGGCCATTGGTAATCGAGCATTTCCTGGTCTACAACTACGACGAGCTGCCCGAGGAGGTGATCCACCTGCTGGACCGGACCAACATTAAACTCTACGGTCTGCCATTCAACTTTCCATTTCCGGCAAAGGCAACGGCACGATTGCGAGAATCCATCAATTATTACTGACGGACTGCATGCTGCGCAATGTGAACCACGCCAGCTTCACCCTGCTACTCCGTCCCAATGAGCTGTTCTTCCCCAACTCGCGATTCTCTGTGGACCAGGCGAAGGGTTCACTGCAGCAGCAGCTGCGACACTTCTCCTCGGAGACCACTCGCTTTGAACTGGCCACCATGTCCGTGTGCTACGACGAACGAAAGAAACTGCTGCCCGACAACGTTCAGTACGATCCGGAGCGAAGAGCGGCGTACAAATCGCTGCTCAATCGCTTGGAGCTTCCACCCGCCCAACTCTTGGCCAGCACGGCCGAGGTGGAGCTCTCATTGTCATCGGGATTCGTGCATCGCTACGTGGACTGCGACCACGTGGGCAGCGATGGCCTGCACGACTGGCGCAACGCAGTGCGCGAGGATTTCATGGAGCACATCAACGTGCTGCGTAACGAGGTGGACCTACTCATCTGAAAACATAAGTTTTCTATAGTTTTCTAGCCTTTAGTTTGCGATTTACATGTAGCTTTTTGAGAGATTACGCGACTGCCATAAAGTGAACACAAGTTAGCACAAAATTTTGGTATATTGTATATATCATAGACAATTATAGACATCGGACTCGGCCGCATAGGTTTTCCCCGACTTCACCAAATCCAGTTTTATTTCATAGGTAGTTTAGGCGTGTATTTAACTTAAAGTTACTTGAGGCGCTGCATGAGAGCCGCATTCTTGAGGCCAGCCTTCTCGATGGTGGAATTGTCGTCGCTCAATTCGCGCGTGGGGAACGAGGACACCAGGATAAAGTTACTGGCTGAGTACTGTGGCCGTGCCCTGTAAATTGAGTTGCATTCGAGTTAATCAGCTCGCAAGATCTACCAGATCTTCCAGTGACTTACGTTTGAATGAATCGACGAATGTCCGAAACCGTGTGCGTCAGATTAAACTGCGCAGCAAGACGCGAGCCATCCGCCAGACGAATCTGCAGCGTTGTGGACGGTGCTTCGGCATTCAAGTTGATGGCATCGCGGGCACTGGCCTCCTGGTTTGCTGACTCAGCGGGCGACAGTGCCACTGCAACTGCTGGCGCCTCGGTGACCACATTGGCCACAGGACTGCCCAGCTTCTGGCCGGATCCCTTGAATGTCTGCGGGGCTGCCTGGCGTTTGAAGTCCTCGTGCCGGTGATCCTCTACGTCCACATTGACCATGCGGCCCATTTCCAGCAGCTCTTGAGGAATTTCTCTAAAAATGTTTGTTTTTAATATAATAAATTATATATATTAAATAAAAAAATTCATTCAGAAATGCTTAAATAGAAAGGTTTGGGGAACATATTGATTTTTTTTGTTGCTGATGGTCTATCAGTCCTGCAATCCAACTGCAATCCGTTGGAAAGGGTTTTTGAGAGCATTGTCAGGTAATTTAACACCCAGCATCGCTTTAGGGGATGCACATGCACCCGCTTTATATATACATAGCAACAATAGCTGCACGCGGGGATGAACGCTGCACTTACCCGCGCATGACAGTCTCTAGGAACTCCTTGTTCTGCGGATCGTCATAGTGACGCAGCTCGCCGCCGTCGATGGAGAAGCCCTGGCTCCAGAGCTTCAGCACCACCACCGGTTTGTTTTCGCTGCTCTGTGCCGGCTTATTGGTGCCCACGGCCGTGTGATCATTGTCGGTCATGCCCAGCCGCATGCCCTGGCCCCAGACGGCACCACTGGGTCCTCCGCCGCCGCCGCCACTGCTGGTGGAAGGGACCCACCTCTGCGATGTTTTGCTCCTGCGCAGAACGCATCATGTCGGTGAGCTGTTCGCGGAAATTCTTGCGCTTCGGCGGGCCCAGGACCTGTTGACCGGAGCGATCTGAGCCGCCGGCATAGAAGGCCTGCTGGTCGTCGTCGCTGGACGGCTCCTTGGACATGTCGCTAAGGGTGGCGAATCTGGGGGGGATTATTAAAGTTATTGTCGGTGTTGCCAAGGGGATTTGCCTTACTTTGGCTTGGCCTTGGACGCAGCCGGGGCAATGTCCACCGAAGCGGCCGATGAAGATGAGCCCGCAGCGTCTGGACTTTTGGTGGCTCCCGCTGCTGCTGCAGTTGCTCCTGCTCCCGCTCCACTACTCGAAGTCGGCTTTGGTTTGGGCTTGGGATTGTCCGCATGGCCCACCGACTGCGGCGGCACCGGCAAATCCGCCTGGGTGCTCCAGTAGTTGCCCAGCGCGTGCTGAAATCGGGCATTCCATATTTGAGTTTTTTGCATTAGCACTTTCTGCATTTGCTGCATCATTGTTGTCGCCGGCTTGGCGGAAAGCTCACCTCTATGTCCCAGTCGCAGCTGGACAGGTAGAACCGGGCCACATTCTCGTCCGTTCCGGTGATTTCTATGAATTGTGCAATCAAATCGCCGTGAGAGGCCATTTTATCTGTGTTTTTCAATATATTTTCCGCAGCAAAATTGACAAAAAATCGTAGACCAGTGTGAGAGCTGCCAACTGTGCTAAATTGTAGCCTCAATAAATCGATAGAACAGTAAACCGATACTTTTATGTTTAGTGTTGGTAAGGGACCGTTTTTGATTAGCGCTGGTCACACTATTCCAAATTCAAATTTAAAAAAAATCAGTAAGACTCACAGTAGTTTTATATTTTTTATTGGTCGTACATTACATTACAGCATTCACATTTTTATTAAATAGCAACTAAATAACAATAACTATATGTATAACGAAGTATCCAAAGCTTTACATCACCCACCGATATGCGTATAAAAAGTAAAAAAGTATTTGGGTTTTTAATCAGTTGAGCTTTTCTGAAAATATAAATATAACGTTTTTTTAACTTTGTAGTTAGTTTTTAGATTTTCCCAAAATGTATTTAATTTATAAATTTTGTAGATATGTTTTCCATGTTTATTAGTTTTGTGACTGTTTGAATATGTAATGAAGTTAGTAAAGTGCATGCCCAATAAACAGAGTTCTGCTAAGCTTATACATTTAATGCAAACAATTCCAAAAGTAAATGGTATAAATCCACTGGCGCAGGCTGCACGAAACTCCGGGTTCCCATCAGTGTACCTATTTCGACAGCAGTTTGCCCTGAAATTGTGGACAAACGGCGGGGAATATGTATTAGGAGTAAGGAGGCGTGGTGGAGAGTGATAGTGTTGTGTCCCAGTGACGTGTGTAGGTATGCATGGAAGATAATCGAACATTTTAATGGGCACAGTTGAGCAACTACAGCTTGGGGCTTGCTATACCTTCCTTACCTGTAGGTAGTAGTTGGCCAGGAACGTCAATCCGACGCCTAGGCCGATGGCCACCACGTGGCTCAGGTGCAGGTTGGGCAGCGGACGGCGCTTACGCAGCAGGAAGGACAGCAGCGATCCCTTGCGATCCGAGTAGGGAGGATAACGTGCCCTGCGGGAAGATCCATTCAAACATGCATCAAATATTCAAAGAAATTAAATATCCAACCACTTACGATGCCAATTTCTCGCCAACGGCCGACAGATCCTTGCCCAGGCAAGACTTTTTGTGTGTGAAGGTTTCAAAGCCATACTTTCCATGATAGCATCCCATTCCACTCATGCCAACGCCTCCAAAAGGCAGCACATCAACTGTGAAAAGAGGAGATATTAGTATCTTGCCAACACCTATATATATTTTTTAGTTATTCGAAAATAGCACAACAATTTCTACCAATTTGGCAAATAACAAAGTATATTAGCAACATTTAAATCTAAATAAACCACACCCTTGTTTTATTTTCTTAAGCTATCACCAACTAGAATTTAGCACTCTTAATATTAATTTAGTTTTTGCAATTCTTAACCAAGCGTTTAGGTGTTAATCAACATTTCTGCCAAGCCAAAAATAAATATTTAATACAAATCAATTTCACCGTCCGAAACCAAAAAAACACACAGGTTTAATTAAAAATTCAAAACAATGTGCATACTATTTGAATAATTGAGAGTTTTTGTTTTACGTTTTGTGCTGTCTTTATCCGTTTACTCGATGTGGTCAAATGTCTAGAATTCCCCAGAATTTGCATTTCAAATTTGGATTGCTGGAGTGCAGTAAACCGGCTACTTAAGAAATTCGTGTAAATAGGGTTTTGGTGCATTACACAAAAATCATACAGGTGTCTGTGACTAAAACTACAGAGATCTCTTAACTATATACATTATCATAGCGAAATACCTCCACAGTGCATTATGGTTTCGTTGCTGCAGAATCCGCCGCTAGTGGTGTTGCTCCTGAACTCTTTGACTAGCTTGTTCGAGTTGGAGAACACGTAAATAACAAGTGGTTTTTCTCTAATTACAGGGAGTGGGGAGAACGGGGTAGATAAACAGATTAAGTACGAGATACAGTTGCAGTTCCTCGAGCATCGTTAGGGGCTTGCAAAGAACAAGAGTTACACATAAAAGACAAACAAACGAGCATTTGCAGATCTGTGTAGGGGAATTTTTAACTTTTGACTACCAAAGCTTTAACCAATAAATATACAGATCTGCAAATATCAATGAAATATATACAAATGTATGAGGAATGAGAATAGTGTAGGAGGTGTATCTACTCAATCTGGGGATAATTCTGATCTGTAGATCCAATATCATCTACTAAAAGGTAGCTGTACAGGAATAATTAGAATCACCGTCACCAAAACAAGGCTATATAAATTACAGATACGCAGAGCACTTAGCAAGCTATCAAAAACTGGTTCAGTTGGGGAGATTGGAAGAGATCCGAAGATCAGGGGAAACCAAAACCGTAGAGGAGAAGCGATTCCGCATTCATTATTATTATCCACTATCCACATCCATTAGCATCTCGATTGGATTGATTTAGGGGTTGACTGGGTGACTCTCTTACCGGCATAGTGCATTATCGTGTCATTCACGCACAGTCCGCCCGACTGGGTGCCGTTTATGAACAGATTCTGAACGTCTGTTTCCGATGTGAAAATATACAGGACAAGTGGACTCTCTCTAAGAGAAAAACATTGCGAATCGGACATTGGTTTTCGTTTGTAGTTGGTTTTGCGTGAGGTGATTAAAGTGATTAAATGGTAAACGGGCAACGACAATGGACAGCTGGAGCCTTGATTGTCCCACGGACCGACATACCTCTCGTTGATGAACTTGATGGCATCGTAGGCACTCTCCACATTGAAGATGGGCAAGATGGGGCCGAAGATCTCCTCCTCCATGATGGGATCGGTTGTCTTCACGTCCACCAGGATGGTGGGCTCAATGTAACGCTCGCTGGCATCGTAGTTGCCGCCGACGGCCACACGACCCGACTTCATCAGACCAAGAAGGCGTCTGAAAAAAAGATATGGTTAGCATTATTTGACATCCTTTAATTAGTTAACTATAAAAACCCACTGGAAGTTGTTGGCATTGATCACGCGGCTCAGATCCGGACTGCTCTGGATATTCTCGCCGTACCACTCCTTCAGCACATCCTTGGCCTCCACGATGAACTTCTCCTGCACCTCCTTGGAGCAGAGAATGTAGTCGGGAGCGATGCAGGTTTGTCCGCAGTTGATCAGCTTGCCCCACAGGATGCGCTTGACCGCCGTGCGTAGTTCCACCGATTTGTCAATGTAGCAGGGACTGAAAGTAGCAAAAATACCCAGTTAAATGGCTTTCATAATTTGTAAATGGTGCTTAAAGAGAGCTCACCTTTTGCCACCCAGCTCCAAGGTGGTGGGGGTCAAGTGCTTGTTGGCCGCAGCGTGAATGATCTTGCCCACACGTGTGGAGCCCGTGTAGAAGATGTAGTCGAAGCGCTGGTTGAGCAGCTCAGCGGTTTCACTGGGTCCGCCGCAGACAACTGGATAACAATCCTGGAGAAAGAAAAATCAATTAGTATTCGTGAATTTACTTCTTAATTATGGGTAAATGTCTGAAGAATTTTCTTAGACTTGCTTTTTCAATTTTAAATATATTTTAATTTGGTCACAGTTGGGAAATATTATTATACCCTTGTAGAGGGTATTATAATTTCAGTCAGATGTTTGCAACGCAGTGAAGGAGACGTTTCCGACCACATAAAGTATATATATTCTTGATCAGCACCAATAGCCGAGTCTATCTAGCCATGTCCGTCTGTCCGTCTGTCCGTCTGTCCGTTTCTATGCGAACTAGTCTCTCAGTTTTAAAGCTATCGCGATGAAACTTTCCCGAAGGTCTTCTTTCTATTGCAGGTAGTACATATGTCGGAGCCAGCCGGATCGGACCACTATATCTTAAGGCTCCCAAACAAATATAAGAAAATTCATTGTAACTTTGTAGGAAGTAGGCGTTTTGATTCTTGACTACTTAAAAACAAAATTGAAATAAATCGAAACGCTGAATCTGGAATCCCTGGAACTGCACCGAGTGAGTATTCTTTTATCTACAAGGGTATATAAGCTTCGGCTGGCCGAAGATAGCTTCCTTTCTTGTTTTTTAACTCACAAACTAAAAACTCATTTTTACTGTTCTGAACAAACAGGTTAACGCGAAACCCAAATTTATGTCGAAATGTTTCGGTGCTTAAAGCTAAGCTTATTTCATCAGATGATTCAGCAGCCAGACTCACATTATCCAAATATTTTGGAATGACATCGGCAATGAACTTGGCGCAGTTGGCGGCAATCTCGCTGGGCTTGATCACCACACAGTTTCCGGCGGCGATGGCGGAAGCCACGGGCACGAGGAGCAGCTGCAGTGGATAGTTCCAGGCGCCGATCACTAGGACCACGCCGAAGGGATCGTTGTAGATCTGGACATCGTCCATCAGGTTGACAAACGACTTGGGGGGCTACAAAATAAAATACATAATTAGTAGAGAATTTTTAGTAACATATATATATTACACACCTTTTCCGACTGCACCCACTCGTCGAGGTGGAACAGAATGTGCTTGATGTCGTTCTTCATGAACTCGGTCTCCACGATGAGACTCTCCTGCTTGGGACGCCGCAGATCCGCCTCCAAGGCGCTGATGATCTCGTTCTCGTGCTCCTCATAGCAACGCAGCAGATTCTCCAGCTGCTTGCGACTGAAAGATCGAGCGAAAGCGGAATCCGAGAGACCGAAAAATAATTAATGGACAAATGATGATGATGATGGGACAAGTTCCGCGGTAGGAGCGCGAAACAAAGACCAAAACAAAATCAATACTAATCACAATGCACGAGAGGCGCTTGGGGAAGGTCAATGCTAGCTATACGGCCGGTTATGAGATATTCTACGATTCTACTAGATTCTAGTGACTCAACTCATCCAAACTCCGGGGGGAGATTGAGATTAGCACCGTGGAAACTGGCTTGACAACCTGACAACGATGCGGTGCTCTACATTGACCTGGCACACGGCCGGAGATAATTACAAACTATTAATGCCCCCCGGGAGGTGGAAGCCAGTCAAGGTGATCCGCAGCAGCGGGTTAACAGCCCCTCGTGGTGGTGCACTTGCAATTCAATTGAATTATTTTATTTGCTCATGACAAACATAAAATCCATAAGCGGACAGCCGATCGCCGATCGCTGTGAATATAAATAAAGCAATTAGCCGCTCGGTGTCCAATATAGTGTCTCGTATAGGAACTATTACTACGGGAGAACTTGCCTATGGCCTAAGCTCATAAAAACTGAAAGGCAATAGATTTATTAGACATTCCATAATTCAACTTGCACACTTTATTGTTTTTTTAGTAGGTAGTTAAAATTATATTTTTTTATTAACTGAAAAAATCAATCTTACAATTTGTAAATATTTAGGTACTAATATTCTGTGTTTATGATTTTTTGTAAATTGAGAAAAGTCACAGGTCTTAAGTAAATATGTAATAATATTCCTGTTGTTAAGTAATTACTGTGTTTAAGATTACAGTGCCTGAATTGTTTATTTTAATTGAGAAAGCCCATTTGTCTTACGGGCATCATACTCTTTTTATTGAATTTTAAGATTATCCGATTATTACAATACAATTCAATTAGTTTTAATGTATAATGCAGTCTTTAAAGACACATTAAAAAAATTTCAAAACAAATGCCTTTCAAATTAAACTAATCAATAAAAAACTCCAAATCTATTACATTAACATCTTGCGTTAAACACAACAAAACCCCTCTCTTAGCCAAGTCTTTTAGTTTTCGGTGGTTTGAACTATGGAAGTTCAACTGTATCCAGCCGAAATGTATTTAAATATAATCAAAGAGCCGTGCGCATTGGAGTAGAAGTTGCTAGAGGCGAAAAACAGTCATAGAACGTGTTCATTTGTCCGGATCTATTTGAAAGATCATGGAATTAAACGGCCAGCAGCCTTGGGCTGAGATTCTTCCGCACTTCCGTTTCACACTTCGCACTCAAAACTATCGGCTGGTATGGGTATATATCGCCTGTTTTTTGTCTATTTCTGTCTCTATTTCTATTTATCTCTATCTTTTTGTTTATTAACATATCCATAAACGAGTATGAGTGTGCATGTTTGAGTTCGTGTCCATTGTCTGATGACTGCTATTCCGCTGGGACGTGGAAATGGCAATTATTCCGGTTACATGTTACGAATTCAGTTCGCCGTTGTCTAATTGCATTCAAAGTACAACCACTTGGCCAAGTCAAAGTTCCCGCTGCGAGCTCATTAATGCATATCGAACGGTATAGCCTCAGTCCATATAACTATGTAGACTTTAGCATCTACCCCCACTCCAGAGTGCTCCACTATCTCCAATTCTTATCATCGCCAGCCCAAAGGTCAAAGCTTTCCACTGCGTGTGAAAGTCGGTGTGGAATTGAGATCTCTGGATTTCGTTAACCCAAAGGGAAAAAACCACCATGAAAAGTTATTATGCCCCCGAGCTGAGGTTGTATTTCGGTGACTGCCCTGCCGCAATGGCTTTGTAATAACCACTTGTAATAAAAGTAAGCAGTACAGTGGTTAGCGGTTTAAAGAAGATTACTGTAATTAAATATAAGTATACTTATTACAGAAATATTTAATATTTAATCATTAAAAAAAAAAAAGGTAAAAACTTTTCCGTTTGAGGATCTAGTTTATATAAAAATGTCAAAAAAATTAATTAAGTTAAAAAAACAACATAATTAATTAAAATGTTCATAAAAATCGTTATCACAAAATATTTGTTGTTTTCCTAAAAACCTAAAAATTTCAAGTTGAATCAGAACAAATATTAATACTAATGATTATTAAACCGATTTAAAGGGAATCTTCAAGTATTTATAGAACTGACTCTATTCCAAATTTTGTATTCTTTGAAAAATCCTAACAAACTAAGAAATACTAAACTTCCCAATAAAATAAATTAATACATTAAAAATTCAAATAATTTAAGAGACAACTAAAAAAAGTATAAATATAAACAAAATTCCAGGGCTTCCAGGAAGATTAACCTACATTCGTAGTTCCCCTTTCCAGATCCTCTTAAGGAATAGCTACTGTAACTAGCCAAATACATGACACAATCTTCACTCAAGCGGCAGCTTCAACCCAAAACTAATGCCTAAAACTGAGGAGCCCGTGCAAAAAATAAACTAACAAAAACCGAAAAACTACCGAAATAAAAGTAAACTCACCGAAAACTGACGTTCCTGGTCTTTCCACTGGAAAAGGCGAGGCGGGCGCGTTGCAACGTCTGGTCGTGGTTGTTGTTTTTGTTGGTTTTGGTTTTTTCCAGTGCAGCCATCGTTGTTGTTGTTATTGTTGTTCGTAGGAGGCAGTTGGTTTTTCACATACGCAATAACAACATGCAACACGCATACATACGGGAGGATAACGACGAAACGGCGAAAACAAAAAATTCAAATAAAAATCAAATCAAACTAAAATAAGGCGCTTAATGTTCGTTACGTGTGCGAGCGTATGTATGTGTGTTAATAATCGTTACACATCTTTTTCTCTCGCTTGCAATAAATTGCCTAATTGGACACTCACATCGTCGAAATTGGCCATTCTGTCGGATTCGGATTGTGGCTGCTCTGGTTGTTGTTGTTGCTTCTCCGGCTGTGATGTGGAGATCCCAGTTGAACTTTCGGTTTCTGGTTCTGCGATTCAGGAGAAACCGGGAGTGAGATATTTTATTGAGGATAGGGGGCGGGGGCGTAAGCGGGAGGCACTGATAAAAGTAAACAACACTGAAAACACCACAACAACACAACAAACGTTTTTTTTTTGTTTCGTCCGTCTTCTGTTTGTTGTTAAAATTATATGTACTTTTTGTACTGTCAACAGGTAGAGGTAAGGCGCGCTGAGTTCACGCGATTCGCCAACCGATCACCGCGACATCAAAAACTTGTATATTTCAAGATTTTGGATCGGATTCGTATGGCAAATTACTTCTAGAGGACCGTGCCAGAGTTCGTGTTTAATACTAAAAAACCTACACTAGTTTTCTGTGGTTTGTGTCACGGCTAAAAAGTCAGTGTTGAATAATGTTTTTTGTCAGTAAAAATTGCAATTGCGGTAACGTTAAAATTTGAACTATACAAATAATAAACCTTTTTCTTTATAATGATTTATTCAACGGTTAAAAACGAAAGCTAACAACTGTTCTTCACTGAAATGTCTTTTGACGAAATTAACTGGTTGCAGATTTAATTGCGCAATTTAATTGCACTAGAAATTAGCATATCCAGTTCTTTGTTAGAAATTAGCTGGTTCGCTTAAAGAACACTTGTTTTATATTTTAATTTAATCTCTCCGAGAACGCAAAACACACCTTTTTCAACGAATATGCCGGCTGACACTGAATGGATTATTGCTTCACAAGCCGAAAATATAGTCGACTAGGGGCGCTGGCTGTCATTATCAGCCCGAAATGCATGTGTATTTTATTCAGAACGTACATACGCTATATACAAACTGATATGGACGCTGGATTTCGGCTGGGGGAAAGTCAAGCGTGTCGGCCCGATAACGAATCAGTGTGTTTTGGACTCGGTTAATACTCATTTAGAGCTAATCTGTGGCGGTATTGATAGTGGACATAGTATATCCCCTTATTTATAAGAACAAATTTGGAAAGCCGACTTTAATCGGAGCATTCGTTAGGTGCATTTTTGTATTTTCCGATAATTGTGCTTAGTAACGATGATTTCGATTAATCAATTGGCTTCTCACGATGATTCCGATTAAACAATATAAAAGTTATTAAAAGTCACCATGATGTGGCAAATATATATTATATTACAACGCTATATCAAATGTAACATTTAGTCCCTAAACTGATTTCAGGATATATAAAGCTAATTCGATAAAAAAAATATTTAATTTATAACTACATCTTTAATATCTGTTTTCTATACTTATTATATACCTAATATGCTGGCTAAAAAAACAGGTTCAATACTTATCATTTCTAATTATAACTTCAGTTATAATCTTTTTGATTGCAAGTCTTTAACACCATATAAACACTTTGACTTACCTATATTAATAACAGTAGTCAACGCTCGATCTCCTGCAGCTTTAATGGAAAATCAATAAAATCGGTCATTGCCAAATAAAAAACGTATAATAGCTTACCATTAGGTTGAACTCCGTTGGTCTCCGGATGTGGTTTAATAGCATTGTCAAACATTATAGAGCGTTAAACTAAGTTTGTTTCTTGATATTTAAATATTTGTTGAAGGACACTTTTATAGGCAAAAATCTGGGGTAATTCCCATGAAACAAGGGCTGTAAATGTCAACTGTAAAAGTGGCAAATTGTCGAACTAGGTGATTAGCTATGCAAACTTAAATAGGCAAACCAAAACGGCAATGTCAACGTGTCCTCGTGAGAAAATCAATTAAATAACCAAGTGGTGGTAGGTGGTACAAGGTTTAAATGTCTCTTTTCGCGTTTTATAATGGCCTTTTAAGGAAAAAACGATTTAAAAAGGGCCAAATTACTAATTAAATTCAATTATTAAATCAATGCTAATTGACTAATTATTTCTGTCGAGTTTTATAGAACTTAAAAAATAAAGACATCATAGAATAATTTTCGATTAGATAAAATCTCTAACAAACTAAATACACCTAATATTTTTGAATTAATTGAAAAACAAACTAATATTTAATTGTTTTGGCTAACTAATAGTTAGCATTAAGCGATCAAAAGTCCAGTTGGCATCCAAATGCACTAGCACTCCATAATCAGTTTCAAGTTCAACCACCGCCGCACACTCCGCGTCATGCAAATATGGTTGTTGCCCAATAGTCGACGATTTAATATGAATTGATTAGCACAATGAAAAAATAGTGAGTTTCTTTTGGCGGCTCGGCGATCACGTTTCTGTATGACAACATATTCAGCATTTATCATGTAACTGGCCAACTGGCTTGGCTTTTTGGTTTGCTTTTTAGTTTTGGCCCCAGTTTCACTCATTTCATTGCAGCATCTGGGCCGACTAATTGTCAACGCGGGTTGGCTAATCGCACAGATTAAATAACCGCTGTCCGGTACTTGAGTTTGGGCTTTGAATGGTTTGAATCTAACCAAATCTGCGCGCGATAGCGGCCGAAAGCCAACTGATTTGAGCGGCCGAGCACAGCGAAATGGTGGCCAATTGCCTGTTGACCACCTCAGGAGGTATAGGTATCAGGTAGCAGAAACCCGGACCGATGCACTCGACCAGCGTTCGGCTGGGGCGGCTTACATCGAATCGGGCCGCTTTAATTACACTCCACTCTTCGCTGGTCTAATTTGTATGCGTCGCCCGCAACTCGAAAAACAAAGCTAAAGAAATACGATTCAAAAGGCGTATTGAACACGCACTGGACACTCGGATTCGATTCGAATGGACTCTCGGATTCACCTGACGCCGCCGCGATCGAAACACGTCTGAACCTGGCTCATAGCTCAGAGCTGGCCTGTACCCACCTTTCTGCTTCGGCTTTTCCAGTTTCAGTTTTCTTTTCGGTCTCGTTAGCACACACTGTTTTTTCGAACTTCATATTTTGATTTGAATTTTTTTTTAATAATCTCGGGTCGCAGATGCACAAGCATTCTTGACCCAAAGTCACCAGATAATTGTGATTGATGGGGGAAGCCTCTGGGCTTGATGAAAATGCGTGGAAAATACAGTCCAGCTTCTGTAGGCTAAACCTGCATTCAAAACTACTTGTCACATTGCAAAAGAGTGGCTCAATTTACAAACTGGAACTACCAACTGCCAATTAAGAAACTGGACTTAGGAATATTTATTTGTTCACAAATTAAGCCCACATTTTTGATAGTTGCTTGAAGCAATTAATTGGTCTTGTCAACTGGTTTAGATAATAACAGTTTTTAAGAAATCTTAAGTTCTTAAATTGGTAAATATTTTCACTTACAACTTTCGAAATGACTTCTGATAAAAATCAAAGATCAAATCAAAATTAACTTATTTTTATTTTATTATCAATAATTATTATTACATTATTGTATTATAGACTCTCGTTCAATTTACAGAATTCCTTCTGTATATACCTTTTGCGATGCCCTACCCAAATAGGAATAGTTCGAGCCAGGCTAAAGATCGTCCCCTAAATAATAAACTGTTTGCTTTTGTCGTATTTGTTATTATGCCCGGGGAAACAGCTGTTTGGGGGAGAAGCCAACCAGTGAATTGTAGGCAAATAAATAACCGGTTATTGAAAAGTATATTTATTTTTATTTAAGGCTTATTTAGCATCACATCACAATCGCATCGCACGGAACCCTGACCATGAAAGCCAGACAAACCCTCAGTGTGAGACGACGTATGCTGGTGATCGAATTAAAACTAACTAAACGGTTCGCGTGGGGGCTACGCTTACTCCAGTAAACCCGCAAATAGGTATAATTGGGCGCTCCATCAATCTGGATTCTATTGCCTTAATTACCCGTTCTCACCACTGAAATTAGCGGGTAATGGATCTGGACTTTGACTAGGTTTTACTCAACTTTACGACTAGCACAACAATTGTAAAAGTGATTTCGAATGGTGGTATTTGCAAACAAAGCTACCGCAACTTTTAGAGTCACGCAATAGATACGATTTAAAATGATATCCCACCTTTTTCGAGCTCGCTTTGGCTGTGGCTTCATAAAAGCCTCATTATGTCCAGAGTACTTAGCGATTCCTTTTGTTATTCTAATGGTCTCTCGGTACATTTTTGACAATACCCGAAACTCATTTGCGTCGTATGGGGCTCTATGAAGATAAATATGTAGCCTTGACCCAGGTTCCGGGTGTACGTGAAGGCATCCCATTAAACGAGACAATAAAAGATGCTCGATTTGTAGAAATAAACTATCAAAATCGAACCTAACATTTAGAAATTCAAAACCAATAAGTGCTATTTTTTTAAAAAGCCCTGAAAAATTGTTATTAAAATTTACTTATTCCAGAAACAAAGTTTATATGATTGAATTTATATCCTTATTATAAGATCTTTTTAAAAGTCTTAAAATGCAGACCCTATAAAAATGCATTAAACCCAAGCCAGTATATCCAGTATTACTATGTTACTGTTGCTAGTAAACTATAATTTGAATGTAATTATAGATCAAAATCGTAAGACATTAAACAAGTTTCCATAAAATTATTAGCTTGTTAAATTATCGTTATTATTAGCCATCTTTAACCAAACATCGAGCTTTCAAACTTTTTAAACGATAGACACAAGAGCTTTAAATTTAATTTATTTAAAAATATACTTTTAGGCTGATTTCGCGCAAGTCTGGTCACTCTAAAATGCAAATTTATGTTTGAAAATGAGGAAGAACACAATTGGGAGATTTGGCAACCTTGGTTAATTCGGGTAAATTCAAAAGGGAAGAAGAGACACAAAGCGTGCTGCTGCACGTGCAAGTGCAAGTGTTTCATCGACTAGGCTACGAGGTCATCGAGCTAATGAGGGCTCAACTGAGCGGCAACTGGGGTACAAATCCCAAATGCCGTCTCTGGTGCTACTTCAGGAGGAGAAGTCGAGACGAGGGCACCTGAGGATCTGCGGGAGATGACCGTCTCCCATCCATCACGTTGGACCAATTGACGTGCATCCAGAGGATTGGGAGCAATGTGGAGTTGGCTGGAGGAGTCTGGCTAGGGTCGCCAGTACCCGCACAGTCCGACTTAGATCTGCCCAGCGCCAAGGAAAGCATAGACAGCAAGGACTCAGTGGAAGAACTGGAGCGCAATATTGCTGCCTTCAAGGCAGTTAATTTCGCAGGCTGAGGTCATCAAAGCGGATCTGGAGAAAGTCCAGGACAAGCTGGATCTGCTGAGTTCGACCATTGATCCCTTTCTGATTAAAGGTGAGTGGTGTGGTTACCGTTGGTGTGCTGTGCAAGTAGAAAAAAATTATTTTTTTTATTTTTTAGGTAGAGGAGGCGTTGTGGAGGCGGACGAACCGGTTCCAGTCGACAACCAAATATTTGTAAGTGATGTAATGTAATCTTATTTATTGATGTTTAGTTTATGAAATTATAATAAATTACAGATTAATAGGTCGATCAGGAAGGCTGTATACCAAGTAACCTTAAAAGTTTTATTTAACCAGCTCTCTTATCTGAAACTTGTAATCTTTGGACATTTTCCTAGATTTAAACTTTTTATTAAATTGCATTGGAACTCAAAACGTGCTATTCGTGCAATGCTATCAATAAGCTTAAATAATTCTGGTCCCTCGAAAATGCAAATTTAAGTTTTAAAATGAGGAAGAAGACAATTGTGAGATCTGGCATCCTTGGTTAATTCAAAAGGAAAGAAGAAGAGACACAAAGCGTGCTGATGCATGTGCAAGTGCAAGTGTTTCATCGACTAGGCTACGAGGTCAGATCTACTGAGGGCTCAACTGAGAGGCATATTTCCATTGGCAAGGTTAAGACAACTTGCTTACTGTATCCTGTATACACCTGTCGTGGTACCTTCTTTCAAGTATTTCACTTGGATGTGGGTACAGAGATGACCACTGCGCGAGTTCGGCAATCGCTAGCAGGTATCCTGCACCATTTTGAGCAACACGGCCTCATGCCATACATGCTGGACTTCATCAGTAATGCCTGTCCTATGAACCAAAATACCTTGCCGGTTGGGTGTCCTGTCCCACACCTGTGGTGCATGGTGTACTTCCGACACTGTCATGCCAGGTATTACGGAACGGTGGACTTTGCGGTTGGGAAGGCATATCGCACGGTGTTCACACAGGCGCTCCACGGCTCCCAAATAAGCCTCCTTAAAAGTCTGGGAAGAACGCGTCGTGCCCAGGATCAAATCAGTGCACTGGCGATTGCGGTGGCGAGGTTTGCAGAGCAGTGCATGGGCCGCGGACCACAACTGCACAACTGTATTCCGCAATATTGATCGTACCCGTGACCAACATGCCGTTTTGTTGACGAAAAGGGATTCGATGGCCACAGATGCTTGGGGGACATGGGCATCCCATATATCCCTGACCAGTTCCACAGGCGGCTAAGGGGCCACTGGCAGAGGGACAGAATGAAAATGAGGAAGTTGAGGAAGTAGAAGAAGTTGAGATGTAGTCTCTTTAGAAGATAGCTAAAAATGTAAAAAGCAAGAAGAGACACTAGAATTTGTTTTTAAAGATAAAGAAAGCAATTAAGGCAATTAAGCCACTGAAGAAAAAATTTCCAGAACAGAACGATCCGTATAACCGAAATGCTTAAAAAATTAACAGGAACCTACTGGTAAAAGAAAACCTTATAAAGGCTGGGGATGTCTGCGATTTTTCACGATTTGGGTTTGGATGAAAAAGAAAATATGTTAAGGGAGAACGATCTTCATTCAAGGTCCAAAGCGGAAAGAAATGAGCCAGTCAGCAAGGCTTGTTTATCGGAAAACTGTGGGACCAGATTTTTTCAGGAATGTCTATCGAGTGCGTTTTTTTAGTGTTGTAAGGACGGAAATTATTTGAATTTTCCTCTGCCATTGTAATTCCTGGCGGCAACTTCAAATCGTGGCGGGAATTTTGAATTGTGGTGTGAATTTTAAATGTTTAAGATTTACTCATTCCATAGACAAAGTTAATTTAATTGATTTTTAAGCCATATTATTTAAGATTTTTTTTAAGTCTTAAAATTAAGACCTTGAAAAATGCATTAAGCCCAGGCCAGAATATCCAGTCTTACCATGTTACTTTTACTTAAAGTATAATTTGAATGTAATTATAGATCAAAGTCGTAAGACACTGAACAAGTTTCCATAAAAACATTAGCTTCATAAATGACGGTTATTATTAGCCATCGATCTTTCAGACTTTTAAACAAGCTCTAACCGAAAGAGCCTACATTTAAGCTATATCTTTAAGTTTGATGATAATCCAAACAGTCTGAAACCCATTCAAAAATACAAAAGGCAACAGTGTCCACAATTATTAGTGTATAATTTATTATTAAATATGTTATAAAATTTGTTTATCGTATAAAATATACTCTTACTCTTGTCTCGTCAAGTCCCACATCTATGTATGTATATATATATTTTGGGTATATAAATATGTATGTGTATGCATGTATATAGAAAAATGACAAACCACGCATACGCACTGTAGTACCGTGGCTTGCGCTTGTTTCCGCATTTTCTCGCTTTTCACTATTAGACAATTACAATTTTTAACTGCAACTCGTTATTGAATTTGTCGCTTGATTTTGGTAGATTTTCTTTAGATTTATCGCCATATGACTTAATTAGCTGCTTAATGGTGGGTGTACCTAGTACCCGCGCCTCTACATATGTATGTACGCTGTATGCTGAGTGGGTGAGAATGTATGAGAAAATTTTGCATATGCCAAACGTGATCTCCCCTTATTTATCGCAAAGCAAATCATATTTGAAGATTAAGAGGGGAAAGGAGGGATTTTTGGTAATTTTGGTAATCGTTTGTTTGCCCTAGATATATAGTATATGGGGGTTAGTCTATGTTTAAGTAACTATGTATTTATGTATGCGACTATGCTTATAAGTGTGGTTAGTATGCTGGCTATTTCGATGAATCCTCCACTCGATCCTCATCCTGATCCCGATTCCGATCGTCTATGAATATATGCAGTATTTGCTATGCGAAACCAGTAGCTGGCCTATCAATATTTCATATGCTGCGCTCCTCTGATCGATCTCCATGTATGTATGTTGTAACTTAAGCTGTGTGTGTCTGTGTCGTCTGATCTGGCTTATAATTTAAATTTGTACTCGTTTTGTACTCAATTGCTCCATAATTATTACATATGTAGTACGTGTATGTATGTATGCGTATGTTTATGTTTATAATTTCCAAATGAGAAATATTTTCAAATTTAGTTACAATCTTGGGGGTTTTGTAAGAAACTTAATGGCTAAATGATCGCGACAAAATATATACTGTATGTATGCATAGTGTAGAATTTTAAAGATCCTTTATAGGTAATGAAATCATTTCTCTGTGCTTGCCGAGAATTGCTTTTGCATTTGTCATTAAAAGTTTTACTCAAAATTGTATTTTGATATAAGAGTTCATATTCCGTTTTGTTTTAGCATCGTCAATCGATTTGTTATAAAATGTTGCTTAGTAAATATGTATGTGGGTTTTGCAATGTTCGTTTTTTATTTTATCTTTGAAAATCATTCACAGGATGATTTTTAGTCATTAAGTTTGCCGTTATGCATTTTTCTCACTTAACCGCTAAGTACGTAATACGAAAAAAATTTGAATACCTGATTTAAGTTTTGGATTCGTTTAGTGTTTTTTCTTTATTTTAGTAGCTACTTGTATATGAGCATTTGTTTGCTTTAGAATTAATTGTAGGTGTATTTTGGGCAACGTGTTTTTGGAATATTCGGTTTATTTGAAAAAATACCTGCTTGCATTTAATTAAGTATTTTTGGTATGTATTTTGTAAAAAGTTTAATTAACTATCTGTTTGAATGTGTGTTTTGAGTGTAGTGTGTAGTATGTAAGTTATTGGTTTCGCTTTTTCATTTTGATTCTTAAGCCTTTGGCAAATTGTTCAGTATCCTCATGACTTGTAGTAATTTGTTGTGTTTAACATACTTTTATTCTATAGATATATAAGTTTAAATGCTTTTTATTTTAAATTATGGCATTCGGTATTCGCTTAAATCTCAATAATTGTCCTCCCTATTTGTGTTTGCTTGTAGTTAATGGGTTTCTTAATATTTTTTATTTTTTTTTTTCTTATTTTTTTACACAATTTCTAAACTGTGGCTTTTAGAAAACGGCGCTCATTTGTAATGATATAAGTATTAGTTCTTTAGTATTGGTTTAGTAAATCTCACACAAATATAAAATATGGCATTCTCTCAGATGTCGCTAGGCCCGATACGATGCGATATATATGATATATACATACGATATTTGTGGGGGATGCTCTGCGTGCGCTTTGTGTGCGAGTGTTTTGAATGATTCGATCTGGATCACAAGAAATGAACGGCGCTTCAAGGTGTTACGATTGGATAAAATGAGGTTACGAGTATGTTATGGCGATCGTGTGGGTCCCCGAGATTTCGGGGGTTGGCTAAACTAAGGTGTAAAATAATTACGATATCTACTCTATATAGCTCTAGTGGGTGGTTTGCCCTCTGCCTTCTGGTGTATATTACGTGTATATAAATATTGTATATGTTTTTTGTTGCCACCGCTCTCGGAGAGCCGTCGGCATTTTTGCATCTTTTCATTAAGGTTAGTTTTAGTGATTTTAGATTTTATGGTATTTGTTTGTTTGCGCATTTTATGCAATGTTGCTTTATTCGTGGAAGGAGTGTTAGCTATGTACCATCTCGCTGTCGATCCGTTGAAGTCGGGTTTGAACACAAGTACAAAGAATAGAACGTCTCAAAACAGTAAGAACAGAATGTAAACTAAGTAACTAAGTTTGCTAATACATTTTACAATTTACGCCTGGTCTTTAGCCTAGAATCGGTCCTAGTTGGCTCTATATATGTGTTGTGTGTATACATTTGCTATTAAAAATCGTTCAAACTCTAGACAGATAATTCAGCTAATTCATGCGTTGCCCATGATTTCATTAAGTTTCTTTTCTTTTATTTGTTTCTTTTGCGAGGAACATGTCACCTAAATGTGTATTCAATACGCCCATATATTGCTCTGGATTTTCCATACGTTTTCACTATGCCACGCCCGCTAAATCTACTAAATGCTAATGAACACATTGAGTCAAAAATTATGATAATTTTTTCGTTATTTTGTTTTTAGGTTTGTTCGTTTAACTCCCCCCAACTCTCCTACCCTCATTTTTAGCTAACCCCTCCTTTCAACCTGCTGTGTATCCTGTGGGTAAATCCTTTTCACAATTAATTACAAAGTAGCGACACAAACCAAAGTCCTGTGATGCATGATCGGTATGAACGAACGAATGAATGGGTGTGGATGTCGGTGAATGTCAGTTAAACTCGGTTTAAGCTATGCCCATGATGATTCGGATGATTGGATCTATATATGATATCTGTATCGCTATATGTATGAAAGTATGTGTGTTAAGCTATGTTAAGTTACTTTACGGTATCAATGTCATTGCAATTTGAGTGTGTTGGTTTTTTCACTTTTTTTGGCCTCACCATATATGGTTCTTTAGTTGGCTCCGAAATTGCGGTTTAGTTAATCAGTCTTTGTTAAAAGTTCAACCAAAAGTCAGCGGGTTTCTTCAATATTTTCTTGTTTTTTGTTTGTTTCTTTGTTTTGCTTTGCTTCCTTTTACAAAGTTCGTGTTCTCACATACTCAGTCTCAATTATAAGAAAATCATTAAAAATATGTCCCAAAAAAATTAATTTTAAAATAAACGTAATACGGAACTAAACAAACAAATTAAGAATATAATACAAACATTAATACCATTCCACAGTGTCTCTGCAAATCATGTTTAGTAACTCTTGTCGAAAGTAGTTTCCTCATTCCGCTAAGCAACCCCATAAAAAACGCAATCCCCACCTTCTTACCTTCCTTACACCTCGTTCTATCAGCTAGCAAACTGCCTTTCAGTCTAACTAACAGGTAATAATATTTTCATCTAGTAAATGGTTGAGTTGCCCTCTTTGCTTTATCTTTTACTAGGTTCGGTAACTCTACTGAATGCTCTCGGACCCTACGTCTATATATATATCTTCTAAATCCTACTCAACTGTCTTCCGCCTTAGTTTCCGTTTTAGTTTTAGTTCTAGTTGGTTGGTTGGGCTTGTATATTCGCTAGATATATGCATATGCGTATAGATATAGATATCCATAGATACATATGTGTAATTCGTATTGTATTGTAAATTACCAAATCGTAACCATAACTCTTAAGCATTATCGAGGTAATCGTTGTAGCACTTAAGCTAAAAATTTTCGCTAATTTCCATGCACTCAATTCTGATTTTCCCTTATTTCGGCACCCGTTTCTCTCTATCGTTCTGTTATTTTGGATCTCTTCCCTACGCTAACGTTTAGCTCTTGTAAATGGTCTAAAAAAGATCGGCACTCGTAGCCTGATTTAGAATACGTGCACAAACCGCTTGTAAGGGTTAGACCCTTCCTTGGAGTCTGGCGACAGTTCGATGAGGAAAACAATGCGACCGTCTGGCATTATAGCCACATCGCAGGTGCGATCCTTCTCGTCCAGCGTGGGCGGCATCAAAGGATTGATAGAGGGTCGCACCTCAATCTGTGAAGGGGAATTTACAAATTTTGTTATTAAAATTCAAGAACTCTTTAGCTTCCATCTAGTACTTACATCCCACATAAAGTCCAGGTTTTGGTTGAAGACCAGGATGCGTTGATTCTTAGAATCGGCCACTATAATGCGGCCCTCGTCGTCACAGCACAGGCCCGAGGGCCGATTGAACTCATGGAAGCCCGAGCCCTCGTGTCCCTTCACGGAGAGAATCTGCAAAAAAAATACAAAAATTGATTAGCATCTCCATGTATCCATTATAAACACAATCATACGTACATCGTTGATGTCTGGATCAATCAGGTAGAGGCAGTGGTTGTCAAAGTCAGACACTATGATGTTGCCCGTGGGCGTGTAGCAAACGCCTCGTGGCGAGGCGATGCCTTTGGTTTGGCCATGGTTGTCGAACACTATCTGGCGGATGAAGCGACCCTCGGAGTCGAACTGTTGGATGCGATGATTGCGCGAGTCGGTGACCACAATTTGGCGGCGCGAGTTGACGGCCACATCCCAGGGATACTGGAACTGGCCGTACTCCTTGCCGTAGCTGCCGAACTTGAGCAGAAAGACGCCGCTGGCGGTGAAAATCTGCACACGATGGTTGTCCTTGTCCACGACAATAATGCGATTATCCACGTCCACACAAATGCCAGCGGGCAGGTCGAACTCTCCGTTGCCCACGCCCTTGCGGCCAAACTTGAACTTCAGCGAGCCGTCGGGATTGAAGACCTGAACGCGATTGTTGCGGCGATCCGACACGAGCACATGGCCCATTTTATCCACGCACAGGCCCCACGGCCGGCTCACCTGTCCGTCTTCATGTCCCTCGGTGGCGAAGGACAGCGAGAGTGAGTTGGAGTTCCGCACCTTAACCAGATCCATGCAACCTGGAATTGCCTGTGTGGTTCGTGGAGCACTGAAGTGCAGTCCCGGCGAGCTGCGCAGTCCGTTGAGTTCCCAATCCAGTGCTGCGCTGGACATGCCACTCGACATTCCGCAGGCACTTCCTCCGCGCGGCTGCATGATGGGCGATGGGATGCGGAAACTATTGTCGCGCAGCAGCGGACGACGAACACTCGAGGAGGCCACACTCAGCGGATTGCTGGCCATGTTCATGCCAAAGGCCATGTCCATGCCGTTGGACACTCCGACTCCAACTCCACCGCCAACGCCTCCCACACCAACGCCCACGGAGGCGGCGGCCACGGCGCTCACACTGGAGACACTCGGCACAATGCCGTTGCTGCTCGAGACGATGGGCATGTTCTTGTCGTCCACCAGGATAACGCCACCCTGGTTGCGGATATCCTGTAGCAGGCTGTAGTCCGGTGGGGCGAAGGCAAAGACCTCCTGTTTGGGCTGCAGGTCCTTGTAGATGCCCGCAAACTGCTCCATCTGGCGCTGTCCATTGGTCAACTTCATGGCAATTTCGATCTGGTCCATGGTGCAGGCATTGTCCGCCACCTTGCTCAGCATATCGGAGGTCTCGGAGAGACCGGCGAGGGCAGACTTCAAGCCGGCCATCTGATCGTGCAGAATGGCCAGACGACGCTGGCGTAGCTTTTCCACAAAGTCCAGGAGGAAACGCTCGCGGTCCTCAATGGCAATGATAAACTGACGGAACGCCTTGCGTATATTATCGCTCAGCTCGCTGCAGTTGCGCTCGATCAGCCGGATGAAGGCCAGCGCCTTGTCAATGCTGCTCTTAATGCAGCGCGTGCCCACCTGGCTGCTCTCGATGGCGCCCACCAGCTTGTCCTTCGAGCCCACCATGAAGCTCTGGATGGAGGCGTAGCTGTGCTCCTTGTGCTCGTGCAGCGTGCAGCACTGGCACACCAGTTTGCGGCAATAGTCGCACACATAGCGCAGCATCTCGTTGTGTATGTCGCAGATGAAATTGCCGCTGGGCGGAGTGTGTGCATTCACGGAGCTGCCACCGGTGGGCGAGGCTCCAATGGGCGTGGGCAGGGAGACGATCGAATGGTTCGAGGACAGCGGACTGTTGCGGTGCTCCCTCAGGCAGTCGTTGCACATGAACTCGTTGCACTCCAGGCAGCGTATGGAGGCGCTCACCTCGCACCAGCCGCAGCTGATGCTCGAATTGTTCGAGGACTCTGGCGACATCTTGGGATTGCTGCGTGCACCGGTGCCAATGGGTCCGATGCTAAAGTCCACATGCGAATCCAGGCCGCCCAAGAAGTTGTTGATGAAGAAGTCCGTGCGTGGTGGTGAGCTGGGGAAAACAACAAGGGGTTTTAGTCTAGCGAAAAAGGGGTTTAATCCCATTTTTATCCAACTCACCTCTGACCCACATTGGGCAGCAGTCCCACGTTGAGGTCCCAGGCGGGAAAGCTCTCCAGGATGCCCGCGAGCAGCCGCTCGGAGGAGTTGCTGGCATTGCTGCTCACACTGCCGCCGCCACTTCCGTTGGCCGTCGAGGAGTTGGCCACGCCGTTGGCGCTCGGCGCATTGCTGCTGGCCATTTGTTGCGGAACCGAATTGTTTGACAAGAGTTCCATCATAAGAGTGGTGAGATCACGTTTCTATAGCACTAGGCGGCAGTCGATGGAGTGGCGCTTTTCCGCTACAAAAACAATAGCGAAAACGAATTTAAGAAACTTGTAAGACGCGAAGAAGAGTTTTTTTAAATTTGGATCTTGCGTTTGGAACGCGCGCGGAACGTCGTCAGTTGCCGAAGGGTAGCAGCTAACTAAATTGGCCAGGGAAAAGGTGCTTCATTAAGTAGTCCTAGGCAGGCAGCTGCATCTAGGCATCTTAGGTAGCGGGAAAATCCCCCGACCGCCTGTCTGCCTTCTTAGGATCCCCGACCCCTGAGATCCTTTAAGCAGGCCCGTCCCGAATCCGAGAAAAACGCAATGCAACCCGAGAAAGGCAGCTGTGCAGCGCGAGCAGCGGCAGGTCAGATTTGTGCGTGTTTCTTTGTATCTGCAAGATACATTGTCAAGTTATTTGGAATCCCGGAATTTCAACATTAGCCACGCATTTACCAATTTATGAGCCAAAATGGCGAGTTTTTCGCGCGCAATTCGGCGAACTGGCTGTACTTTCGGTAACCCAGATACTAGATTCGGGAAATTACCCCCCGAAAAGCGGGGAAAAACAAACCGGACAGGGATTAGAACCCACCCTCGCAGAGCCCCACCTCTGCACTCTGTCTTATCGCGTAGTTAAAACATTTTCCTGTTTTTCCACCCACCACCTCGCTTCGCTTCGCCTGCACTGCGCAAGCGACTTTTCCGGCGGGGAGCAGGAGGTGGTGGTGGGGGGCGGTGGAAAACCCAAAGCAAAAACGTCATGAAACAACAGACGGAACTGGTTGCCATCTTCAAGACGAGCAACGTACGCCCAATCAAACGACCGACTTTCATCCCCTCTCGTTAAATCAGGATTTCGGAGCGGCTTCTTCTACACTCCGAGGAAAACTTGACGACGAGAACGTGTTTTCCTTCATTCTAATTTCGGATGATTCGAGTTAATTTATAGCATATCTTCAAGGGTGGGCCCAAGCAAAGCCAGTTTAAGGTGGAAAAGGGTTTGTTCTTTTGGGTGGGGTTGGGGGTTGGACTCCTGTTGTTTTTGACTGAGGTAAAAGGATAAAGTCAATCTATTAACGCTACTTGGGTTTCCATCTCTGGTGAAATTTTTGGTGTTTGAGGCATTTAAGGTATTGAGGTGATCTGTTTCCTTGCGAAATTGAGGTACGGATCGTATAGATCGTAATAATATACCACAACCTTACTTAAAATAACTTCTTAAAATTCTCTTGGTGGAATTATGATAAGACAGTTAAAGAGGACTTCGACCCCATACTTATTTTTCTAACCATGGCTGTCATAAACCTTCCATCTTAATGTTTATGTATGTTAATGTAAAATTGTGAAGAAATTCTTCGGATAGGGTTGCAATTCTGAAAAATATTGTCTAAATAGATTCCAGTAAAAGAAAAATTTGTATGATAATGAAAATTGTAAAATATGTAAATAATAAATGATTAGCATAACGGAAATAAAAATCCTATTTATAAGGGTTAGAAAGGGAAAAATCAAAACTTAATCCCTATTTCATATAAACAAGAGTTTGATTCCTATCGACAACCCAAAAAGGAGAGCAAAATATGAATGGGGGTTAAGAATCCGTAACCAAAGGGGTTGTCACGGGGTTGGGTTGCTGAAGTTTTCATCGAAAGAATCCTGACGAAATCAATACACAACTCTGCTTTGATCCCCTTTTCCAGCTAAACAATGCAACGCCCTAGGAAAGGAATGCAATTCTAGGATATTTTCGAGCCGTGTAGACAGCGGCAACAAAAACAAGGATAAGAAGAACAAGAGCAGGAAAAGGACGAACAGGAGGAGGTGGAGAAAGGGGAGGAGGCAGCGGCGAAACTACCCTTGTCACCCTTGAACGTTTTCCATTGAAACGGGTCTGTGTCTCCGAGTCGCAGGACGTGGAAAAAAACACGACCAAGAAGTTAAAGTCCTTTAACAAACACACAGGCACACAAACACATACACGCGTCGGTACATTTGTGTACGTGCAGCAAGGATACGACGCAAAAACGTCGGGGGATGAGGACGAGGGTTGTATTTACACAAGTTTCTCTACATGTTCGTATGTAGGTGGTTTCTGCGCCGCAAATCGTCCATATATTTGTGTATGTATATTTTCCAAAAATGAAGGAAAAATCGTCGAGAGGAATCTTTGGGGAATCTTGGGTCCGGGGAGTCGAGAAAATCAATATTTGCATTGGGCTGCAATTGTCAATTAAAGTCTATTTATCATTTTGTGTTGATAGTTGCACTGCCTCGCCCCCTCTCTTTCGCTCCCTATTCGCGTCTCCTTCGCGTACACACCTTTTTTAGCAGCCGCATGCAAGCCGCCTCGCTTTGTTGTTGTTTTCGGGCCCGATTTGTACCGTTTTTGAGCTAATTGATTCGTTTTTTGATTTGATTCGGATTCGGTTTTGGCTTTGATTTTGATTTGGCTTGGCTGTGCCTTTTCAGCGGATTTTCGCGAGGCGAGATTCTTTTTCCAGAGAGTTCTAATGCGTAATCCGTTCGCTCCGACATTCGTGTATTCCTTATTCCGACTGAAGAAGATACATCCGAAACCGAAACTGAAAACACAACATAACACTCAAATCGAAATCGCTCGCTCGCTCTCTCCGTCTCTCTCTGTTGCTTTTGCCGCGCCGCTCATCATCATCATCAAACGAACATCCACATATATGTAGCCTAAACAAAATATAAAAAAATAAACCCAAATGTATCTCACAGTTAGTTTTTTGATTTTGATGTGCGCGCGCGCATGGAGCGCTCCAAAAAAGTTTGCTCTCTCTCATTGCTTTCGCTCTCTATCTCTCCTTCGCAGGGGCACACACACACACACTCGTGCACGGGAGGCTCACATGCACATTTTTATCTTCTATTTATTTTCACTTATGCCGCAAAGAACTGCATTTAATGCAGAGGGTCGTCGCAGAAGTTTGGTTAAATGTACTGTTACTAACCTCAAACAATCGAATCGTCTGATCGGGCATAACGGCTAATAGGATAATGGCGTCCGTTTCGGCGCAGGGTAGCAGGGGAGTATGGGTTCTCCGAAAAGCAACCAAATTACGGGGAAAACCTACTGCCTTTTGGCCCTCTAGCTTATTGAATTACCCAATTATAGCCCTGCTTACGTCAAGTTTATCTAGTTTAGCAGCTGGTTTCACACTCACTTGTCAATTTCAGGCACTCTACGCGGTCCTAGGGTATCCCATAGTCGTCACACCGCTTCAGTTTGATTTAGTCGCCCGTTCTTATTCGTTTATCATTTGAGTGTTTGGTCGATATAAAAAGCTAAGCAAAATCTTTGGAAATCGCTTGTCGTCGTTGTGTTTACAAATTGTTTACATTTTCCAGGCGTTTTCGGGCGAAGCTCTTTTACTCTCGGTACCACCCTCGTGCACTTTTCCTGCTGCAATGAAAAATGCCATGAACAATTGCTCTTATTGTGCGTTTGCTTCTTCTTCGAATTACATTGGCGGCGTGTTCCAGCTGCACTCCTCGGTTGCGCCTGTTTTCTGTTTGGCCTAATCGAACAGCTCCAATTCTGACCCACTTACTGCGGCGGGACTAGGACTCGAAATCTTCACTCCAACCTTCAGGCACGCACTCAAAGAACTGCAAAACTCACGTTCATGCGCTCGCCAGTCGCCTCAGTCGCTGCCGCTTCTCTTTTCCGACGCTGCCCTTCTGCTCACGCGTCGTTGTTTTTGTTGTTTGCGCCCCTGCTCGCCGAGGGTATCGGGCATAGCCGACTGGGAGGCTGCTTTTTTCAAGGGTTTCAACTCTGGCCACACTTATTTGTTATGACCGTTACTTTCAACACTTGAGTTGCACTTTTCTCGTTAATTCTTAATTATGATTATCTTAATTGAAATTAAAAAAAAACTGTGTTCAAAAAACGTTGCTGTTCGTGACGTGACTCAACAGGAAAGTATGACTAATTGGGAATTGCTTGCTAATCACAATTGGACTTATTTTGATACGTCTCATTAAATAGAAAACGTGCCTGAGGAAATAATCGAGTACTTTCCTACTGGAGTATTGAAAAAAACAACCTATATTTATCCTAACTTGGAATCGTAAAATGGAATGGATAAAACAAACCTATATTTATCTGGATCACTTGAATCGTAAAATCTAATAGTGTAATCAAGCCACATTTCTGAATCGTAAAAGTGTAGCTTCTTTTCAGGAAAACGTTCTTACTGGCGATTTACTAAATATATATTTGGTTCCTCAAAAACAAAGTTCTTGAAAGAATCGAGTTTCTGAAAATAGAAGACAGCTATAAGATAATTCTAAGAAACCTGTAAACTTTTTAGTCAAAGTTTAGTGTGGTACCCTTCACAAATTTAGTTCTTTTGTATTGGAAATGCAACTACGAATAAAAGAAATACCTTACAATGAATTTAAAACAAAACCTAATAAATGAAGATTCATTTCCCACAAGGGTATTCCAAAGTCGCCTAAGCCGGCCAAGCTCCGTCCATCCGGAGCGGCCGGGAGAACCGTGAGCGGAAGAGAGAGAGTGAGAGTGCGTTATATTAACGGCGCATGTGGCGCGAAAATGCGGATGGAATCGCCTTTGTTGTTGTTTTTGTAATGGGGACTGGCTTGATGCGGCTGTTGTTGTTGTTGTTGTTGCCGCATACACCACCCTTAAGGAACTTGTTTTGCACTGACAGAAATTACAAGCCGCCCGTGGCTTGGAAAATGCGATTGCAACAGCCGTGGCCGTGCATAATTGGGAACTCGAAACTGCGGGCGGGGGCGCTCACTGCGCAGGTAAAAGGCGCAGGTGCGCCGGAACGCAGATACAGGTAAAACTAAGTGGTTATCCTGAGGAAGAAACAAGTAATCATGCTGGCGTGATCGTCTATTTAAAACGTACAAGTGTATTGTAAGTGTAAGTGTAATGGTAATGTAATATGGTATGTATGGAAGTGTGTTCGCATGAAGGAAGGCAGGCCGGAATACTGATTACATGCTACGTATGTAGGCAGATCCACAGAGTTAGTCAGTCGCGTTCTTATAATACTGTAAGCTAGGCTTATAAAGTACATCTCCCCACATTCCGCCGCCGGAAAAGGAAACGGAGATCCGCCTCGTCAGCCGAACTCCAGCTCCTCGATGAGCACGTTCTGCAGCTTCTGGCGCACGCGCAGCCGCCGCCGGTTGTCCAATCTCTGCAGGAAGGGCATCAGGCTAAGCAGGAACATGCGATCCGCCTCGTCCTGCAGATCTCCACCCGTGGGATCCGTATTGGTGGCCGCATCCGTGCTGATATACTTAAAGGGCAGATCGGAGGAGGGGGACTGCGAGTGGGCGAAAACCTTGGCCTCCGGCTCGCTCTTCAAGCTGGAACTGTGGCTATTGTTGGCCTTGGCCTTGGTCACCGCCTGCTCCAGTTCCTCGTCGTCGTCCAGCACCTCTATGGTGAATACCCCGGAGCTGCCAGCCTCCGCCCGACTGCCACGTTCCTCCTCCAGGTTCTCCGAGGCAGCATCCTCGTCAAAGTCGTCGTCATCCTCCTCCTCCCCGTCATCCCGCTGATCCGGCTCCAGCTTGAACCTCTTGCTCTCCGGCGGCTGGCAGTCGCGATCCTCGAAAAACGAGCTGATGTCCGAGAAACTCGGCTGATGCAGCTCCGAGTCGTAGCTGTGGCTAAGCTCACAAATCGGCTCCGTGGCCACAATGGGCATGGAGTCATACTTGTCCGGCCCCAGCACATTGTTATTCTCCGACCAGTGTCCCGGTGGATGCTTCTTGCTGCTGCTCCGCGTCTGCCGCATGATATTCTCATGGACGGCCGGCTCCATGAACCGCATGTCGTTGTAGAAGCGCCACGACGAGGGCGTCTCATTGGACAGGTTATTGCGGATGTACACCTTGCGAAAGTTGTCCCTCAGGTGGCCCCACTTGATGCGGCAGATGTCGGCTGTCGAGAGGGGTATAGTCTTAAAATGGGAGCGCCTAGAAAGGTGGATAGATGGATAGTTACCTGGCAGATTGACATCCTGACCCACCTCGAACCAGACGGGCGTGATGTCGCTGCGCTTCTGGCCATTGGCATTGTTGCGCAGCCACAACATTGGACGTCGTGAGACGGCGGCAATCAGGCGCTTCACCGTTTCGATGGGCAGCTTGGCGGTATTGGTGAACGCGAAGGAGGCGGAGGCAGAGGCAGCGGAGGCCGCCGACGATGACGCATTGTAGGCCAGCTCCATGTCGTCCAGATCCGAGTGGCCAATTTCCGATAGCTGAATTCCAATTCCGATTCCGATTTTTCCCGGCAAGCGACTCGCGCAGCTCAAGCGCTCAGGCAGCACTGAAAATACGAAAAGTACGAAATACGGGCACCACGAAGTGTACGGCCCAACCAGCACAGCACAGCAACAACCAGTTTACGTGCCTTTTGGCGGTGCCGAGAGAGGAGAATCGTGGAAAGAGCGGACGGAGGCGAATGGCAGAGGCGGAGGCGGTGGCAGAGGAGACGGGATGAGGTGGAAGGAGAGAGGCCTGGCTTGAGCAACAGGCTTTGCCACCGAACCGAAGACGATGAAGAAGAAGCAGCAGGCAGCAGCAGGAGAAGAAGAAGAAGAAGCAGCGGCAGAAGCAGGCGAGGCAGCAGAACAACAACTGAAACTGCCTGGCAATATTATCCGGATGTTAAGCTTCCGCTGGCCGCAACTCGCTGTGTGTCGTATTTGCGCTTTTTACGGTTGTTAACTTCGCCGTCGTTGTGGGCCCGCCGTAACGAATCCAATATGCTCTGCATCTGCACCAGAAAGAGAGGTTATGGCAATGGCATATCCAAGATCCAGCGACTTGAGCGGACATGTCTGTGAGTCATGGGAAAAAAAAACATTACAGAGATCCTTATAAACTGGCTTCCCATAAGAAGGGGATCCTTTTTCCAGCTGACCCTGCCGCTAAGGCTGGAAATTCATAGGGTAGCGTATAGAGCGCGGTGTAGCGTACTTTGTTTATTTTTATCAAAACTGGATTTTACTACGGTCGGCTGGCTGGGCTGCTTGGGAATGGAAATGGAGCTGGAGTGAACGTACAAAATTCACGCCACGCCAGTGGAGCCACGACTCGCACACATACGTATATATGAGGGTGTGTGGGAACAAAAGCTCCAGCTGGAACGATCGTGAGCCTGGAACCGAAGACTGTATCCGTTGTCTATATGTATCTGAACATACATACATATGTATATACTTTGCACGTTTCGGGTTAAGTCTCCTCTTCTCGAGACTGAGAAAATGCAAGTGAAGCAGACACGACAATTGGCGACCGGGGTTATTTATCGGATCTGTAGCTTTGCGGTTGGGTTTCAGCTTGACATTTGATCCTCGCCGCAATTCGTATTCGCATTCTTACACACACAGATACGTGGATACATAGACACACACACACGTGGGACGGACAGCCGGCCAATAAGTGGGAATCCAACACCGTAATTGGCCATTTTCAAGAACGTCTTGCGAAGAAAACTAGGGAAAAAGATACAGACATGCGCACATACATACAAACATAGATACAAACTAACGTACGGGGACCGGTTCTTTGTCTTCGATCCGGTTAACTTATAAGGAATACGGGCGTTGTACATCGAAATTATCTTTGGTAAAGAATATGTATAGTGGAATCCTTGAGTCTTATAAGTAGTATTAATAAGTAGTTTAAAATTAAGAATTTATCGTATCGTAAATAAACGATCTATACTTTTAATGATAACTGATTTGTTAGGTTTTTAAAAATGTTAAATCTTTTAGAAAAATAAATATTTATTTTCGAATTGAAAAAGAGGTTGAAATAGTAGAATTTTCAGTAAAAGGAAGTCCTTTTGTTAACTTTTGCCTGTGATAACAAATCCATTAATTATATGTTTCTAACCAAATTCCTTAAATTTATCTATATCATATCCGGGAATCTTTATCTTCGACTGAATAAAACCGTTCGAGGTTTAAAAAGCACGATCGAAAGTTCACTTCACAGATATACATATTACATTTATTGAAATTCAACGAAACTCAAGGATTGAGCGAAAATATATTGTATATATAAGCGATAAGTACTTGGCTCCGGAATCCACACGCACATGTAACAAATAGACGAATCTTACACTTAACAATAGAGAAATTCTTTACGGGGTATGAGAGATGTCGATTTAAGAATCTGGAATATATATGTTTAGACATATGGTATATACTACACGTACAGTATGCATATTTATAGTGAGTGGTAATGGTAATGAAGCGCCCTGCTAATACTTCGCCTGGCCGGACCGAATAGAAAGCGCCTGCGCTCGGTGATGAAATTGATGATGTGTCGTCGTTTACCCGGTGGCCAGGTTGGGTTCCTCCTCGACGTTGCTATCCTCCTCTTCCAGGGGCACCGAGGCGGATGTGCCCCGCTTGCGACTTCCCCCAGGCGCACTTCCTGCCGCCTGACTGCCAGTCATAATGGAATAGCTCTTCGAACCGGACTTTCGCGGACTGGCGACGCAATCTTTCTCCAGGGCGGACATGTCACCGTTGCCGTGACCATTGCTGCTGTGCGGGGAGCAGCTACCATTGCTGTTGGCCGTTCCGGTGCCAGTCGCAGCTCCATTTCCATTCCCATTACCACTCCCATTGCCAGCGCCCGCCTCGTTGATGAAGACGTCCATGTGATCGATGGTGTCATTCAAGGCAAAGCTCTGATCCCTGCGCTCGCTCTTCTTCCACAGGTAGTAGAACTGGACCAGCTCGCGCATGGTTCGGGTGCGCACCTGAAAGAGCCCAACGAGCCCAAGGAGCCCACAGATTACACGCTAGGGGCGATCGGCTGGCGAGAGACGGTCCTTTACCTGGTTCTGGCGTATCTGATAGAAGTCCTTGCCGAATCGCTGGATGCCCTCCTCGAACTTGAGGCACTCGTCCTCGGACCAGCTGCTCATGGTGTCGCTGAGGGGCAGGACGTTCATGCGCTTGCGGCGCAAAGCCTCCTTGAAATCGTAGCCGCACTGGACGAGCAGATGGAGCGCCTGTTCGTTGTCCTTCACTACTAGATCCTGATCGCCTGACGGGGCCTTTGGCGGCGTGGCCGGAGTGGGAGCAGGAGCAGGTGCTTCAGGAGCAGCTTCTTCACCGACCGCCGCTTCTGCACCACCTTCTGGCGGAACTATTGACCGCGTCTCCTGGATCTTGGCCAGATATTCCTCCACCTCGCGTTCGCTGACTTGGCTGGGCTCCCAGATCAACTGATCCTCGTTCTCGTAGGGCAATATGTCGCCATATTGCGAGAGTCCCTCGGGAATCTCCGCCTGATAGTCGTGGCCCACCATGATGATCTTGCGGGCATCGTCCATCTCGGATTCGCTTTCCTCCTCCTCCTCGGCCTCCACTTCATCGAACAGCGTTTGCAGTGGAGTGACTATAAAGGGGTTACATAATATAAAGTGTTAATTGGTTTCTCCCGCCGATTGGCTTAAAACGTACATCTTTCGGTTTCCTCGACGCCGGTGGGCGCCAAATCGGCGAAGGATTCATCGGGGTACAGGTCCAGCAAGTGGGAGCGATGCTGCTTCTTGGAGCCCTCAGACGGTGGTGCTTCCTCTGTGTCCATGGATGAAGCTTCTCCTGTTTCTAGCGGAGATGTCAGCTTGTCCGGAAATTCCTTCTGTTCCTGCTCCTGCTCCAAGCTGTCGTGTTTCTCTAGTTGCGAGGCGCTGCTCGAGGTGGAGGTGGATGTGTGGGCCATCTCCGTGTCCAGTTCCTGGTACTGGCGCTTGGTGGCCCGACGCGCCCGCCGGGAACTGCTGCCGGAGCGATTGGAGCTGCTGACCGCCGGCGAAGCAGCCGATCCGCCATATTTGGCCAGCAGCTCCTCGATGGGCATCTCGCTCTCCTCCCGCAGCGTGGCTATCTCGTCCTCGGCGCTGTGCGCCTCCATATCCGCCAGCGCCTCCTCTTCGTTCAGCGTGGCCTCGTCGTCAAAGTCGTTGACCATCATGTCGATGGTGGGCTCAAAGGTGGTGTCGGCCACCGAGGAACTCGGCGACATGGGCGGCTGGACGCTGGTGCTGGTATTGTCCGAACTGGTGGCCGGCGACTTGCGGCGCTCCCTTTTGGTGGGCGTCACGGCCAGGTCGCTGTTTGCCAGGCTCAGGCTGCCGGAGTCCGCCGACGCCTCCGAGGCGCTGTGCTGGGAGTGATCCGACGATTTCCCGAACTCCATCATTTTCCTTTCCGTACACACACAATGTGGCAGCGGCCAGAGCGCCAAAATATCCGCAAGTCGCTGGCGATAAATGCACTAAAAAATGGCACATCTGGGGTATTCCCTGCGGTAAGGGTATTCCCTGGTTATAGGGGAATTCCCTAAACTGTTGAATTGCTGAATTGTTGAAAATTCAACAAAAAATTTCAGCAACTAAGGTTCTTGTTGAATTTTCAAACAGCTGTTATTTGTTGAAAAGTTTTAAGGAACTTAAAGCATGTAAAATTTGATTTATTATTGCTAGTTACAAATGTGCTAACTAAGTGTTGATTTTGTAAATAGAATAACTGATTAACAACTGACCATAAAATGTCACACAATTCAGCAATTCAACAGTTTAGGGAATCCCCCTTATCTGTTTGACCTCCTAATAAAAAAAAAACTTACGTCCAGGATGAATTAAATGCACACAATTTACTACTACTACGTACTATATTGTTTTAAATCAAAGAGTATTAATATTTTCGCTATTAAGGAAAGATTCAGAAGACTTTGAATAGTTTAATAGGGTCTTCCCACAGAGCTCCATCCACCATCTATACGTTAAACGAAAGGTTCGTAAGGTTTTGCCGTTCCGAAAATTTCCAAGTTAGTCCGCCATCCAATTTTGACGGACATTGACGGGCTCTTTTATGCGAAAGTTAGGCGATGTTTTCTCGGTGCAACTCTGAATTCGTTCTATTGACTAAAAATTGGAACGATGACTGCGAGAATAAATCAAATCGATGGCGGGAAAAAATTAAATAATGCTTCAGCTCATGGTTTTTTGGTTTTTTTTTTAATTATTTGTAGTTTTTTATGAGCGGAAAAGCGTTCGCGAGCAGGTTGCCAAAATGTAAGCTGTTCTGCGTACCAAAACATCAATGTTTGCAGAAAAGTGTCAAAATATGTTCTGCAATTCGTAAATACTAACTAATATTAATTAAAAGTGTACTGTTGCTATAATATACCAAAAACAGCATACACAGAATCTGACTTGGCCTTGGTTCATAAAGGGCTAGACCTAGTTGGGAATTATAAATAAGGCATCGCAGAAGATTTGTAAAATTACTGTTGCATACTTTTATACTAAAGAAGTTACGTAACGCAAAGCAAAAACAAATACACGGACGACTATTTTATTCCATTCTATGTCACTATTTGAATACCCTTCTTCCGAATATAGTATTCCTTGTTGGCAGCACGATTTATTTTTCCATTGGGATTGTGCTTTAGATCATCAACAATTAAACAGCCAGCATGTAATCTCAGGAACTCGGTGCTAGCATGCTTCTCTACAAAATCTATTACGTCCTGTTCGCTGAACAGAACATCTGGTTTCTTGGTGACAAGAGCCGCTGCCTCGTCACAATTTTCCACACTCCAAATACCAAACACACAAACTTCAACAACTCCGGGCATTCGGGAGATCAGTTCCTCCAGCTCATGAGGATAGTAATTGTCGCTATGGTACCAAAGCATGTCTTTTTTTCGATCCACGATGTACACAAAGCCATCGTCGTCTACGTAACCAAGGTCGCCACTATGGTACCAGTTGTCCTTGTAAACTTCTTCCGTTGCTTCTGGATTTCCGTAATATCCGGGCCAAACGCTTCCATTGTTAATGCACAACTCGCCTTCCTCATTGGGACCCAGTTTCTCACCTTGGTCGTTCAGTATCTTCAGCTTGTAGCCAGGACTCGGTCGACCCACTGAATTGGGCTTTGCATCATAGTGCCAGTTGTAGCAAAAAAGGGATCCCAATTCTGAAGATCCATAGCTAAAATATAGAAGAGTCATTTCCCAATTTCTCTCGAAGCTTTTTTTGCACCTCCGAGCCGCATCGACCACCTCCATATTTATAATAACGCAGGCTCTGCAAGTTGGCTTTTTCAAAGTCTTGACAGCTTACAGTGGCTGCCACTTGCGCCGGAGACTGTAGAAGGCATGTTACCTGGTATTCTTCAACTATGCGGAGACTTTCCGACGGATCGAAAGGTTTATCGGACACTATGCGGTTTGTGCTGAAGACTCCCGAGGAGATTACTGTCCACAGACACGAAATCCAGTCCAAGCTGCTGGATATGTACACAACATCTGAGGTGGTCAATTTTCTGTTTATAAAATTTAATAGGTTCAATTATATTGTCAATAATTGCCAAACCTTTAGTTTACGGTGAACTTACGTAAAGCCGCTTAGAATGGTTTGGCAATTGGACACAATAACGGCCTTTGGAGTGCCTGTGGTGCCAGAACTGCTGAGTATAGCCAACGCTTGGGTGGAACCTTCTTTTAAGGGAGTTGGCTTGAATCCCTCTTCTGCTGGCGTCTTCAGCACTTCCTGGATACTTAAGCCACCGGCAGGATGGTTGCGCATGGTCACTATCAGTACATCCAACTTGGCGGTAACGAAGCGCACTTTTTCGAACTCATCACCGTCGCAGAAAATTATGCGTGGTTTTGTTTTGTGGAATAGATTCTCAATTATTTCCGGTAAATAAGTGCAATTAAGAGAATGCATCGCGATTCCGTTGAAGAAACAGGCGTAGGCGACGGCTGCTATGTGGGTGGTGTTCCTAGCTATAACGCCCACGATATCCTTCTGAGTTAGTTCCAAGTTTCGCATGAATGTTGCAATGCGGATAGCATTACTTAATAGATCCTCCCGCAGAAGTATCGTTTTCTCCGAGTCTGAAATCTGCAAAAGATTCTCAAAAATGTCAGGCAATCTCCTATGCGATATGTTTAACATACAAACCTGGGCTATGCTCTTGGGATGGCGGACCATTTCCTGAAAAATAAGTTCTCCTATGGATAAATCCTCTCCGAATTGGGATTTCTCCTTTTCACTACTCCAAATCTTGTCCGCGGCATTGTAGATCGTATTTGGTTGATATGTCATGTCTGCCACCGACTTGCTAATAATTCTAAGACCTTAACATACTACTTCTCTTTTATATAGTCTTGTACCAGCTGATAACGTTAATCGTGAAACAATCTAATCTATCTTTGATAAGGTAATTATTATTATAATTAATTATGCTACATTTTGTATTCATGGGTCATTTTAAGCTTTTATGTTGGGTCAGTCTAGCAGAGCCTCTGCGCTTACTCCCTATTACATTTCTTACTTTAACTACAATTCATAAAAATAATAAAAATACTCAGTTTGGAAAAGTCAGCAGTACTTTTAAGTTTTGTTTGCGTTTGGTTGACTTTAAAAAGTATTGTCGGGACTATCAGTTTATCGCTTACGGACATAAAATTCACTTGGCCCAACAAATGAGTTAAGAAGTGAAACGTAATTAGCTATATTAATTATATAGCTCAGAGATAGCAAGGCTCTTTTTATCTAAAACAACTCATATTAAAGCTAAAAATGTATATGCTGAATCATGGCTTTAATTAACTGCGGGCGGCAGTTAGAGTATTTAATTGATCATTTAACATTTTCAATAAATATTCCACAGCTAAATACCATTTTCAAGTTAAGCTTTTTAAAATATCTGAGGGAATTGATACTTTTTAAAATATATAATAGCCTCCGTTTGAAACGGTTGGAATTTTTGAAGAATGTGTAACTCCATCCACCATCTACCATCCAACAACAGCTGACTGAAGAGCAGTTGCTCAGCTCAACATTAACGAAGGGGGATTTCAACTCGGGAAAACTGTCGTAAAATTGCGTTCTCCTAATTTTATTGTAGAATAATACAATAAATAGATTAAGAAAATAGTTTAAAACCATATCTGAACGTTTATACACAAACAAATTTGCTTGGTAAAATTGACCAACAAAGATTGATACGTAACTATTAAAATAGTTACATTTTGGCCCACTCATAGCAACCTGCTTGCGAACGCTTTTCCGCTCATAACAAACTACAAATAATTCAAACCCAAAAAACAATGGGCTGAAGCATTATTTAATTTTTTCCCGCTATCGATTTGATTTGTTCGCGCAATCATCGTTCCAATTTTTACAGTCCAGAGGAAGAATTCAGAGTTGCACCGAGAAAACATCGCCTAACTATCGCATGAAAGAGCCCGTCAAAGTCCGTCAAAATTGGATGGAAGACTAACCGGGAAATTTTCGGAACGGCAAAACCTTACGGACCATCCGTTTAACGGATGGTAGTTGGTGGATGGAGCTCTGTGGGAAGACCCTTTAAAAGCTATCCAAATTTGTATGCTCATAAAAAGGAAAATTATTTGTGGCGATTCAAAAAATTATAAAACAAATAAAATTATGTAGAAATTTAAATTTAATTCCTAAAGCTTTTAAGAAGGCCCGATTGATTTAGCTACCCCCTAAGTGAATATCTTTTATGTTTACGCTTAGTATTATAAAGTAATCATTAGAAATGTTCAAATGTTATTTAAAAATAATATAAAACACAAGACAACATAACTGGACTTTTTTTTATTGAAAAACATTTTTGTAGATGCGCTTAAAAATAGGAATGAATGAGTTAATGTTTCCGAATGAGATAAATATTATAAAATTAACAAATACGAATGGTGTTTTTTCCCATGACAACAATGGCGCCTTCATCTTGAACTTCCTTCAGAGCATCCTCGAATTGCTCACGTGTGATCATCTAAAGTAAATAATAATTTAAATTATAATTGATAAATATATAGAAATATGTATAGATACTAACAATTTGGGAACCCTCCTTGATATCGTTAAACAGTTTCTGATATGGAACTGTGAGAACCTTGCCCTTCTTCTTGAGGTTCTCCTTAATGGCCGCCACCAGGTCGGCGCGCTTTTTGCGAGCAGCAGTGGATAAGCCGGTGGTAAGGATGCCCACATCGATCTTGCCGGACAGCGGATCGGTGGCCGACTGCTTGAGAGCCTCGCGATGGAGTCGCCAAGCCTCCTCCACGTCCAGCAATTCCACCTCGTTGCTGAGCCGCACCTTGGCGTGTGCCTCCGACAGCCGGATGAGACTCTCCAGCTGGCGTGGGTAGGCAGAGATTTGGCCACGACCGGCGCCAACCTTCCGCATGTCGACATAGGCCTGAATCAGTCGCTGCTGCGCCTCATCCGACAGAGTTGGCGACAGATGCTCGCGGGCATAGGCGATGTAGTCACGCAGCACGCTCATGTCCTGAAGAAATATCAAAAAGGTTAATAGAAGAAAGAAAAAATCTCCCTGCTACTTACAAACATCGTATCCTCCTCCTCGTGGCGGGTCACATAGTACAGCGACACCAAATGGCTGGCCAGGCGCTTGTCGAAGACCTCATCCTGGGGATCCAGGACGAGGAAGATCAAATCGAAGCGGGAGAGCAATGTGTGCGGCAGCTGAACATTATCAATGATGTTCTTGCGCTTGTTCCACTGCGATTCAGCTGGATTGGCGGCTGCCAGGATGGAGGTCCTTGCGTTTAGCTGACAGATGATTCCAGCCTTGGCAATGCTCAGCGTCTGCTGCTCCATCACCTCGTGGAGAACGCTGCGTGTGGAGTCGTTCATCTTGTCGAACTCGTCGATGCAGCAGACACCATTGTCGGCCAAAACCAGGGCACCACTAAGGTAGGAGAAACCATGGGGTTAAAATTAAATTTCCAATTTAAAATCACACCTTTACACTTACGTTTGCAGGACCAGCTGGCGTGTCTCCGGATCCTTGGTCACATAGGCAGTCAGACCCACGGCCGAAGAACCGCGACCGGAGGTGTACTGCGACCTGGGCACCAGATTGTAGACGTACTGCAGCATCTGGGACTTGGATGTGCCCGGATCACCGCACAACAAGAGGTGAATTTCCGATCTGAAGTTCTGACGACCGAGAGTGGCGTGCTTCTTCTTGGTGCCGCCGAAGAGCTGCAGCAAGATGCCCTTCTTGATGTCGTCGTTCTCGTAAATGGATGGCGCAATGGCCCTGGCCAGGCGGTCGTAAATGTCCGGCTTCTTGGCCAGCAACTGCAGCAGTTCAACGCGCTCCGGCGGGAAGATGTGATCCTTGCTAAGAGGTATTCAAAATGAGATTAAATTCTTATGATGGAGCTAATGCTTACCCCTCCTCCTCTTCGTAGAGTCGCTTGTTGTCCACCTTGCGGAAGTGAACCACATCCACGTGGGTCTTGTACACGCTCTTTACCGAAGAACTGATGCCACCGGTCTTCAGAGGCGTCGCCCGGTAGATGCCAGTGACCGTCACCCGGTCACCAGGCTGAACCTTTGTCCACCAGATCGTTGTGGGCATACAGCAGCACATTGTGCGGCGTCTGGCCGGCTGCCATGTCATCCGGTGACTCCTGCAGCTTGACCAACTGCTTGTCCGTGAACTCCGATCGGTTGTGGATCAAACGGAAGCAGTGGTTCGTGTTGCAGTTGGTGCACAGCGTCGGCTGGTTGATGCGACCGCGATCCACCTCGACGGTGGTGCTGAAGGAGCAGATGTTGCAGCTAAAGAAGGCCTCGCGCATCTCGGGAATGACGTTCGACGAGCGGATGACCATGCCGCTGATGCTGATCAGCTGGTCCATGTCCTCCGGGTTCAGGGAGCGCATGTTGCGCGTCTTGTCCGCGTTGAAGGGGCGCACCTGAATCTGATGCTCCAGCAGAGCGGCCGGATATCGCTCGAAGAACATCTCGTTGATGGCCATATCGAAACCGGGAATCACCTCCTGCGGATAGCAGATCAACTGGCGGTACAAGTCGCCATCGAAGGTCTTTAAATGGGCACAGTTGAGATTCAGGTAGGGCTCCTCCAGTGTGTGAATCTCCTCCAGCTTCTGCAGATACAGCGGCTGGTTAACATCGATATTCTCGGAGATCTCGTCCTGCTCGGCGCCTGGATCAATGAACCGCATGATAAAGGACTTGAACTTGGACTTGCACTGGCTGACGACCACATTGGTTCCCCAGACGACCAGCTGGGGTGCCTGTGAGGATTCGGACACGGGATCGGTGGTCTCGGAGCCCTTCTCGGGAATGGGTTCCAGCTGCAAAAGGAGCATCAGTTAGTTTATATTGCAATAATGAGCCTGCAGCATTGAACTTACCCCCGAGCCGCCGCCAATGGCCACCTGGCGAATGCGCTTGTCCGTCCGGATGTCAGGACGTGCCCGCAATGGAGTACCCCTAATTCCGGAGCGCGGCGTGCGAATGGAGCCCATCGAACTGGGCGTGCCGTAGTTGAGCGGCGAGCTGAGATCGATCTCGCTCATGTTGGCCCCCAATCCTCTGGCCGGACTGGTGGCCGGCAAGCTGATGTTCCCCGGCGACGTGGGCGGCAAACTGATGTTGTCCGAAGGTCGGACACCGGCGCGGCCGGGACCCATGCGCATCGGCGTCTCCACATCCTGCGTAGCAATGCCTGTGGGCAAAGAGACGCTAGAACACACTTTTTTTTGGGCACGTCAACACAATACTCACCTCGGGTGGGCGTGCGAGCTCCCTGCTTGGGCGTGGCAGCTCCCACACTGGGCGAACGAGCGGGACTTGACATTTCCTTTGAGCTGTATATATTTATTCAATCTGTCCTGGACGAAAACTCGAGCTGTTGTGACCAAAATTCAGACGATGCGGTGTCGCAGCAGCCCAAGTAGAAATTGGCGGGAAAATATTGCAGTGTTGGAAAGCGGCAGTGTTGTAAAACTCGCTGCAGGGCATTGCGCGCCAAATGTATAGGGGTTTCTCGGGGGTTTTACATACGAAAATAGAGTTTGTCAAGCGTTAAATAAGCATTTTAGCCAGGCAATTAACGTTCTTCAATCCCCGAATCCATAAATTAATTAACGCTTTTAACCTGGCCCAAACTGCGGGCCCTTCGGCAACCCTGCCCTTTTTGGCAACAACAAAACATCAGTCAGTCGGTCGGTGACAGAGACGGAAGTTTGTTTGTTTTTCTCACATTTTTGATTTGTGATCCGATCCTGAAATTATCAATGTTTTCGTAAAATTCCCTAACTAATTTTATAAGCACATTTGGATTGCAAATTTTAAGTAAACCAACGAAAATGGTCTTTTAAAGTCGGCTGCCAGGGGCTGCAAAAAAAGAGCGACTAGAACAGAAAAGGGAATAAAGCTAACGGGATTTATGAGCCCAACTCACACTCGCGCGGAGTAGGAAGAGCAGGAGAGACGAGGACGGAGAGGGAGAGGAGAGGGAGAACGAGAGGAGCAGGCGGAGGAGGAGGAGCAAGTGGAACCATGTCGAGCGAGGAGATGCTATATGCGCAGGTATTACACAGTATATATTGATGCCCCACAAGTGCATCGTGGCAGATTGCGGCGGTGTCGGTGTCGTCTGCAAATGGTGCCAATATAAAATTGCACCCATAACGTGATTTTCCGAGTGTGTGCTTGTGTCTGTGTGGGCCATTCTCCAGGTCTTGGCCCTGATTTGTTCCCATGGCAGGTGATTAGCCATTGATGACTGCATCGCAGCCCCCGAAAATGTTTGGCTATGAATCACAGAGCTGTCTTATCGACACGGGAATAGGTTGTGCTGCGATAAGCTTCGCTGATAAGACACCCCACTCCGTGACGTTTCTGGCTGGGATTGGGCTTCGGGTTAACTGCAGGTCATGACTCCCACTAATCGATTTCATTTCCCTCGCAGGGCGCCAAGATCTGGGTGCCCCATGCGGAGCAGGTGTGGGAGAGCGCCACCTTGGAGGAGAGCTACCGCAAGGGCGCCGGCTTCCTGAAGATCTGCACCGAGTCCGGTAGCCTCAAGGAGGTCAAGCTAAAGGCCGACGGCAGCGACCTGCCGCCCCTGCGCAATCCGGCCATCCTGGTGGGACAGAACGACCTCACCACTCTGTCCTACCTGCATGAGCCGGGGGTGTTGCACAATCTGCGCGTTCGCTTCTGCGAGCGCCAGATTATCTACACCTACTGCGGCATCATCCTGGTGGCCATCAATCCGTACGCCGAGATGCCGCTCTACGGGCCGAGCATCATCCGTGCCTACCGGGGTCATGCTATGGGCGACCTGGAGCCGCACATCTTTGCTTTGGCCGAGGAGGCGTACACGAAGTTGGAGCGCGAGAACTGCAACCTTAGCATCATCGTCAGCGGGGAGTCCGGAGCGGGCAAGACGGTGTCCGCCAAATACGCCATGCGGTACTTCGCCGCCGTCGGAGGTTCCGAGTCGGAGACTCAGGTCGAGCGCAAGGTGCTGGCATCTTCGCCGATCATGGAGGCCTTTGGCAACGCCAAGACCACACGAAATGACAACAGCTCCCGCTTCGGCAAGTTCACCAAGCTGCTGTTCCGCAACCAGATGGGCGTGATGTATCTGCAGGGGGCCACCATGCACACCTACCTGCTGGAGAAGTCCCGGGTGGTGTACCAGGCGCAGGGGGAGCGCAACTACCACATATTCTACCAGCTGTGCGCGGCAAGGTCCAAGTATCCGGAATTGGTGCTGGGTAATCTTGAAAATCTTCTCTAGATTCAGCATCAGTATTTTTAATATTCTTGTTTCTTTTCTAACAGATCACCAGGACAAGTTCCAGTTCCTCAACATGGGCGGAGCTCCGGAAATAGAACGCGTCTCGGATGCAGACCAGTTCAACGAAACCGTGCAGGCCATGACCGTTTTGGGCTTCTCCATCCAGCAGATAGCGGACATCGTGAAGATCCTGGCAGGCATACTCCACCTGGGCAACATCCAAGTGTCCAAGAAGTTTAACGAGGGCAGCGAGGAGGAAGACACCGATTCCTGCGATATATTCGTAGGCTATATCATTTGTCATTCCTTTTAAATGACATACTAATGAAAATCTTTCTAGCACAACGACATCCACCTGCAGATCACCGGCGATCTGCTGCGGGTGAGCGCCGAGGATCTGCGACGGTGGCTTTTGATGCGTAAGATAGAGTCGGTCAATGAATATGTGCTGATACCGAATAGCATTGAGGCGGCGCAGGCGGCGCGAGACGCTTTGGCCAAGCACATCTATGCGAAACTCTTCCAGTACATCGTCGGTGTGCTGAACAAGAGCCTCAACAACGGTAGCAAACAGTGCAGCTTCATTGGCGTCCTCGATATCTACGGCTTCGAAACGTTCGAGGTGAACTCGTTCGAACAGTTTTGCATAAACTATGCGAATGAGAAGCTGCAGCAGCAGTTCAACCAGCATGTCTTCAAGCTGGAGCAGGAGGAGTATCTCAAGGAGGGCATCACCTGGACGATGATTGACTTCTACGACAATCAGCCGTGCATTGATCTAATTGAATCTCGACTGGGAGTGCTGGACCTCCTCGATGAGGAATGTAGAGTAAGATTCGGTGGACTTAGTTGCAATATATTTTCTTAATTGTGTGTATTTTAAGATGCCCAAGGGTTCGGACGAAAGCTGGGCTGGCAAGCTCATCGGCAAATGCAGTAAATTTCCGCACTTCGAGAAGCCACGCTTTGGCACCACAAGTAATTGAAATATCCTACATTTTATTAGGCATACAACTAAAGCTTTATTTAATTTGCAGGCTTCTTCATCAAACATTTCTCGGACACGGTCGAATATGACGTGAACGGATTCTTGGAAAAGAATCGTGACACTGTCTCTAAGGAGCTGACCCAAGTGCTGGGCGAGTCCAACATGTCCCTGGTCAAGCAGGTGATGACCCTCGAGGAAATCGACACTTTGAGCGTGGATTCCGCCAAATCGTCCACTCTGGGCGGTCGTGTCGTGATCAGTGCTGGTCGCAAACAGGTTTGTGATTACCCAAAATGCGGCAAAATGGAGCTCATGAATCGAACTGCTTTGTACACTTTGTCCATCTGTAATCTTTGTCTTATTGCTATTTGTATTTTCCATACGCTTGTCGTTCGCTCACCGCCGAATCCCTGGGAATGCCCAACAGCAGGGAAATGACACCCGACGAAGAGTTAGTTACCAACTTATTTGAATTTACAGCAAATGACTAACCCAAAAAAAAGAAAACATATATGTTTAGTTTTAATAGGCCTTCTTTTTAACAACGTTTTCATAATTTAACACTTGAGTATAAGTTTTAATATGATAATTCAATTAGTTTTAAATCCAATATTTACTGTGTGTTTCTTAATTTTTCCATATTGCCCTACTAATTCAGACTTTATTCCATTATAAAGGTGGTACCATCCAAGCAGCATAGAAAAACTGTGGGTTCGCAGTTCCAGGAGAGTCTAGCCTCGCTGATATCCACGTTACACGCTACAACTCCGCACTATGTGCGCTGCATCAAGGTAAGGCTTAAGATAAAGAAATACCCTTAAAACATAGCCCTTAAAATATGATTTTCTTGCGCAGCCCAACGATGACAAGATTGCCTTTAAATGGGAAACGGCCAAGATCATCCAGCAGCTGAGAGCCTGCGGTGTGCTGGAAACGGTGCGCATCTCTGCAGCGGGATTCCCCTCGAGATGGCTCTACCCAGACTTCTATATGCGCTACCAGCTGCTGGTCTACCGGTCCAAGCTCGACAAGAACGACATGAAGCAGTCGTGCCGCAACATTGTGATGAAGTGGATCCAGGACGAGGACAAGTACCGCTTCGGCAACACGCAGATCTTCTTCCGTGCCGGCCAAGTGGCCTTCCTCGAACAGGTGCGGGCCAATCTGCGCAAGAAGTACATCACCATTGTGCAGTCGGTGGTGCGGCGTTTCATCTACCGCCGCCGGTTCCTGCGTCTCCAAATGGTGATCAGTGGCATCCAGCGGCATGCACGCGGCTTCCTCGCCCGCCAGCGTGTCTGGAAGATGCGCGAGGCTCGGGCGGGCTTGATCCTGTCGAAATACGCTCGAGGTTGGTTGTGCCGTCGTCGTTATTTGCGCCTGCGCCACTCAATTTCCGGCATACAGACCTATGCGCGCGGCATGATGGCCCGTAGCAAGTTCCATGCGATGCGGGATCACTACCGGGCGGTTCAGATCCAGCGTTTCGTCCGCGGAGCCCTGGCGCGGCGAGCTTACCAAAAGCGGCGACGCAACATTATCATTTGCCAGGCGGCGATTCGCAGGTTCCTGGCCCGCCGCAAGTTCAAACGCATGAAGGCCGAGGCCAGGACCATCTCGCACATAGAAAACAAGTACATGGGGCTGGAGAACAAGATTATATCCATGCAGCAGCGCATCGATGAGCTGAACCGCGACAACAGTAACTTGAAGCACAAGACTAGCGAGATCAGCGTATTGAAGTGAGTATTTGAAGCTTGTATAAGTTCCTATGATGTAATCCCCTTTTCTTCCTTGCAGAATGAAGCTTGAACTGAAGAAAACCCTTGAGGTAGAATTCAAGAATGTGAAGGCCGCCTGCCAGGACAAGGACAGGCTGATCGAAGCACTCAACAAGCAGCTGGAGGCTGAGCGGGATGAGAAGATGCAGCTGCTCGAGGAGAACGGCCATGCGCAGGAGGAGTGGATCAGCCAGAAGCAGACGTGGCGCCTGGAAAACGAGGAGCTGCGCCGCCAGATTGACGAGATAATCGAGATGGCCAAGAACGCAGAGGTCAGCCAACGCAACCAGGAGGACAGGATGCTGGCCGAGATTGACAACAGGGAGCTGAACGAGGCCTACCAGCGGGCGATCAAGGACAAGGAGGTAATCGAGACCGAGAACTACGCGCTGAAGGAGGAGCTTAGTCGCTTGACTGCTGGCAACTTTAGTTTGCACGGGCGCAAGGCTAGCAACGCTTCCAGCCAAAACGAGGACGATGTGGGCTACGCCTCGGCCAAGAACACTCTGGATATCAATCGGCCGCCTGATCTGCTAAGCAAGAATTGTAAGACAAAGTTAACAAAACTATGTGTGCAGGGAATAATATTTTATTTTCTTCGTTTAAGATTCGTACGACACCACAAGCATGGTGGTGAAGTTACGCGCCATTCTCGAGGAGGAGAAGCAGAAGCACAAGAGCCTGCAGGAGCAGTACATCAAGTTGGCCAGCCGCCACAAGCCCACCGAGGATTCGTTCCGGTAAGTATTTAGGGGCATCTTTACCAATATACCGACCCTACTACGTGGACACGAGATCAGTGTTGCCTCCACTCCCAACTAGACCAACTAAAACTTGAACAAAACTCCATTTGTCTATCCATGTATTATTGCCGCACACTGCCCACCACTCACATAGCGTCTCCGAGCTTGAGGTAGAGAACGAGAAGCTGCGCAGCGAATACGATCAGCTGCGAACGAGCATTAAACACGGTGTTGAGATCAACGAGCTCAATGGTAACCGCCCGCGCACGCCGTGCGACCCTCGGAGTTGTCCTACTGACCCACGTCCCTTTCTCCCTCCCTCCCTTCCACTCTTTTTCCATTGCAGCCCAGCATGCCGCGCTGCAGGAAGAGGTACGTAGGCGTCGCGAGGAGTGCATCCAGTTGAAGGCGGTCCTGCTGCAGCAGAGCCAGTCCATGCGGTCCCTCGAGCCGGAGAGTCTACAGTTGCGGGGCAACGACGTCAACGAGCTGATGGAGGCCTTCCATTCCCAGAAGCTCATCAATCGGTGGGTGAACCGGACCAAGGAGTCTATGCTAAACTAAAGCTTTATCTTTCCTTTTTTCTCAGTCAACTGGAGTCCGAGCTCAAGGCCATCACCGAGGAGCACAACAGCAAGCTGGTGGAGATGACAGGGGAGATCGAAAGGCTGAGCATTGAAAAGGATGAACTGCAGAAGGCAATCTTCGAGAGCATCGACGAGTTCGAGGACGCCAATGTGGACACACTGAAACAGAACGATCGCTATCTGCGCCGTGAACTGCAGAAGGCTGTGGCCGAGTTCCTGCTCGTGCAGGAGGAACTGAAGCTGGCGCATGCCAAGCTGAAGGCCTATCGTCAGGACGGCGGCCAGTTGGAGCACAAGCTGGAGGAGGAGATGAGCCGCAACAAGGCCAACGGCACGTCCAGCGACGTGGGCGCCAATGTGACCAAGCAAAAGTCGCAAAATCCGCAGGGTCTCATGAAGTTCCACAGCAGCGATCTGGATAAGATCCTGCAGCGGCTGCTGAGCGCCTTGACTCCACGCACAGTGGTTGGCCTTTTGCCTGGTTTCCCAGCCTATCTCATCTTTATGTGTATTCGGTGAGTTGTTGAGGTGGCACTGGAATATACTCTATCTCATTAATGATTATTAATTTCCTTTAAAAGTTATACCGATCTGACCAATGCCGACGATGATGTGCGCGAGTTGCTGAGCAAGTTCGTGATCCAGATAAAGAAAATGCATCGAACGCCTCATCCGATTGAGAACCGTGTGATTTGGCTGGTCAACTCCATTACGTAAGTCTTAGAAATCCTTACAAAAACATCAAGGATTTTACAATTGTTCTACCCTTCAGACTGCTGAATCTTCTGAAGCAATACGGCGATGTGGAGGAGTACGTGAAGTTCAACACTGAGAAGCAGAATCAGCAGCAGCTGAAGAACTTCAATCTGTTTGAGTACCGTCGCGTAATCCTTGATCTGATAGTGAATCTGTACCAGGCGCTGATCATGCAGATTCAGGGTCTGTTGGACCCAAAAATAGTGCCAGCGATTCTGAACAACGATGAGATTCAGCGTGGACGGCAGGCGCACGGAATGCGTAGTCGGGCCCCGTCGATTGGATCATCCTCGTCGCCGGAGCACGGAGGAGGTCCTGCCTGGAAGCAACTGATCGGCCAGCTGGAGCATTTCTACAAACAGTTCCAGCACTTTGGCTTGGACAACTGCTATGCAGAGCAGATATTCCATCAACTACTCTATTTTATTTGCGCCGTGGCGCTAAATTGTCTGATGCTGAGGGGCGATATTTGCATGTGGGAGACGGGCATGATAATCCGCTATAATATCGGCTGCATTGAGGATTGGGTGCGCAGTAAGAAGATGGTAGGTCACGATTAATTCAATGCGAAATTTATAGACTTAACTTGTTTTTTGGTATCTTAGTCGAACGATGTGCTGGCTCCGTTGGCGCCTCTGAATCAGGTTTCCCAACTGCTGCAGTCCCGGAAGAGCGAGCAGGATGTTCAGACCATCGTCGATCTGTGTACTTCGCTGAGCACGGCACAGGTCCTCAAGGTTATGAAGTCCTACAAGCTGGATGACTACGAGAGTGAGATAACGAACGTCTTTTTGGACAAACTAACCAAGGAACTCAATGCCCGACAAATGGTATGCTTCATATACATTTCAAGAATACATTCCCCTAATATTCCGACTTTATCTTGCAGCAAAAGAGCAACAGCGACGAATTCACCATCGACCAGAAGTTCATTCAGCCCTTCAAGGTGGTCTTCAGGTATAGCGACATCAAGCTGGAGGATATTGATCTGCCGTCACATCTTAACCTGGATGAGTTTCTCACAAAGATCTGAGCGTTGCGGGGATGGCCTTTTGTTGGTCGAGAACGTTGCCATTTAGGATGACATGACACACCGCTTTCTTTTTGTGTATTATACGAGTATAACTATTGTAGAAATTAATATTGTTCTTATATTTAGAAAATCTATTAGGTAATGAAACGATGCTTAGAGCAGTTTTGCCGAAATCCATGTAGTTCCTGTTTAGTTTAAATTACCCTCCCATTTGCATTCCATTTGTATCCATTTCGAGTATCCAACGGCACCCGTCCAAAGTTGCCAAGTTTTGTTTTTTGTTGTACGAACTATTTGTAGCAAAAGCAATGGAAGGTTAAGAACCAACCTTTAAATGTGAAACGCAATAAGAGTTTGACTCCGAACATAGAAGCATTCCTTGCCTGAACCTTGTACCTTAGAACATAAATATATATATATATATATAAATATATACAATGAATGTACTTAACGAGGCCGATTTGTTGCCTTAAAGAAAAGCTTGTAACACCGAAACTACAGATGATAGACTAAGACTCATAGAGAACACTGAAGCATTGCTGTTGAATTCCATCTATTTATGTACTCTCATTTTCTGTGTAGCTTGTAACTTGTTATTTGTGTTTCTCAGCCATGTTGAAAGACTATAAACGAAAGATTAGCAAAACCCAAAATACGTTGGCATTTGTTTGAAACGTTCTAAGCAATTTACCTAAACACATAAATATATATTAACAAATCAAGTACGCGCGTCTAATGATCAGCATTATGAATTTTTACAAATATAATTGCGAGTCGTTAACAATCCACCAGCACTTTTGATAACTTGTTCTTCGGCAGGTCGAGGGAGGGCAGGCGCTGGGTGACCATTCCGGTGGCCACCGTGGCTCCGTTCTCGCGAATCGTGAAGGCTTGGCCCGGCGTCATGACCATTTTTCGCAACAGAGTGACGCGCACCTGGCCATGCTCTCCCGGCATCAGCATGGCCTCACTGGGAACTGAAATGGAATTAAGGGAATATCATATATTTTAGTTATTCAAAGCCTATACCAACTTACCTATGTCAATACGTGCCGGAACATTCCACGTCTGGCTGAAGAGCTGCTGAATATACTTGGAGAGCATGGGCTTGACGCGACCGCCTTCGGCACGCGATAGCAGGTACATGGAGCCCTCAAAGTGATTGGAAATATCCTCGGATCCCGTCGCACACAGCAGCATTCCCCGCTCCACGGCGGATATCTTGATGCCTCGCAGCAGGGCGCCCACATTCTCGCCTGCCTGCGCCTGCGGCACGCTCTTCCGGAAGATCTGAATGTCGCTGACGCTCGTCTTTAGGTTCTGATTGAAGCCCAGCAGATCGGCATCGGCGTTCCGGGGAATGGTACCTCTTTTGATGGTGCCCACGACCACAGTGCCTCTGCCGGGCACCGTAAAGGCATTGTCAATGGGCAGGATAAACGGGGCTGCGACATCGCGCTGTGGCGTTGGTATATACGAATCGCAGTGCTCCAATAGCTTCTCAATGGACGGAACACCGAACTCTGACTTGTCCTCACGCAGAGCCAGCAGGGCAGATCCACAAATGACGGGGCTATTGACTCCATCGAAACCGAAGTCGCTCAACATCTCTCGCATCTCGATTTCAACCAGTTCCAGCACCTCTTGGTCCACCAAATCGGCCTTGTTTATGAAGACTATAATGCGCTGGATGCCCACCTGTTTGGCCAGCAGCAGGTGCTCGCGCGTCTGCGGCATCTGGCCATCGGTGGCGGCCACCACCAGGATGGCGCCATCCATTTGGGAGGCACCCGAGATCATGTTCTGCGGTGCACAAGAGAAGTGTTGTTAGATAGAATAATTAGAAATATATAAGCTTAGAACCTTTATGTAGTCCGCATGACCCGGGCAGTCCGTGTGGGCGTAGGTGCGCTCCGTGGTGGCATAGCCAATGTGGCAGGCATTTATGGTTATGCCGCGCGCCTTTTCCTCGGGCGCCCGATCGATCTGGTCGTAGGAAAGATACTCCGCCAGGCCCTTCTGCGACTGGATCCTGGTGATGGCGGCGGTCAGGGTGGTTTTGCCATGGTCCACGTGCCCAATGGTGCCCACATTGCAGTGCGGCAACTCGCGCAAACCGGTGGCCGGATTTTTATCCGCACTGGTGGCCAACAGACGCGCCCCCTTCCAGAGGCTTTGCCTGCAGCCGGCGCTGACCAGTGCCTGGTTGATCCGGTGCAGGAACACTGCGTCGCATTGACGCCACAACTTTGGAAGCAGTCCACTCATCGCTCCCGAGAAGATCGCCAATCCGGGTGGAGAGTACGTAACACAGCACACGGCGCGAAAAACCAAAACAAGAGCAGCTGTTCCGCCAGTGTTGCAAAGCGCAAAGATCGGTGGAGTGGTAAGTTCTAAAATTTAGATCAGCCGGGAAAATTTGAATTTTATTTGACTTTTAAAAAAGCAAATTTAGCAAGAACTTGGGCAAGCTACGGTTAACAAATATATATGTTCAATATATTTACATTTTAAAGGGCCTAATAACAAATCGCCTCAAATTTTCCGTAGAATACAAATCATTTTTAAAGACCTGCATAAATTTAATTTGTTTTCATAGTATAATTCGATACTTCTAACCTAGTACGATTCCAGTGATTTGGTCTCCATAGTAATTTAGTACATAATACGTTGCGGTACAGTATAAGACATTTAGGGCATACCAAATAAGCATTTTTTTAAAGTGGTCTTCCAAGTTTATTACTCATACGTACTGTTGCCTATGATTAGGATAGAATTTTAATCTAGGTGGCTTAGGAGAACGAAGGAATATAAAACTCTTGACTGACTTTAAATTTATTCACTGCCTCTTCAAGATCTATTCAGTAGAGTTGATAAGAGCGAATCCATCTATTGTTACCAAGGAATGGGCACCTATAGTGTTGAGGAGTCATATTCATGACCCGTTGTGATAACCCACTTGCATAGTCCCAAAAAGTAAACAAATCTATGAGCATAGCATTATAGCGTTAAAACACTTTAATTTAGGGAAACAATTTTAAGCATTAAAAATATTTTAATATTTATCTTACAAACTAAGATAATGAATGAATTTGAATGAATTTGTTAACACTTACAGCGTTGTTTAGGGATCATAAAAGTTTATTAAAGAGTTTTAAAGTTAAAGCATTGTTAAAAAAAAAAAAAAAAAGTATTTTGTGCCGTGTACAAATTTGCACCAACTCTTACGGTTTGAGATCACAGACAAATATAATACATTTATATTTAAAATATACATATGCTTAAGTAAAGATTACTTAATAAGTGATATATGTATGGACAGACTTTAAGAACGTTTAATCTCTTCCGAATTCAAATTTAAACAAATAGCACAAGTACTGATTTATGATTAAGACTGAGATTCCATTGAGAGATCCCATTCTATCGCATTTTTGGTCGGAAATCCATCTACATAAATTTTGGGATTTTGGCATTGCCAAGATCAGTTGTTCGCGAATGCTTGAAACCTTCTAGTGGTTTTTTGGATTGGAAAAGAATTACAAAACTTGAGAAAGTAAAAGCCTCTTCATGGATTTATTAAGGCGCTTTTGGTAAGCCTTTAATTAACCTTTCAAATTTAAGGGTTCCGTTACCCTAATTGTTCTTGTTATCTTTGTACTTGCAGCTCCACTGCCTTAGCGGTACTCATTGTGGTGGCAGCCATCGGCATCCGTGACTCCAATGCTAGATACTACGAAGAACTGGCTGTACCAAAATTGTCGTTTTGGTCCTCTGCTGAGTGTAAGAAATTTTACAAACACGGGTTGGCAGCAGAATTTCCAAACGGATGGACCACAGGACCTTGAATGGCTTCTCTCTGAGTGGAGCGGGGTAGGTCTTTACCTCTCCAAAACCCAAATATATATTTCAAATTTTGTCTATTATCTTGCAGTGCGAAGCATGCGATCAGAAATCAGAGACCCGGACAGCTATTTGCGCTGATAAGAACGGGAAAGCGTTTCCGCCGGAGCTCTGTGAGGTGGCAATTCCAGAACTCTCCCGACCTTGCAACTCGGTAAAGGGTCAGACCAAGTGGTTCTCCTCGCAGTGGAGCAGTTGCTCCGCTACCTGTGGAAAGGGGATCCAGTCCCGCCTCGTCATCTGCGAGGAGCTCAATGGCGAGACGGTGACTCCTCAAAGCGAATACATGTGCGACCAGGCATCGAAACCCGACTCCGAGCAGGAATGCTCCTCCGACGATGAATGCTCCGCCACCGAAGGTTCTAGTCCCAATCTATCGTACCCTACTACAACTCCGTCGCACCAGTGTAATCAGCCTGCCGACGCAGGAGAATGCGAAGAATGGGTCTTAAAGTGGAACTACAATGAGACGGAGGGAGGATGCCAGCAGTTTTACTACGGCGGCTGCGGCGGAAATGATAATCGATTTGAATCTGAGGAGGAATGCTCTGCTCGCTGCTCATCCGAACCTAAGCCCGAACCAGAACGCGAACCGGAACGTAAACCCGAACTTGGAACCGATACCGAAACCAAACCTGAACAAGAACTGTGTTATCAGCCTGCCGATGCAGGTGATTGCGGTGATTGGGTGTTAAAGTGGAACTACAATGAGACGGAGGGACGATGCCAGCAATTCTACTATGGAGGCTGCGGCGGCAATGATAATCGCTTTGAATCTGAGGAAGAATGCTTAGTTCGCTGTTCATCCGAACCTGATCCTGAACCTCAATCGGAACCGGAACCTGAACCTGAACCCAAACCCAAGCAGGAACCCGAACCTGAACTGTGTCACCAGCCGATCGATGCAGGAGAATGTGCTGAATGGGTCTTAAAGTGGAACTACAATGAGACGGAGGGACAATGCCAGCAATTCTACTATGGAGGCTGCGGCGGAAATGATAATCGATTTGAGTCTGAGGAGGATTGCTCTGCTCGCTGCTCATCCGAAGCTGATCGCGAGTAGAACCCCAAAAAACCCAAAATTTTTTTTTTCCCCCGGGGGGGGGGGGGGGGGGGGGGTGTTTTTTTTTTATGGGTAAAAAAAGGGGGGGGGGGGGAAAAATTTTTTTTTGGGGGTGGGGGGAAATGATAACTTTAATTAGAGGATTGCTCTGCTCGCTGCTCATCCGAAGCTGATCGCGAACCTCAACCGGAACCGGTACCGGAACCTGAACCCAAACCCAAGCAGGAACCCGAACCTGAACTGTGTCAGCAGCCTGCCGATGAAGGTAATTGCGGAGAATGGGTCCTAAAGTGGAACTACAACCAGACAGAGGGTCGATGCAAACAGTTCTACTATGGCGGCTGCGGCGGAAATGATAATCGCTTTGAATCTGAGGAAGAATGCTCTGCTCGCTGCTCAGACGAACCTGAACCGGAGCAACCTAAGCCAGAAGCCAGCACCTCCAAGTGCTTCCTGGCATCCAATTCGGGCAACTGCACCGCAACACGAGGTCCGCTGGTACTACAACAGTCAACTGGGACTCTGCGACGAGTTCCCCTACACAGGATGTGGCGGCAATGCCAACAACTACGCCAGCGAGGAGGAGTGCCAGAGGGAATGCCATGACGTCCAGAACACCTGTGCATTGCCACCTGTCCAGGGGCGATGCAGTGAGAGCTACCAACGCTGGTTCTTCGATGAGCGCAGCGGAGGATGCCACGAGTTCGAGTTCACCGGATGTCGCGGTAATCGCAACAATTTCGAGTCCGAAGGGGAGTGCCTGAGCTTCTGCCGCAGTCAAGAGTCAGAAGAACCCGCTGAGCCACAACCTCCAGCACAGGTAATTATATTATTATATTTAAATAAAACCAAAAAAAAAAATTTTATTTTTACTGCAGCTCTACTCCAGATGCGACGCGCCACCGGTGTTTGGAGACTGCGACAGCCGCATTTCGGCCTGGTTCTACGACAAATCTTACAAGGTCTGCACGATTTTCACCTACAGCGGATGCGGCGGAAACGGAAACCGTTTCGAGACGCGGGACCAGTGCGAGAGGCAGTGCAAGGCGGATTCACGATTGGGTAAGTCAGCATTTGGAGCATACATTTTGGGATTGAGGAAATAACATATCATTGATCTGGTGCACAGTTGATGTCCATGCCGCTTTGCATTTGGATTGGAAGAATAGCTACACAGCCGGTTCTACCATTTCCATGGTCTGCTCCGTTCAAGGGTATCCAGAGCCCGATGTTACCTGGGCCAAGGACGAAGTGCCTCTCTACTCCACTGGGCGGATTCAAATTACATGTGAGTGGTGGCGTAATGAGTACATCGAATGTGAAATTTCTACTACCCATTTAGTTCTTCATTGTAATGGTGCAATAACTTAAGATCTTCCTATCTCTTTAATAGCCCAACCCCACAGTCTGCTACTGAGAGATGTGACCCCCGATGATTCTGGAAACTATACCTGCTCAGCCAATAATGGAATCTACCAGGCTAGCGCCGAAGCCAATGTGTACATTCCCTGTAAGTAATAACTAAGGTAGTTATTTTTAAGATTATTTAATTAATTTAATTTTTTCAGCTTCTGTTCTGGTGTCTCCTGAGTGCACCGATATTCCATATTTCTCCAACTGCCATCTGGTCGTTCAGTACTTCAACTGCAACAACGAATACTTCAAAAATTCCTGCTGCCGATCTTGTACGTTGGCGGGCCAAATTAACGGCCACTCAGTTGATGAAAATTCAATCTAAAACGAATCTTTCTTAATGTACCTACTCCTACCTCTTTTCAATAAATCATTACCCTATTAAATTAAAAAAACGGGAAATACATAACCAAAGTTTTTCTAAATCCAAAACAAGGGTCTTTATAGAAATTAAAGTAGGTTGGGATAATGTTAAAAATGAATGTATACACCTGTTACTCAAGAAACGCGAACAAATTCTTTTCGATGGACGTCCTTTAAATGTCAATTGTAATGTGCAGATTTGTAATGCTCCAGTCGCAAATTGCCCCAGTCGCAGAATACTCCAGTCGCAAAATGCTCCAGTCGCAAAATGCTCCAGTCTCAAAATGCTCCATTGGCAAAATGCTCCATTGGCAAAATGCTCCATTGGCAAAATGCTCCAGTCGCAAAATGCTCCAGTCTCAAAATGCTCCAGTCTCAAAATGCTCCAGTCGCAAAATGCTCCAGTCTCAAAATGCTCCAGTCGCAAAATTCTCCAGTCTCAAAGTGCTCCAGTCTCAAAATGCTCCAGTCGCAAAATGCTCCAGTCTCAAAATGCTCCAGTCGCAAAATGCTCCAGTCTCAAAATGCTCCAGTCGCAAAATGCTCCATTGGCAAAATGCTCCAGTCGCAAAATGCTCCAGTCTCAAAATGCTCCATTGGCAAAATGCTCCAGTCGCAAAATGCTCCAGTCTCAAAATGCTCCAGTCTCAAAATGCTCCAGTCGCAAAATGCTCCAGTCTCAAAATGCTCCAGTCGCAAAATTCTCCAGTCTCAAAGTGCTCCAGTCTCAAAATGCTCCAGTCGCAAAATGCTCCAGTCTCAAAATGCTCCAGTCGCAAAATGCTCCAGTCTCAAAATGCTCCAGTCTCAAAATGCTCCAGTCTCAAAATGCTCCATTGGCAAAATGCTCCAGTCGCAAAATGCTCCAGTCTCAAAATGCTCCAGTCTCAAAATGCTCCAGTCTCAAAATGCTCCATTGGCAAAATGCTCTAGTCGCAAAATGCTCCAGTCGCAAAATCCTCCAGTCTCAAAATGCTCCAGTCGCAAAATGCTCCAGTCACAAAATGCTCCAGTCTCAAAATGCTCCAGTCTCAAAATGCTCCAGTCTCAAAATGCTCCAGTCTCAAAATGCTCCAGTCTCAAAATGCTCCAGTCTCAAAATGCTCCAGTCGCAAAATGCTCCAGTCTCAAAATGCTCCAGTCGCAAAATGCTCCAGTCTCAAAATGCTCCAGTCTCAAAATGCTTCAGTCACAAAATGCTCCAGTCGCAAAATGCTCCAGTCACAAAATGCTCCAGTCTCAAAATGCTCCAGTCGCAAAATGCTCCAGTCTCAAAATGCTCCAGTCGCAAAATGCTCCAGTCTCAAAATGCTCCAGTCTCAAAATGCTCCAGTCGCAAAATGCTCCAGTCTCAAAATGCTCCAGTCTCAAAATGCTCCAGTCGCAAAATGCTCCAGTCTCAAAATGCTCCAGTCGCAAAATGCTCCAGTCTCAAAATGCTCCAGTCTCAAAATGCTCCAGTCTCAAAATGCTCCAGTCTCAAAATGCTCCAGTCGCAAAATGCTCCATTGGCAAAATGCTCCATTGGCAAAATGCTCCAGTCGCAAAATGCTCCAGTCTCAAAATGCTCCAGTCTCAAAATGCTCCAGTCGCAAAATGCTCCAGTCTCAAAATGCTCCAGTCGCAAAATTCTCCAGTCTTAAAGTGCTCCAGTCTCAAAATGCTCCAGTCGCAAAATGCTCCAGTCTCAAAATGCTCCAGTCGCAAAATGCTCCAGTCTCAAAATGCTCCAGTCTCAAAATGCTCCAGTCTCAAAATGCTCCAGTCTCAAAATGCTCCAGTCGCAAAATGCTCCATTGGCAAAATGCTCCAGTCGCAAAATGCTCCAGTCTCAAAATGCTCCAGTCTCAGAATGCTCCAGTCTCAAAATGCTCCATTGGCAAAATGCTCTAGTCGCAAAATGCTCCAGTCACAAAATGCTCCAGTCTCAAAATGCTCCAGTCTCAAAATGCTCCAGTCTCAAAATGCTCCAGTCTCAAAATGCTCCAGTCGCAAAATGCTCCAGTCTCAAAATGCTCCAGTCGCAAAATGCTCCAGTCTCAAAATGCTCCAGTCTCAAAATGCTCCAGTCGCAAAATGCTCCAGTCTCAAAATGCTCCAGTCGCAAAATGCTCCAATCGCAAAATGCTCCAGTCTCAAAATGCTCCAGTCGCAAAATGCTCCAGTCTCAAAATGCTCCAGTCTCAAAATGCTCCAGTCGCAAAATGATCCAGTCTCAAAATGCTCCAGTCTCAAAATGCTCCAGTCTCAAAATGCTCCAGTCTCAAAATGCTCCAGTCGCAAAATGCTCCAGTCTCAAAATGCTCCAGTCGCAAAATGCTCCAATCGCAAAATGCTCCAGTCACAAAATGCTCCAGTCTCAAAATGCTCCATTGGCAAAATGCTCCATTGGCCAAATGCTCCAGTCACAAAATGCTCCAGTCGCAAAATGCTCCAGTCTCAAAATGCTCCAGTCTCAAAATGCTTCAGTCGCAAAATGCTCCAGTCTCAAAATGCTCCAGTCGCAAAATGCTCCAATCGCAAAATGCTCCAGTCGCAAAATGCTCCAGTCTCAAAATGCTCCAGTCTCAAAATGCTCCAGTCTCAGAATGCTCCAGTCTCAAAATGCTCCATTAACAAAATGCTCTAGTCGCAAAATGCTCCAGTCTCAAAATGCTCCAGTCTCAAAATGCTCCAGTCTCAAAATGCTCCAGTCGCAAAATGCTCCAGTCTCAAAATGCTCCAGTCGCAAAATGCTCCAGTCTCAAACTGCTCCAGTCGCAAAATGCTCCAGTCTCAAAATGCTCCAGTCTCAGAATGCTCCAGTCTCAAAATGCTCCAGTCTCAAAATGCTCCAGTCTCAGAATGCTCCAGTCTCAAAATGCTCCAGTCTCAAAATGCTCCAGTCTCAAAATGCTCCAGTCGCAAAATGCTCCAGTCGCAAAATGCTCCAGTCTCAAAATGCTCCAGTCTCAAAATGCTCCAGTCTCAAAATGCTCCAGTCGCAAAATGCTCCAGTCTCAAAATGCACCAGTCGCAAAATGCTCCAGTCTCAAACTGCTCCAGTCGCAAAATGCTCCATTGGCAAAATGCTCCAGTCTCAAAATGCTCCAGTCTCAAAATGCTCCAGTCTCAGAATGCTCCAGTCTCAAAATGCTCCAGTCTCAAAATGCTCCAGTCTCAAAATGCTCCAGTCGCAAAATGCTCCAGTCTCAAAATGCTCCAGTCTCAAAATGCTCCAGTCTCAGAATGCTCCAGTCTCAAAATGCTCCATTGGCAAAATGCTCCATTGGCAAAATGCTCCAGTCGCAAAATGCTCCAGTCTCAAAATGCTCGAGTCTCAAAATGCTCCAGTCTCAAAATGCTCCAGTCGCAAAATGCTCCAGTCTCAAAATGCTCCAGTCGCAAAATGCTCCAGTCGCAAAATGCTCCAGTCTCAGAATGCTCCAGTCTCAGAATGCTCCAGTCTCAAAATGCTCCATTGGCAAAATGCTCCATTGACAAAATGCTCCAGTCGCAAAATGCTCCAGTCACAAAATGCTCCAGTCGCAAAATGCTCCAGTCGCAAAATGCTCCATTGGCAAAATGCTCCAGTCGCAAAATGCTCCAGTCTCAAAATGCTCCAGTCTCAGAATGCTCCAGTCTCAAAATGCTCCAGTCTCAAAATGCTCCAGTCTCAAAATGCTCCATTGGCAAAATGCTCCAGTCGCAAAATGCTCCAGTCTCAAAATGCTCCAGTCTCAAAATGCTCCAGTCTCAAAATGCTCCAGTCTCAGAATGCTCCAGTCTCAAAATGCTCCATTGGCAAAATGCTCCAGTCGCAAAATGCTCCAGTCACAAAATGCTCCAGTCTCAAAATGCTCCAGTCTCAAAATGCTCCAGTCTCAAAATGCTCCAGTCTCAAAATGCTCCAGTCTCAAAATGCTCGAGTCTCAAAATGCTCCAGTCTCAAAATGCTCCAGTCGCAAAATGCTCCATTGGCAAAATGCTCCATTGGCAAAATGCTCTAGTCGCAAAATGCTCCAGTCACAAAATGCTCCAGTCTCAAAATGCTCCAGTCTCAAAATGCTCCAGTCTCAAAATGCTCCAGTCTCAAAATGCTCCAGTCGCAAAATGCTCCAGTCTCAAAATGCTCCAGTCGCAAAATGCTCCAGTCTCAAAATGCTCCAGTCTCAAAATGCTCCAGTCGCAAAATGCTCCAGTCTCAAAATGCTCCAGTCGCAAAATGCTCCAATCGCAAAATGCTCCATTCGCAAAATGCTCCAGTCGCAAAATGCTCCAGTCGCAAAATGCTCCAGTCGCAAAATGCTCCAGTTGCAAAATGCTCCAGTCACAAAATGCTCCAGTCGCAAAATGCTCTAGTCTCAAAATGCTCCAGTCTCAAAATGCTCCACTCTCAAAATGCTCCAGTCGCAAAATGCTCCAGTCACAAAATGCTCCAGTCGCAAAATGCTCCAGTCTCAAAATGCTCCAGTCTCAAAATGCTCCAGTCTCAGAATGCTCCAGTCTCAAAATGCTCCAGTCGCAAAATGCTCCATTGGCAAAATGCTCCAGTCGCAAAATGCTCCAGTCTCAAAATGCTCGAGTCTCAAAATGCTCCAGTCTCAAAATGCTCC